CACAGATTATAAAGGTTATAAATCGAAATGTTTTTCTTGAAAATTGACAGTTTTTCACAGTGAAAGTAAAGAAAATGTTTTATGAGGACTTTACAGTGGAGTCCGTGCCCGAATTTAAGTTATAGTTTACTGCCGGTGAAATTAAAAGGTCAGTACACTGTTCATATAAACTTTTCAAATATTGGCGTTGAGAAACTATTTAATACTTTTGTATTTTTGTATTGAGATAATAAAATAATTTTCACATTTAGTATTATTTTACAAGAAAGGCACTTTATTTTAACGATTGTATGACATTTGACAACTGTCAACTAACTTAAAACTAACTTTAGCCAGTGACTAAAAACCTGTTGCTAACTTCAGCCCGTGACTAAAGCGCCATAAAGCCACAACTTGTCAATGTGTATTTAAAAGGTCACTTAGTGTCATGGAAACATGTACGATAAAGGGCGTTTTAAAGGTGGGAGTAGAAAATAGTATATTATGTATCAAGCTTTATAAACGCCATTTTAGTTACGAGTTTAATTAAGCACGAGCGAAGCTTGCGAGCGAGTGTTTAATAAAAACGAGTGTCTAGAGAAGTTTATAAACGAGTTGCATACTATACTTTATCTACGACGAACACAAAACAGAATTTAAAGCCAATTTTATTTGTTAAAATTTTGACATCTGTCAACTGCCACCCGAATTTAACCTCACTTTTTCCCAATTTATAATAAAGCTAACTTCAGCCCGTGACGTAAAATGTCGAAAAGACACAGTTGTTAACTTCAGCTCGTCAATGTAGGACTAGATAAAATAATTTAATTATTAAGTTTGACTAGCGGCAAGAACACATCACATAGTATGAACCAAAATTAAAAATCTTTCTGGAGAAATATATATTTGCATGTTAACATTCTTTTTTTGCGCAACGTGCTATTTTTACTCTGATAAATAATCTAGATTCGTATTGTTTCTTTAGCGAATGTTTTATATCGTTCGTTGTTCCGTTTCCATTTCCTTGCCGCATTCAATACGAAATTTTATTATACTACACCCGCTGTTCTTCAACCGTACCTACTACAAATCGTTCGACAATGGAAATAAATTCTTTGTACCCCTCAAAGAGGCGATTAAGATTATTTAAGTAAAAGTCTTAATGTTTTTTAAATGGGTATTTCCCACAATAAAGGAAAATAGTGTTTTTATGCTATAATGAATTAACGTAACAAAACGAGATAAACGTGTATCCTATAAAAATCCACGTTATGATAAAAAAATGTAAAAGTAATGAGAAGTAATAAAGTTATTTTTAGAATACATATACAACTTCTAATTTTGAAGTTAGATGCGCAGTTAGAATAGGTATTTAATTTATATTAAACATGGCCTGAATTTACCATCCTTTATTAAACCACAAATATGGATGTACAAAACCATTACTTTATTATATTAATGGAACATTACATTATTCTACCATTCATTTCATATTTAATAGTTTAATTTTAAATTTAAATAAAAGAGAGATATTTTTTATAAGAAATATTCACTGCAATATTAATCCTTATTTATCATATTAACTTAACTTTTCATAACAAAAAAACAGCGTAGTTACAAAGTAGGTGTAGAAAACAAGATATTATTCAATTTTAAATAATTATTTTTAAATAACTTTGTGGTTACAGTATACAGTTCATTTTTTTATCTGGACTCGTGTTTTTTTGTTAGGTTGATGGCTTATGCCAGTTTGACTTAGTATTTTTAGTATTTAAAAATGGTACTTCTGCTAAAGAATTTAATTAAATACTTTGACACTGTCAAATTGACAATAATATTTATTATTGATAATTTACTTGTCAATTATAAATAAAAAGATAATTATGCCAAAAATAATAGCAACGAATTTGAATGTAAAAGCCCTTTTGGGGGCAAAACTTCATTTTGATGAAATTATGCCAAATGCCACAATGGAAGAAAAAGTACATCGCCTTATGGACATTTTTGGAGTAAAAAAGTAACGAATTTGGTTTTATAAATATTACATCACACATTATTTTCACATTATTCACCATTGGACAACATTTACGTTCACAAAAAATTTTAATTTCTTTTATATAAATTCTTTTCAAAGCGAAGATTATTATCCGCTAGGAATAGTTTCTCTTCTGGGCCGTAAAGTAACCTATATTTAACTACTTTTTTATATGGTTTTACTCATCCAAGCACCACCAAAGCCAAATTAATTGCATTCTTAGCTACGAATTTCGACAACTCAACTTGAAAACTGCACAATGTAACCTACAATAATTTATACATAACCACAATTAGATTTATAACTAGCTTAGTTTGTTTTAATCAATGCGACCAACTTGACAACTGTATTTACCAACCAAAACCCTAAATTTGCAACGTTGCTGCAGTCCAGATAAAAAAAAATGAAATATTTTATTTTTATCGAGCGTATAACAATTTTCGTATTATAACACTATAACCTATATATAAAGACTTTATTTTTGTACGCAGTTCAAAAGTCAAATTATTATACACTGCCATACACAATATTGAAAGAGTGGTTTCATCTATCGCATTTAGCTTGAAATCAGTGCAGACAACTAAAAATTACAGATCACTGTAAAATAAGTACAGAATTATTAAAATTGTTTTACGTCAAAAAGTAGTATTTAATGTCTTGCGTATTCACACTAATAAATAGAAAATAAATGGGGGGATTTTTACGCGCTCACTGTGTAACTTTTATATTTTGTATGGAACATAAAGTACTACTAAATTGTAATGTAACTTTTTTTTGGTCTTTTACTAACAATAAGTGATATAAAAACTTGCCTTAATGAAGTTTTTTGTAGATAATTTAACGCTCATCAGCATGCAATTGAATCATCAGTCATTTATATGAAAAATAATGGCTACATAGAATGCAGAAAGAAAAATTTCTATGGGAAATTTTAAAACTTGATAAGGAACCTCTTAAAATTAAAATTAAAAGTTTTTATTTTCGCATAATCTAAGGAATTTTTATGTTAAATCAAAATAAAAACAATGAGTTTGTCAGAAATTAAAAAGGTATAGAATCTATACTATAGATGCAATGACAATTTTAAATGGCATTCGCTATTTATGTTTATAATTATAATGCCAAACTTTTCGTCGTTTTTTTGCTATTGAAACAATGTTAATTACTGTTATTCATTTCTTGCATGTTTTTTATTATATAACAATGTTCCATTGTCAATAGAATATATTTATTAGTTTGAAATATTAGATGTAACAAAATACAATTTGTATTGTTTAAAATTATTAGGTACCTTCTTATACAAAGATAATTATTGTTAGAACTTTTAACGAATTGTTAAAAATCTATAAAGGTAAATTTGTTTTCTTACATACTAATATAATATAATTGCAATAAATGAATTAGAAAATATTTATTATAGGTAGGAAATATTCAGTGTTCTAGATTGGATTCTATTTTTTTCTTTTGAGGATATCGAGGAAGTTATCTAAACTTATAATGAAATTAATGTTTATTAATTATTTACTGTTGTCAATTGTCACATAGTTATTGCTTTTATTTGACAGAGTAAATAATTTACAAATTTTGTCAATAATGCACTGCGGCAATAATATAACTTCTACTATGGTAGTCTTGGAAACGTTATATTTTGCGAACAGTCAATTACTACCAAAACACATATTCACACATAATTACAATTGTTTGAGTGAACACAGTGTAGTATAAACGGGGGTTGCTTTAAGCTTATTGTCCGATACAAACTTTGAGGTTAGGTTTTATAACATTTGAGACAATTTTTCGATTCACAGTTCGGCTACCATTAAAAAGGTGTACCCCTAAAACTTCGATAAAATAAACCGTTTCCGAGATATTCGAGATTACAATAATTGTTATATCGCATTATTTATAAGGATTAAAAGGTATATGATAACAAATTTTATTTTTTAATTGAAAAAACTAAAAAGGGCATTTCATGAGCCTCGGGACTTTTCGCCCTGACCGTCACATTAAAAAAATTGTTGTTTTTTTTTTTAACAATTAAAAAAATTGTTATCATATACCTTTCAGTCCTTTAATGCGATATAACAATTATTGTAATCTCGAATATCTCGGAAACGGTTTATTTTATCAAAGTTTGAGAGGTACACCTTTTTAATAGTAGCCGAACTAAGTAATCGAAAAATTGCATCAAATGATATAAAAACCTAACCTCAAAGTTTGTATGGGACAATAAGCTCAAGCAACCCCTGTTTCTACGACACTGTGTTCACTCGAACAATTGTAATTATGTGTTTTGGTAGTAAGTGACTGTTCGCAAAATATCACCTTTCCAAGTCTACCATAGTAAAAGTTATATTAAAAAAACTGATATGATGAGAAACACTTCATCACCCTGTATCTTTTAAACATACGTAATTAGGAAAAATATTTATTTAGATTTTCGTCTTATTTTGACTTGCTTAATCTGCTCCTAAATTTATGCCACTAAGTTTAGGGACACCTTGTATAATAATTCAGTGCTACCATTACAGTAATTAAATAAAGTTTTCATATGGCCTACTATTAGTTTTTTGTAAAACTTGAAATTATAACCTCGATATGACTAAAACAAAGGCCGCTCGGAAAAGAATATTTTGCATTTTTTTTAGAATTAAATCTCGAAACCAAATTTTAATCTTTCGCCCCCCGGTATAAATCACCCTGTATATATTTAAAATATATAATTGGTGAAAAGAAACTAATAAATATTAATGGTAGGTAACGGTTTTATTAAATTACAATTTTTTCAACAAAAAATATTATCAAAAACTTTTAAAACACATTGCTATAAAGATACATTTGTGCATTAAAAAGTATAAATAAATTTTGAAAATATTTAATTAAATTAAAAGAATATATTAATATTAATAAAAAATAAACTAAAAATTAAATTAAATCCTAGTTGATCAAATTTTTTATTTCAATTAATGTTTTTTTTCTTTTCCAGGAGATGTAACAGGGGTGGTGTGCCCTCAGGGAATGTTCCGGTGTCCGGAAGGAAAATGCATTCCCTCCATATCAGTGTGTAATTACCAGAAAGACTGTGAAAAAGGCGAAGACGAGTTTCAGACTTGCCGTAAGTATTTATAACTCACTTTTATCGTTTATTAATTTGAATCTTCCGTTTCTTCTTAATATTTTTGCAATTTACTTATTTTATTTAAATTCTGTCAATGGCGCTAGAAAAAGTTTGATATCAACCTTACTACTTTTTTTTAATTTGCTTAAAGAGGGGTTAACCGGTCAAAAATAAGTGATTAAGTTTTAATATTTTGTATTTCCGCGAAACCTTACCACACAAAATAACGACTATATCTGAAGTCAAATAGTTTAATTGCGACGTAATTTATACCCTAAAATAAACACGGAAGAGTTTCATTAAAAATAAACACGGAAGAGTTTCAATACTCGATAAAATGTTGAAATGTCGCACCCGTTACATTTTGAGAAAATTTCGAAAATAAAGTAAACAATATTTGTGCATTTAAAATACGTGATTGTTTAAGTTTACTACTCAAGTTTTACACAAAAAATTATTTCTATATGCTTTCATCCAAAATTTTACAGTATCAACTTTAGAAGCCAACTCGCATTTGCCGATTTCCTAAGGTCGCGCCTGTTACGCTATTCATTCATCTTATTAAAGTTTTTATTGACATTTTGTTTGAAAATAATAAATACCTAATTGTTTATACTTTTTTTTTATATTAACGTATCTTGATATAATATAACACACATTATTATCATGAAAAAACGCAGTTTTAGTGTCGCACCCGTTACAATAGAAATACCCAATATTAAAAAAAACACTTAAAATATTTAAAATATTTACTATTTTTGTATGAAACGAATGAGAAATTAGTTTTTAGTTTAAATTAGATAGGTATTTTAAACCTGTTACAATTTTTCAATAAAAAAATTATCAGATTTATCCAATTAAATATTTATTTATTTTATTTATTTATTGCCTTTTAAAAACCAACATTATTTTTATTTATTTATTTTGTATGCATTTATTTGTTTATTTTAAAGAGCAATTATTAAAACCTATAAATAGTTAACCGCAGAATCATAAAATGTATTTTTTAATAGAATACCTATGTATAAGTTTTTATAAAAACACATTTAAAAATTCCACTATTCATAAAACATTTTAAGGGTCATTTAATTTATGGAAAACAAAGCAAATTAATTCAATAAAATTCATTAAATTGTTAATCAATTTTCGAATGCTTTTCATCCATGAAGATAACATTATTCTGGATAATTTATTAGCGTAAAACAATAGTCAATTATTTTGAGTACAAAATTTAACTTACAATTATGATCATTATGTTTTAATCTGTAGTAAATTTTATATTGTATTTTAAAGACAATTTAAATACTTGATATTATATCGGAGTTTTACCACTTTAGCAATTTATAGACTTGTATAATAATGCATTATTTGTAAATAATTTAAAACCAATCACAATTTTAATTCGTGTCGACAACAAAGTGTGCTATGATACAGTGACGCGTCTCTGTCAATTTGTCAAAAAAATATAACCTAATAACCATGCATAATAAAAAATAGGCATATATTTATTTAGGTCATTGGAAAACTTGAAAATAAATCAGCGGAGGTTAATCAATAAAAAAACCTGCAACCAATGTTATAAATTAACGCCGTAAATTACAAAATTTGATATTTTTAAATTATAAATTACGTTTGATATTGCATTGCAAGCTTTGATATATGGCCAATGTTCTAAATTTTCTTTTATTAATTTTAGCGCCGCCCGACTGTGAACCTGGCCAACTAACATGTCACCAATACATTTGGAATAAAACGTATTGCCTTCCACAGCATCACCGATGTGATATGACTGTCGACTGCATCGACGGATCTGACGAGATTGAATGCAGTGAGTATTAAATTCAATTCAACATTATTCACGACGTATACGTATATTGCATGAAAAAAAATGCTGATATTGTAGCCTGTACACTGTACATCTGCATGGAACAAATCCACATATTTAGAGTTCTCTAAATATGTGAACAAATCACATCAATGAATTTATATTGGAATTTGAACCCGGCACATTCGCCATTTTTGAAAAATATTTTGTATATATGGGTGATTCTACAAAAGTTGGACAACTTGATGTCATAAGTCAATAGAGTAGGTATTTTAATATTTTTTGTAAATATTTTAGTATATTACAAAAGATCCAGGTTTTTTTAACTTGTCTACCCAATTTTAATGTATTTTTTCAAAAGCACGTTTGTAGAAAAACAATAAATATTCAAAACATCAGTACCTTGGCGTGTCACAAGTCCTGAATCAAATATTTGAGTGATTTTATTTTAAAATATATTCAATTTATCTTATCAATTTCACTACAAACTACCTAGAAAACATTAAATAATGTATTTTTCATATTTTATCAAAGATTCGAATAATAGCAATTTTTAAAAAATTGATAATCTTTGTACTCACTTTTACCCGTCAGTTCTGCGTCCAATGTTAAAATTCAAAATTCCTGCGAAATCTTGAACTTTAAACGTCGTCCTCGTTTTAACACAATTGTTGGTAAAAAAATTACCTACAGAGCCCTCCCTTTGCACGACAGTCTTGAAAACAATGCAAGCGGTGAAGTTGTGGTGAATGCACGTAAAGTTCTAGTCAAAATTTCAGTACTGTGGTGAGTAGATATTTTCTTACGTATATATATTTTTTATTGTAATTTATATAAGGCTATATGTGATTTGTTGATAAGTAGCATCCACTTATAAAAAATATCAGTAAAATACTTAATTCCGAATTATAATCTCAAATTTGTATCCCATTCATCAGTACCGTGTCGTCAGTTCCATGTTCGATGTTTCGGTTATCTTTTTTTCGCAATCTTCAATTTAAATTCTGCTTGCGCAGAACTTGTTTATTTAATGTCATTATAAACTCATATAAATTTGGTGTGGGTCCCATAATTAATAATTGAGATATCGGTATACCCAAAATCCACCAGCCGCCACTGTTGTATGGTATTATTTGATTTTAAGATATTTAATGTATAATATGCTCAAAGTTGCAATAAATCTTATAGTTTCCAATAAATTATGTATTTAATTTGTACCCTGGTATACTCGTCACTTGCATTCAAATTTAGAAAACACAGATATTCCAGAAACTGTTTGAAAAAGTGACTGGCCCGGTCTGGAACAATATATGTATTATATTATCTATGTTCTCATAACAAAATACTGTTTAATTTTCTCCGAAAAATATATAAACAAAATGAGGTCAAAAGTTGCCCAACTTTTGTAGAATCACCCATATATGTTTTAGTAGTTTTTATTTTAAGATAAAAAGATTAAAAATTTATAAAACCTATGTTAGAACACTTACCATTTCCATTAAAAAATATAAAAAAATGTAATACATACATGCCACTTTTTATAAAAAAATATATTCTTCAAGTTCTTCTAAAGTGTGATGATGTTTATTTTATCTACTCCTATTTTATATTATTGTTTTTTTTCGTGAATAATGATAAACATTATAAATTTCCTGTCTAACAACGGGATTAATAAACTTATTATTTACGTTGTTAAACATCAGTGATTGGCCGATTTCAACGTCACACCAAGGTCGGTTAAATTAGACAAAAGTTTGCATTGACAAATGGCATTTAAAAACTCGGAAATCAGCGCTTCTTAAATAATTTAAATAAAACTAAAAGCAAAAAATCGTTATTTTTCGTTATTCCTGGGAATTTTGAAAAAAAATAAGATTTACATATAAACATACACATTTATCCGAATTTTCATCCAATTTGTGATTTTTTTAGCCTGCTAAATTTTAATATACCACCACCAACTTTTGTTTTTCCTGTCCTGGAATTTTACATGGTTAGAAAGAAAAATAATCAAGGAATCCAACGATGTATAAAACAAGTTATGGCGGCCATTATAAAAACAAAAGGTGGTGATAGTAACTTAAAACATAGTAGCGAAGAAATTGGAAGAAAAATTATTATTATTAAAGCGTTAGTGTCCCACTTATAATATAACATGTGCAACAGGTACAGTAATGATTACAAAAATTGTTTTATTTAAAAAAAGTGTGACCTTGGGGAAGGAGGGTCTTAAGTCCACAAAAAATGTGTGACATACTTTATGGATGGCCCTTATTATAAAAATAAGATAAATGAATTTTTGATTTTTATGATTTTAAAGATTTTCTGTAAGACTTTTTGTAATATTCCATAAAAAATTCGTATTTCTACTAACTCGTATACGTATAACAAAACTAATTATCTTCTCACTATTTTGCGTTAAGGTACTTGTTAATAACTTGTCATGACACTTAAATACAAATAAACGTTGACGATCCATCTTTTAAAACCCCACTATTTAATAGTGTGTTCCACAAATAAAATTAAATTAAACTAAGAGCAAACAATTACACCCGAAGAATTTGCCAGTAAATTTCCGATGAAACAAGAACAAGATGTGGGGTAAACGAGGGCAAAAGAGACAGAAATAATTATTAGCGTCCCCGGAAAACAATTTGTTCTAATGATTCTGGTAGACGAAAGGAATATGAAGCCAGCTGCAAGCTGACACTTTGAATTATTACACGATCCGGCCCTAAAAAGCCCTTGTAATATCACAGAACAAATGGATATTAAGCATTTTATACGTCGAACGACAGTTTTTCTTTTCAAGCATTTATAAACTTAGCGCGTAAAAATTACCCCTTTTATTTTATGAACCGCTGGATTTAGAAATTTGTAACTGTAGTATGTTAAAGAATACATTAAATACTACTTTTTGAAAAAATAAAAATTAAAGTGTCAATTTTTTTGATAACCCTGTAAAATCGGAAAAAATAAGTAGTTCATATAATCAGCTTCAAAACACAACACCCACTTTGTATTTTCCACATGTAAACGCTATTGTTTAAACATTTAATCCACACATGTCAAAAAGTGTTACCTAAGGCAAGGGTACTTGAGACCCCTGCTTAAAATACCCCATAGAGACCTATACAAAATAATCTATCGGGCGCTACCGGATTCAATATGTGCATTTGTCCATGGTTTTTTCCGGATACGGCCCGATAGAAAATGTATAGGAAATTACCCATAGGTACACCATAACATTTACATTTTCCCTATTGAGTCCGATAGAAAATAACTCAATGATGGATATATGGGTATATCCCTATAGAGCAACCATAAAACATTTGACAAAATTTTATTAAAACCTATAGGGTCCTATGGGGAAAAAGTAATTTCTACATTTATGTGTATCTTCCCCATTGAAACCAATCGCAAATAAATCAAGGGTAGATATTCCTATAGAACAACCATAAATCTCAACTATGGGTTCTATACAAATATCTATCGGTTTGAACAGGGTCTCTATGGGGTATTTTAAGCAGGAACGCTTTCTCGGGACGTTATCTTTTTAATAAATTGTTTCTTTTACCACAAAGATCACATTAAACGAATTTTGATCTACTATTTACTTTATGACTGTACATATTTCAAGTTTTTGTAGTCTAAAATTATTTTTGTAGACAACTTACACTTTATATCTACATTATTCGAGATAAACTGGCAATACGTCTTGAAGGATTTGTTTTATAGATTGTATAGATCGATTTTTACAGATTTTTATCCTTGATTAATATGTTTATAATGTTTAGCAACCCATGTTCAAAAAAAAAACCCTTTCAGAGATGAGGCTGTTTTAAAATTTGACTCTTCGCTACAGATGGGTAGACAACCCAACGTATATATACGTATACGAGCCTTGTGTTTTCAGATTTAATGCGTGTTAGGGCAAAGATGCATCGTTGCCCTAACACGCATTAAATTGCGATGGTAAAAACAAATTGAACGCTTTACCCTATTAAATATGCCATTTAGAACCCATATTCAATGCGATAAGGAAACTTATCTGGTTCTATATGGTTTTATGTCCTATATGGAACGTCCTGGTTTACATTATGGAATCTATATGGTTAAATATGGAATTCCATTTTAAATATTTTCATATTCAACCATATAGGGAAACCTATCTGGAAATACATGTATATGCATAAAGAACAGAAACCATATACAGTCCGTTCAGGCTAAGTTGAGCGCTTTGGTGGGGGATCATGTGGCCGTTAATTAAATTAAACATCGAATCGTCGCGAGATTTCGGTAAGAAGATGATTTATCAGTGCCACAGCTTGCCGTTTGTTCGTACAGAGCGGCTACCGAAATACATGTATTTAATTGTGCCTGAACATAGAGATGATGGACGGGATGACATTCCTTAGACCGCTCAACTTAGCCTGAACGGATAGTACATCCATATACATTTCTTTATGAAGACATGTATATGGATTTATATGGTTTCTGAAACGATCTGATTTGTTTTGCTGCTATCTCGCCAGCCAGCATTAATTTAAAAAAAATCCGCCACAGTAATTTTAAGACAAATGTCAATATCCGATCGCCGCCATCTGAGATGCGCAAGTATTAATGCGCATCGTACCAGCACAACATACAAGTAGACGACAACCGAGTCGATTTGTTTACGTAGCAACGACATTCAAAAATCGCTTGCGGTCAAAGGATCTTAACCAAGGTAAAACGGTGGTACACCACGCAAGCGAATATAAAGCCAACAGTGGTACTGATCCAATGCACGTGACTGTAAGTCTATTTGTCTACTTTTGGTTGCCTACACATCTAGAGCGAAGAGTCCAATTTTAAAACTGCCCTCCTTGCCTCCTTGCCTGCCTATCCCAAAGAATTTTGGCTAATTTAGTAAATTGTTAGCCTAACATGTCATGCATTAAATGCTTTGAAATATTTGTTCCTTTTGTTAAACATTGCTATGAATAATGGCTTGTTGGTTTAGTTAAAGTTGTAACTTTGCGAGTTATGTAACCCCGAAATTCAAAGGCACTAAATTTCTCATGAGGTTTATTACTTTCCATTATATTAGATTTCGACGTTCGGTTTTCGGCAACTTTGGTACAATAACAGATTGTAGAAGGGATCTGTGTGCACGGACTAGAATTTCCAATTTCAATTAGAACAGGATTCGCCTCGACAGATACGTATCTCTACGTACGTTTAATCGAAACTATTAAATTTTGCGGATTAATAATATCGATGAACGTTATTTTGCCGCGTGTAAGTTTATAAATGCGCAAATATAGAATATGCAGGTAATTTTAATCGTGAAATTGAATACATGCACAGCAAATCAATTATAAATTTAATTTATTTTGACTAGTGGGTAAAACCCAATGCTTGATTTCTTCCAATCAAATAATTGGGTTTTAATTTTTTCAGCGTACAGAAAATGTCAACCAGACGATTTTCATTGCGGTTCCATGGCATCGGATCCATGCATTCCCAAAGAGAAAAAATGCGACGGTTACCTGGATTGTCGTTCCGGTAAAGACGAACAAGGATGTCCCGGAGTCGCCTGTCAGCTGGACCAATTCCGTTGCTTGAACGGGCAACGTTGTATAGAATCTTCACAAAAGTGCGATCACAAAAACGATTGTGGAGACAATTCTGACGAACAGGGATGCAGTAAGTGACTTTATTTTCTATAAAAATTATATTTTCAAGTTTTTCTGAATTTTGACAAAACAAATAAAAATTATTTCTTGAGTTAAATCTTCTTAGAATCCCTATTGTAAATGACCGATAGAATCCAATAAAAAATACGTAATTGGTTTGAAATGTGTTTTGGCGCTATGAATCACAAATTCATTCCAGTTGCATTCCTATTGGTAAGTTCCAATGAAGTCAGCGGCTTAAATTGGAATATACCAATCCATGCCTATGCTATTCTCTGTTGGCTAAATCCAATAGAAATGCACCTGGAATTCATAGCGCCAAACCCATTCAAACCAATTTAAAACAATTTATTTTTTTTAATTTGGATTAAAAATACCAGTTGATTTTTCATTCAAAAATAATTAAGATCCCAGAAGAAAAACCGGGTAAAACCCAGAATTCATTTTTACAGAGGAGACAAAAAAATATTATAACTGAGTAACTTTATTTCTTTATTATTTTTTTGTGTTAGTGAGATATGTATTGATACATATAACTTACTAACACAAAAAAAGGAATAAAAAATAAATAAAATTACTCGGTTATAATCATTTTTTTGTCTTTCTTGCAAAGGATGTTTGTGGGCATGGTCGAAATCAATATTATTTATGTCATTTTTTTTTATTTTGTCCGCTGTAACCATATTCACACGCCATCGTCCCTAAACCTTACAGATATAAACATTTTTTAAGGTATAAGTACACACCACTATAAGTACACAACTACCACTAAGCACAGAAACCCATAGATTATAAAAGAAACCGACTAATAAAAAAACGACATTAAATAGCGTCCAAAGACTTTTTTGTTTCTTTATGATGGCGTCTCAACCATTCGAACAAGGACTGCGTACGTTGTTTTGCGCAGATACACGAAAGCCCTTTTGCGATATTTTAAAGTATTGGGAATAATCAATTAGCAGATTCCTTTTTAGAATCTCATACTGGGAATGCCCAATTGAATTTAATTGGAAATTACCTATGGGTAGCTTTAACCAATCAAAACCACTAAAAAACAGTAGAATCCTAATTGGACTTTTCCATATTTTAAAGTATTGGGAATAACCAATTAGCAGATTCCTTTCTAGAATCTTACACTGGGAATGCCCAATTGAATTCAATTGGAAATTACCTATTGGTAGCTTTAACCAATCGAAACCACTAAAAAACAGTAGAATCCTAATCGAACTTTTCCATCATGGAAAATACCAGTAAAAAATTTCTGTTTGATATCGCTCCCAATTAAACCCAGTAAGTCCAATTCAGACCTATTGATACCAACAAATACTTCAATTGATTTCTATAAGGAATTAATCGGTCATTTACAACAGGGATGGTTCATATTTATTAACTTTATCACTTTTTGAGACCAAAATTGGCCCCCAGTAAAGTTATTATTTAATAGTAAACCATATAAAGACAATGACCATGATTTCTTAAATTGTCTATAGACAACGAACGTAACATTCGTAAAATCCAACATTATAAGCATTTTAATCTCCTTTAATTAGATTTTCCGGTGTGCCATGGGGTTCAATTCCGATGCGCTAATGCCCTCTGTATCCCCGGACCATTCCACTGCGACGGCTATCAAGATTGTTCCGACAATTCCGACGAAGTAAACTGCACGAAAATCGCGTGTCCTGACAACAAATTCCTGTGTCCGAGAGGAAGTTCCTCTGGAAAACCAAAATGCATACCAAAAACCAAACTTTGCGATGGCAAGAAAGACTGCGACGATGGTGCTGATGAGGAAACAGCATGTTGTAAGTTTCAACTACAGTTCTGTCTTTGTTTATTTGCTACTACCGTATAATAATATTAAAAAATAAACCATTTTAATACAAAAACCTATTATAATGTTTCTTGTAGCTTATTTGGCATGTCCGACGCTTGGTTGTGAGTACAAATGTCAAGCATCTCTGACCGGTGGTTCTTGCTACTGTCCGGACGGTCGTGTGCTATCGCCGGACAACCGGACGTGCGCGGACAGAGACGAGTGTTCCGAATGGGGATTCTGTGACCAACTTTGCTTAAACACCCCTGGTAGCTATAGTTGCTCTTGTGCTCCTGGATATGTTCTCAAAGACAAAAATAGGTGTATAGCTTTGAATTCTAGTAGTTTAATGTTGTACTTTGCCCAAGACAAATCCATTTACAAGATGAAACCCTCCGGTAATCAGGTTCAAATCGTGGTTAATACAACGGGAGCGAGTGGTTTGGATTACCATTTTGGCAAAAACTTGATGTTTTGGTCCGACATTAAAACAAAAAGGATACATTCTCAACAACTAACAGGTAATCCAATATTGGGTCAAAGAGATGTCGATATAACTCTACCAGGCACATGGCAACCTGTTGCTGTGGCTGTCGATTGGATAGGTAACAAACTGTACGTTGCTGATTCGGTTGGTCAAAAAATCGATGTTTTTGAGTTGGAAGGTAGATGGCACGCCATTGTTTTGGGTTCAAATTTAACCAACCCCGCCGACATTGCACTGGATCCAACTGTTGGTTACATGTTCATCGCTGATAGTTCTCAAGTAGTTAGAGCCAACATGGACGGTACTAATACAGTATCGGTAGTTTCCGAAGCGGCCTATAAAGCCTCTGGTATAGCTTTGGATATTGTCGCCAAGAGAGTGTATTGGTGCGATTCTTTATTGGATTACATCGAAACCGTCGATTACTTCGGCAGAAACAGATTCCTGGTTGTTAGAGGGCAATCCGTACCAAGCCCTGCCAGACTGGCTCTATTCGAAAGTCGTGTGTATTGGACAGACGGCACTAAGCAAGGCGTTATGTCAGTTGATAAATTTGAAAGCAGCAGTATACAATCTATCTATAGAATGAGGGATATAAGAGACCCGAGAGCTATTAAAGCTGTGCATCCATTAATGCAACCTTCTTCCAATAACCCATGCGATCATAATAATGGAAATTGTCAACACATGTGTATAATAACCCATACGAATCCCGGTGTAGGTTTTAGATGTGCCTGTAATATCGGATTTAGATTGACTTCAGACGAAAGAAACTGTGATTTGGTCACGGAGTTCCTAATGTATTCTCAACAAAGATTTATCAAAGGAAAAGTGCTTGATCCTGTAATCGAAGGATTCAGTGATGCTATGTTGCCGGTGGTTTCGAGACGTGCTAGATTTGTAGGTTTGGATTTCGATGCTAAAGATCAATACATCTATTACTCCGACGTACTCCAAGATGTCATCCACAGAGTTCACAGGAATGGCAGTGCTAAAGAAATAGTTCTCGCATCGCAAAACGAAGGTGTGGAAGGTTTGGCAGTGGACTGGGCTTCTAAGAACTTGTACTACATTGACAGCAGGAAAGGAACACTCAACGTACTTTCTACAAGGAATGTCACATACCGTAGAACATTATTAAAGAATCTAAAACGACCAAGAGCTATTGTAGTTCATCCAAATAAAGGTTACATATTTTTCTCTGAGTGGGACAGGCCAGCGAATATTTCTAGATCGTTCAGCGATGGTACCAACTTAACGGTTTTCAAAAATCTCACTTTAGGTTGGCCCAATGGCTTATCGATTGATTTTGATGCTGACAGACTTTACTGGTGTGACGCTTTGTTGGATCACGTTCAACATTCGAACTTGGATGGTACTGACGTGAAAACTGTAAATTCGAGATTGATTCGCCATCCATTTAGCATCGTTATTCACAAAGACTTCATGTACATCACAGACTGGAGGTTGGACGCCATAATAAAACTGCATAAACTCAATGGTGACATGGAGGAAGTATTAGTTAAAGAACACCAAACCAACCGGTTGTACGGTGTTAAGATTTACAGTGAATACGAACAGAGAATAGATAGAGATCATCCGTGCTGGAACAATAATGGAAATTGCCAAAAATTGTGTTTCGCCATTCCGAATAGGGATAATAGGTATATTGCTAAATGTGGATGTCCATACGGGGAAAGATTAATGGCGGACGAAAAGACTTGTCAGGCAGATCCCAACCATGAGCCACCTGTACAGGCGTGTCCAAATAGCTGGGATTTTACTTGTAACAACCAAAGATGTATACCGAAATCTTGGGTATGTGATGGTGATGATGATTGTTTGGATAACAGTGATGAAGAACAAAATTGTACCAGTAAGTTATTATAGTTCAATGTTAAAATGGCGCTTTTTATTAATCATTTTATAGAACCTACATGTAGCGCCAACGAGTTTCAATGCAAATCAGGACGATGCATTCCTCTTACTTTCAAATGCGATGCTGAAAACGATTGTGGTGATTTTAGTGATGAAACAGGCTGTGTTAACGTTACGTGCAGTACCACACAGTTCCACTGTGATAATGGACGTTGTATACCAAATAGGTAAGTCTTATATAAATATATATAACTCCTATTAATAGCTAAATAATTAAAATTCCATTTGTACAGCTGGAAGTGCGATTCAGAAAACGACTGCGGAGACGGCTCCGACGAAGGCGACAGCTGCGCAGAGAAAACCTGCGCGTACTACCAGTTTACGTGTCCGCGCACAGGCCACTGTATTCCTCAAAACTGGGTGTGCGACGGTGACGACGATTGCTTCGATAAACAAGATGAACAAGACTGTCCACCAATCACTTGCCAACCAAATCAGTTCAAGTGCGCGGATCTTAGACAGTGCGTGCAGGAGAGTTACAAGTGCGACGGTATACCCGATTGTAACGATGGAAGTGACGAACTTGGTTGTCGTAAGTTATGATTATTATAATAAGGAATTGTAAATAACGTGCATATTTTTAGCGTCAATTGCCCCAGATCAATGTAATGTAGAGAAGCAATTCCAGTGCCAAATGTCAGGCATTTGTATTCCAAAAGCTTGGCATTGTGATGGAACCCCCGACTGCGATGATGGTTCCGATGAACCTGATTCTTGTGGTACCATTGATTGCCCCACGAACTTCTATAAATGCAACGACACTCAATGCATTTTCAAAGTAAGTTAAAATTTGTTAGTACAAATAATAGAGGGCGCGTACTACTGATATCTCATATCATGGGTCTAAATCATACCCAGAAAAGTCCATTTAAGTAACATTTTCAGAAATGCAAATGAAAGTATTTCTTTGAAAAGAAGGACATACAGTGTGTCTACAGATGGACTTGACTATACTTAAAATATACTAAAAATATTTATTTTTAATTTTTCGAGGAAAGGTCATTTTTCATAATTTCTTTTGCTTGTTATATAAATTCAAGTCGCGTTGAGAACCATCCATTTTGTTGTAAATACTGATTTTCCAAATTAAAAATATTTCAATATTTTTTTTGAAGCGCTAATATAAAGAGAAATCAAAAAGTCAAATTAAGTTTTTTCATATGAGTTTTTGATAGTAAGATATTTGATATTGAAAATTTAAGATATTAGTTTTCAAATTTAATCAAATAATGATAGACATTGTAAACATGTCAGTTGAAAGCAACATCCTTGAGTCATAATCACAAAATGAGAGCAGTCAATAAATTTCTACAAAATAATAGGATCACTCAAGTTAGGAGCTGAATTGATTATAATTGGGCGTTTCTCTGTAAACTGGGCAACTCATTGTCTCAAGCTAATATTGTTTAGAAAAATAACAGATCATAAATATTTCGTAGATAACTTCAAAAGATAATAACCTAATCTACCTATGCTCGACGTTCAAAATCCAATAAAATAAACTTTAATGTGTCAAAATCGTTTTTATAGTCCTTTAAAACCAGTCCACTGACGTGTCACCAAAGCAAAATGGTCACTTCAGACTAAATTAATTAAAGACAGTAACTATTGGAATCAACCTAATTGTTTAATTATTCAACCAATATTGTTTGCTTGTTACTGTGACTTATTTATTTTTTATAATTATTATTTTGTAATTCTAAAAAAGTCATCTAAACTTTGTCTCCGGATTTTATAAACAGTCCCCTGTATAGATTTTTCAGAAAATGCTCAATGTTTTCCAAAGTAATAGGAATATTTTTGGTTCATCTGCCGTATACTAATAAATAGACCGATATTTATTCCTCGAATAACATTTATTAAATACAACAAAAATATAACAAAAAAACTTGCCTAGACAATTTCTTATTTCAAGTTGTCCAGTTTACAGAGAAACGCCAAATTATATTTTTAATAAAAAATATCTTAGTAACAACAACTCACATGAAAAATCTTTATTTGGCTTTTTGGTTTCTCCTTACAAGCTCTTCATATTAGACCTCTGATATTATGCGCTGTGACGCTAACTTGTAGATGTACAATGCAATACGTATCTCTTACAATATAGCAATTGATGTATGTAATAATTATAATTATACACTTATATTCTTAACTAATATATTAGTTAATAATATAAGTGTTAAGTAGGTATATCCAGGAGTGCCATTCATATCCATTACACGAACCTACGGCTTGGTTACAACCATAAAATTTAATACAATTACAACCAAAATAAAACCAACTAACATTAAATTTCTTCTTCAGGCTTACATTTGCGATGGCAAAAGGGACTGCGCCGACGGTTCCGATGAAAGTTACATTCACGCGTGCGTTAAACCGCCGTTTAGGTGTCCATCCGGACAATGGCAGTGTCCGGGAGTGAGCGAAAGATGCGTAAACATGACGCAAGTGTGCGATAAAAAACCTGACTGTCCCAACGGAGCTGACGAAGGTCCTGGATGCGACTTAGCCGAATGCCAGCATCAAGCCGGTTTATGTTCGAATAATTGCAAAGAAACACCACAAGGATCTCTTTGTCTATGCCCGGCAGGTGAAACTTTGATGAAGGATGGACTTAATTGTGAGGATCTTAACGAATGTGACCCACCTGGTCTTTGTTCGCAGAACTGTCACAATACCAAAGGATCGTACTTCTGTAGTTGCGTTGATGGATACATTCTGGAACCAAACAAACATTCTTGTAAAGCGTATAGTAAGTTTTATTACATTTATTCAATTTGATGATGTATTAATTTGATGTATTTTTAGATCATTCTTCTGCCTTCTTGATTATCTCTAACAGGCATTCGATTTTGGTTGCCGATCTAAAAGACCAAGGGTTGGAAAGAGTGCCGATAATAGTGGAAAACGTTGTAGCAACTGCCAGTAACATGCATACTGGAACCATATTCTGGTCAGACATGAAACTAAAGAAAATTTCCAAGTTGGATAGAGGAAGCGAACCAGTTGAAATTATTTCTAACGGTTTAGACTTGGTGGAAGGTTTGGCTTATGATTGGATCGGTGAAAATATCTATTGGTTGGACTCCAAGTTAAACACTATTGAAGTATCCAAGGAAAATGGTTCTAATAGAATTGTTTTGGTTAAGGATAATATCACACAACCCAGAGGAATGTGTTTGGATCCAAGCCCAGGGTAAGGAAATTATAGTTTGGTTTTGACGTAATGTTTATTAATTGTTTTTATTATTTTTAGGACTAGGTGGCTTTTCTGGACAGATTGGGGAGAAAATCCTCGCATCGAACGTATTGGAATGGACGGAACAAACAGATCCACAATTATCAATACTAAAATCTACTGGCCAAACGGTTTAACTTTAGACACAACAACTCAAAGGGTGTACTTCGCAGATTCTAAGCTTGATTTCATTGATTTCTGCTACTACAACGGTACTGGAAGACAACAAGTACTTGCTGGAAGTCACTACTTACTGCACCCGCATTCCTTGACTCTCTTTGAGGACACCCTATACTGGACTGATCGGCAGTTGAATAGGGTTTTATCTGCTCATAAATTCAAAGGCAACAATCAAACAGTAGTTTCCCACTTGATATCGCAACCGTTGAGCATTCACGTACATCATCCTTCCCTGCAACCTATCACGCAGAATCCTTGTCTGAACGCACCTTGTCAACATATTTGTCTTTTGTCGCCGAGCTCTTCGACTGGATACACATGTAAATGCAAGGCTGGCTTTAAAATTACACCGGAAGGAAAATGTAACGAGGAAGATACCGCTTTCCTTATGGTAATGCGTGGAACGCAAATCATAGATGTGCCCATAAATCCTGGCGATAACTCTGCAGGTTTCTTAACGCCAATCGTGGGCATTGAACATGGTGTGCAAATCGATTTTGATAGGAAGAATAACGCTATATTCTGGGTTGAAAGCAAGGATGACCAAGAAGAAAATGTAAGTTTTATTTGTTAAGATATGTTATTCTTAATTCTTAAACTATTTTTTTTTCAGTGTACTGTATGGAGCATACCTTATGGAGGAGGTAACAAATCTCAGATATTCGGTCAAGACACAGGAATCGTTGGATCACCATCTGCTATTGCATTTGATTGGTTGGGTAGAAACTTGTTTATCGGAAACCGATTGGCCAGCAACTTGGAAGTAATTCGTGTTGATGGCAAAATAAAGCATAGAAAAATCATTTTGGCCAATGATGGTAACGCAACATCTGTAGCAAAACCCAGAGCACTTTGCTTAGATCCTACCGATGGTAAAGTGTATTGGACTGACGAAGGCGGATATGGTGTTCCACAAAAAATTGGAAAAGTGAACATGGATGGTAGTAATCCTATGGTGCTTGTGGATAACGTTGAAAAACCCGATGCTTTAACTATCGATATAGATACGAAAACGTTGTACTATAGCACACAATTCCCAGCCTTGGTAGTTGCAGTTGATGTTTTTGGTAAGAAACGCCAAACCATACTCTCAGAAGAAAATTACATTTCAAATCCAAAAGCCATATCTGTTATGGGTAGTAGATTATTCTACTTGGACCCACACTACGAAAAACTCGTGCAAGTTGCCTTACCAGGTGGTAATAATCCAAGAATTATCATGGAGAACGAGCCAGATCTAAAAACGTTTACTATATTCAAGAAACGCCAACTTGTTGATCATCCCTGCCTAATAAACAATGGTGGATGCGAGCAGCTTTGCTTACCAGCTGAAGGAAAATCAAGAACTTGTGCTTGCGGTATTGCTTACAAAAAAGACGAAAATGGCTGCACGCCATTCAAGAGTTTTGCAGTGGTCACTCAACTAGACATGACTAGAGGCTTTGGCCTTAAAGACAGTTCGGAAGCTATGGTTCCTATTAGTGGAGTTGGTCATCATATTCTTCACGTGGATGTACACTTTGCCAATAACTGGATTTACTGGGTAGAATTCAACCGTGGTTTCTGGAACGGTATATTCAGAATAAGGCCTAATGGTTCAGAGTTACAACATATCATTAAGGATGGCATTGGCAGCAATGGCATTAGAGGTATTACAATTGATTGGATAGCCGGTAATATGTACTTTACCAACGTGTTCCCGCATGAAAACTACGTGGAAGTTTGTTGGTTGGATGGTACGAACCGAAAGGTTTTGGTGAAAACCACTACTGATGCACCAAGAGAACTAGCAGTGAATCCCATCAAGAGAATACTTTACTGGATTGACTATGGGCAGTATCCAAGAATAGGTAGAGCCAATCTGGATGGTTCCAGCTGGTTAACGGTTGTTACTTCCGGTATAAGCAACCCCAGGGATTTGACAATCGATATGAATACTCATGATGTGTATTGGTGCGACTCCAAGCTGGATATGATACAAAGAATATCTTACAGCGGCGGAAATAGACAAATCATCAGAAGAAATCTACCAAACACGATGGGTATTGCTGTACATAAAAGCGATGTGTACTGGGTAGACAGAAATCTTAAAGCTGTGTTTAAAGCATCAAAACAACCCGGTAACTTAACCCTACCAACTAGAGTAAGAAATAATCTTGAGAAACTAAGAGATATTGTCATCTTTGATGTGACAAATCAACCTTTGGACGATACAAACCCTTGTAAAAAATACGGTAATGGCGGTTGTGAACAATTGTGCTTCTCATTCCCGCAAGACATTAACAATGTTCAAAGAAAACTATTTAAGTGCGACTGCGCCAATGGCAAATTAGCAGCCGATGAAAAGAAATGCGAATATGTAAATGAATATATCGCTTTTACGACAAGAACTGAAGTTAGGGGCATCAATTTAGATCCACACTCAACAAATATTCCGTTTAACCCAATAGGCAACCTAACCAATGTTGTTGGTATTGACTTTGATTACAAGCACCAGACATTATTGTTTACTCAAATAAGACCATGGGCTAGAATTGCAAAAATGTCAGCTACAAAACCAAACTCCAAAGACATAAGCAATATAATCAATAAAGGTATTAATCCAGAAGGTATTGCCTATGATTGGACACAACAAAAGATATACTGGACCGATTCATCCAATCACAGCATTTACGCTATGAATCTAGACGGTAGTAGTTTGGTGATGATTGCGAGAGTGGAAAGGCCAAGAGCTATAGTAATAGATCCGTGCAATGGAACTCTGTTTTTCACTGATTGGGGTAAATTTGGAACCAGCGGCAAAATATTTAGAACCACGATGGCAGGATCGTTAAAAAGAGTGATCATTGACAAGAATCTAGCTCAGCCCTCTGGTTTAGCCATAGATTTCGACGATCAAATGCTTTACTGGACCGATGCTGTAAGAGAAAAAATAGAAAGATCCGACTTGAATGGTAGAAATCGAGAAGTACTTGTATCGGCTACAATTTATCCATTCTCTATTACTGTATTTGGAGACTACATTTACTGGACAGACTTACAGTTGCGCGGTGTTTACAGAGCGGAAAAACACACTGGCGCTAACATGATAGAAATGGTCAAGAGGTTGGAAGATAGTCCTAGGGACATACAAGTGTACTCGGACAAAAGACAACTATGTTCAGTTAATCCATGCAAGATAAATAATGGTGGGTGTGCACAAAGTTGTCATCCGGGACCTAACGGAACCGCTGAATGTAAATGCGATGATAACACTAAAATAGTGAACGAAGGTAGAATGTGCGTTGCCAAGAATTTGAGCTGTGATTCCAGTAAATTCTACTGTGCTAACGGTAGATGTATTTCGAGAATGTGGGCTTGTGATGGTGAAGATGATTGTGGAGATAATAGCGATGAAGACACCAACTATTGCTGTAAGTGTTGGTGCTATTTGATTCTATATAAAAATTCTTATGATAAATATTTCTTGCAGCTTTCCATTCCTGTTCTCCCAATGAATTTAGATGCGCCAATGGCCGTTGTATCTTCAAATCATGGAAGTGTGACCACGAGAACGATTGCAAAGATGGATCAGACGAAAAAGATTGTCAATATCCTCCTTGTGCTGCCGGAGAATTCACATGCAATAATCACAGATGTATCCCAATGGCTCAGGTAAATAAAACAACCTTTATAAAATATACATATATATATTTGCCTTTGTTTGTCATCCGACAATCTTCTTTTCTTTTAGGTCCTTTAATACATCTTCCATCCATTTTTTCTTGGTCTTCCTTTATTTCTTTTTTCTTCTTCCATTTTGCTTCCAATACCCTTGACTACCCTATGGTTATCCATTCATTCCAATTGCCCTAGCCATTGCATCCTTCTTGATTTAACCACTTCAAATATTATGGATTCCTTATAAATGTCATAAATTTCTGCGTTTGTTCGCCTTATCCACCCCTCTTCTTTTTACCTCCAAATATTCTGCGTAGAATGTTTCTTTCCCATATCTCCAGTTTAATTTTATTGCTTCTATTTCATTACATGTTTCGCATGCATATAATACATTAGGTCTAATAATGGTTGTATAAATTCTTATTTTTACTTTTAGGGATAATTATTTTGACTTTGGAATTTTATTTAAACTTTCTGCACATTCATCTGCTTTTGCTATTCTTAGGTTTATTTATCCTTCTTCGTCGCCTTTGTTGTTTATTAGAAATCCTAGATACATATAACTCTTCAACACCTCAAAACTAATATTTTCATCTCTTGCGGGTTCTTTTCTGTTTCTATTTTCATGTATTTACTCTTTTCGTAGTTTACCATAAGTCCCATTTTCTCTGCCATGTTTATAAGATCCGCTGATATCCTCTGTAGTTCTCCCTTAGTTCGTGCAATTAACACCACATCATCTGCATATGCTGAACTTTTAGACTTCTAGAAAATAAAGATCCATTTCTGTTAATTCTGCCATCTCTTATAACTTTTTATAGAACTATAGTTAATTTATAAATTAAATAGAACTGTTGAGAGAGGATCTCCTTGTCTGAGTCCCGATTTTATCTGGAACTCCTTTGATGCTTTACCATTTATCTTTACCAAACCTGATGTCTCACTTAAGGTCATCTTTCCTAATTCTATTAATTAAGAGGGTATTTTAAATTCTTTATTCTTATGGAATAGCTGTTTTCTTTCTACTGTATCATAAGCGGCTTTAAAATCTACAGAAGCATAAACGTTGGTATATTATATTCATACAATCCTGTTTTAAGATGAAAATTTGGTCATTTGTGCCTCTATTTTTTCTAAAACTACCTTGATATTCCCCCAGAATGTTCTCTGCATAAGGTATGAGATTTTGCTTTATTGTACTAGCTAACACTTTATAAGTAACATTGAGTATTGATATTCCTCTGTAATTACTGCATATAGATTTATCTCCTTTTTATGGATAGGGATAATGTTGGCTTTACTCCATTCTTTCGGCATGTTTTCCTGCTCCCATACTACTTTTATCAAATTATACAGCTCTTCCCTTAACATTCTCCCTTCATACTTTAGATTTTCTGCCACTATTCCATTTGGTCCTCCAGATTTATTGTTTTTTATCTCATTTAAAATTTTATCTACCTCCTCCGTTTATAAAATAAAAAATATAAATCATACAATTATATTTTTAAGGTTTGCAACGGTGTGAATGACTGTAAGGATAACATTACTTCCGACGAAACCCACGAGAGATGTCCGCAGAATACAACATGTTCACCAAATCACCTGAAATGCGAGAAAACTAACATCTGCGTTGAGCCCTACTGGCTTTGCGATGGTGACAACGATTGTGGTGACAACTCCGACGAAAATCCCATTCATTGCGCGCAAAGAACGTGTCCACAAAATAGCTTCAGGTGTTCCAATCACCGTTGCATCCCGGCAACGTGGTATTGCGATGGTGACGATGACTGTGGTGATGGAGCCGACGAACCTCCAGAGTACTGCAAGAGCGACGGAAGAACCTGCTTTGGTGATTTATTTACTTGTGATAATGGCAATTGTGTTCCTAGAATTTATATTTGCGATGGTGATAACGATTGTCTGGATAACAGTGATGAAGACAGCAGACATGAATGCAGTAAGTAAAATTCAGGGTGATTCACCTAACTTATTCATTAGAAGTTTATGGAGAACGGAAAAAAATATCGATTTGAAATTTGTATAGCAATGTAAAATATTTTTTAAATTAATGCGTTATCAACTTTGGTTTTTCAAATGGAACCATTATAAATGTTATTGCATTGTATGGTAGTTTCGTTTGAAATAAGAAAGTTATTGGTATTTAAAGTGACAAAAAAGTCAACGTAAGACCCTGTATAAAATTTTAAGGGCTTTCGATATTGGCTTTTGATATAGTGCTCCTTAGTTAATAGGTTAATAGACTTGTGATATGATAGTTTTTCAAATGGAACCATATAAATATTATTGCATTTTAAAACTCTACGTTAAATTCTAGAAATACCAAAACTTTACTATTTTTTTTATTTTTAATACTTTTTGAAATATTTAATTTTTTTCAAAAATTTTACCAGATGGATGGTCTTACTAATATGTCTGTAATGTTAAAAATTTAACGGAAAAAGATATCGATTTGAAATTTATCTGGCAATGTAAACTATTGCTTTATCATATCACTTTCATTCTCCATAAACTTCTAATGAATAAGTTAGGTGAATCCCCTGTATATTCACAATAAACAAGCATGTTATTAAATTGATTTTTTTCATAGACGACAGAAAATGTGATGAAGAAACAGAATTCACTTGTGACGCTAACAAGGCCTGGGGTAGAGCTCAGTGCATTCCAAAGAAATGGTTATGCGATGGGGATCCGGATTGCGTGGATGGTGCCGATGAGAACGCCACCTTACATCATTGTTCCAAACCTCAACCGTGCAGCGAAGAACAATTTACTTGCGGAAACGGAAGGTGTATTAATAGAGGTTGGCTGTGCGACCACGATAACGATTGTGGTGACGGCACTGACGAAGGCAAAGAATGTAACAGCAAATATAAGACCTGTTCTTCCAATGAGTTTACCTGTCAAAACTTTAAATGCATCAGAAACCAATACAGGTGCGATGGAGAGGATGATTGCGGTGATCATTCTGACGAAGTTAACTGCAGTAAGTTACTTTTATGATTGTATTTATGTGTATTTCCTTTTTTTATTATTTTAGAAAAAGATAATACTACCTGCGCGGTACCCGGTCAATTTAGATGTAACAACGGCCAATGCATCGACTATCAGTTGGTGTGCAACAAGGTTTCTGACTGTACCGATGAATCCGATGAACCATTGCATTGTAACGTTGACGAATGCGCTAAAGTGGAAATTCATCAGTGTGGACATAAGTGTGTTGACACTCTTACTAGCTTCTACTGTGAATGTAATCAAGGATACAAGTAAGTAACTAAATTTAGATAAATATCACCTTAGGCCCAGTTGTATAACAGTTGGTTAACTCTTGATAATAATTATCTAATGATTAAGCTAACTTTCAAGTTGTATAAGCATTGATTCAAATTTAATTGAGTGATCAACATATAATTAACAAATCGGTGAATTTGGTATGGTTAACGCCGGGGTTAGAACACACAAGACCTTATAAATTTGAACGTTTAAAAAATTTCATTATTATTTTATTAGTTGTGGTCAGCATGAAAATGGAAGAACATTTAACGAATGATGAAGATTTTTTGGAATTAGTAGAAACTGTTATTTGGAATTAGTAGAAACTGCTATTTGGAATTAGTAGAAACTGTTATTTTCCTGTTTTAACAGAAAATTTTGTGTTAGACATTTTAGAGTATTTTACAGATTTAAATGAAGAAAAATACAGAAACAGATTTCGTCTTCGTCAAAAAATATTATAACTTTTTGAAGGAATATCAGCAATTTTTTTAAGAACTAATACAAAAAATCCGATTTCATTTAGGTAAATGATTGAATTAACTCTACGATTTTTGGCAACAGGTTCATTTGCATTCTACAATGTTTTAATATTTTTTAACCATACAAAGCAAAAGCCAAGATTCTATTTTACCAAAGTTAGCGACCCTTTCCCACAATCTTTTATTTTTGACCCACAAGCTAAAACCAAAAACAGAAACGTAACAAAAAACTCACCTGCAAGAAGAAATATAATTAAAGCTGATTACAATTTCACATTAATGTATGAAATAAATAAATTTATACCAATATACTTACTTAAATCTTCCTAAAGAAAAAAAATTATGAATATAAATTAGCGAATTCCCCTAAATTTGAAAATTAACTAATTAAAACATAACCAAGTGTTACACAACAAAATTTTCTTTAACCAGCTATTATTTATTAATCCCTGATTTATTAATCTGTTGTTCTCTAGGTTACTCGAAGACGGTAAAGCCTGTGCAGATATAGACGAATGTATAGAAACTCCCGGAGTTTGCTCCCAATACTGTTCCAACACTCCTGGCAGTTACTACTGTAAATGTAACGACCAGTACTATGAAAGAGAAGCTGATGAGCATACATGCAAACGTAAAGATCATGTCGCTCCTTGGATAGTATTCACCAACAAATACTACATTAGGAACATGTCAATTGATGCGGGCGTATACAATTTAGTGCACCAAGATTTAATGAACGTTGTAGCTTTGGATTTCGATATGTTTGGTCAAAAAATGTATTTCTGCGACGTAACAGCTAAAACTATATTTAGATCGGCCATTGGAGGAGGTGACAAAGAACCAGTGATAAGACACGACTCTCATGGTTTAGAAGGAATCTCTATAGACTGGGTCGCAAGGAAACTATACTGGCTTGATAGACATTCAAAGAATTTGGATGTCAGCGAACTAGATGGTACAAATCGCAAAACTTTGAAGACCAGCATTCAAGACCCTCGCGCTTTAGTAGTACATCCAGGCACTGGTTACTTGTACTTTACCTCATGGCATTTGCAAGCCTACGTTGGAAAATTGGGAATGGATGGTTCAAACTTCACCAGAATTTTAACATGGGAGAATGATATCGCTTGGCCAAACGCTTTGACAATCGATTTCTTCACTGACCGCCTCTACTACGCTGATGCTCATTTGGACTACATTGCTTCAGTGGACATGGAGGGCCGCCATAGACACGTCGTTATTTCCGGATCAGCCGTGCCTCATGTGTTCGCTCTTTCTCTATTCGACGACTTCGTTTACTGGACCGATTGGAACCTTAAGGCTATAAGCAGAGCCAACAAATACACCGGAAAGGACCTGAAGGTTCTGCGCAACACCACGCATAAACCCTACGACATCCACGTGTTCCATCCTCTCAGGCAACTTCCATACACGAACCCGTGCGGTGCTAACAACGGCGGATGTTCGCATTTGTGTTTGATCGCTCCACCGCCAGCTTCAAGTTATTTGAACATCGAGGGTTACGGCGAAGAAGGAGTAACTTCTTATAAATGCGCGTGTCCGAATCAATTCGCACTTGCGCCGGACAGCAAGACTTGCATTGCGAACTGTACCGATGGACAATGGCAATGTAAAGGGAATGACGAGAAGTGCATACCTTGGTTCTGGAAGTAAGAACATTGTTGTTTTTGTTTAATATATATGTGTATTTATGATTTTTTTATTTTAGATGTGATGGAGAAAAGGATTGCAGAGACGGTTCGGACGAGGCAGATACTTGTCCACCACGTCAGTGTCGTGCTGGAACCTACCAGTGCGAAAATGGAAACTGTACTCCTTCAGCAACTATTTGTGACGGTACTGATGATTGCGGCGATGGTTCCGACGAACAAAACTGCGCCAAAGATTGTCCGGAATTGGAATTTAAATGCAAATCCAACGGAAGATGCATATTGAACAGTTGGAAGTGTGACGGCGACGCGGATTGCAAGGATGGATCGGATGAAGATCCGGCCATATGTCATAAACGAGAATGCGATCCAGATACGGAATTCGCCTGTAAAAACGGAAAATGCATTCCTAAGCTGTGGCAGTGCGATTTTGATAACGATTGCGGCGATGACTCCGACGAACCAGCCTACATTTGCAGGCAAAAGAATTGTACGACTGGTTGGCAGAGGTGTCCGGGTAGAGCGAACTACCGTTGTATTCCGAAATGGTTGTTCTGCGATGGCAAAGATGATTGTCGCGATAGTTCCGATGAACTGCCAGAGAACTGCCCGGCTTGTAATCCAGAAACTGACTTTAAATGTAACAACAACAGGTGCGTACCCAGACAGTGGAAGTGCGATTTCTCCGATGATTGTGGCGATGGATCGGACGAAACCAAAGAACTTTGCCAGGGAGGCTTCAGGGAGTGTTCGGAGAGCGAGTTCCGCTGTGGCAACGGAAAATGCATTTCATCGAGGTGGAGGTGTGATCACGAAGACGATTGCGGAGATAATACCGACGAAGATGGTTGCAATGGCTTCCAATGCAAGAACGGAACATTCCAATGCGCTTCAGGCCATTGCATTGCCTCGTACTTCAGGTGCGATGGAGACAGGGATTGCAGAGATATGTCCGATGAGAAGAATTGCCCGCCACGTTATCCAGGAGGAAGATATTGTCCTGAATCCAAATTCCAATGTGACAACCACTTGTGTATTAGCCAAGGAGATCTTTGCGACGGTACCGACGATTGTGGAGACAACTCGGATGAATCCCCAGCGTTGTGCACCAACTTTAACTGCGACACTCTCAAGAGATACCAATGCAACAACCACAAATGCATACCGAAATATCAATTGTGTGACGGTATTGACAATTGCGGCGATGGTTCGGATGAAAACAATATAACGCTGTGCACCACAAAGATGAAACCTTGCGATGTTTTCAACGAATACAAATGCGCCAACAAGAAGTGCATCGACAAAAAACAAGTCTGCGATTTCGCGGATGATTGCGGTGATAGTTCTGACGAGTTGGGCTGTCATCATAACAACGCTTGCACTGGAATTGACCAAGGAGGATGCGAACATCATTGCATGAACCTTACCGATGGCGGTTATATTTGTGACTGTTTCTCAGGATTCATTATTTCAAAGGATAACAGGAAAGTTTGTTTGGATGTGGATGAGTGCGCTACAGGAGAACACCATTGCTCGCAAATTTGTACGAACTTGAATGGAACATACTCTTGTTCTTGCAGAGAAGGTTTTAGATTATCTGACAACTTATCAGGTGTCTGCAGAGCTATTGAAGAAGAAGCTACACTGCTGTTCGCAAATGGGCCAGAAATCAGATCGTATGACATTAAAGAACGGGAAGAGTCAAACGTAATAAGCGAAGAAAAGAGAATCGAAGCTATCGATTATAATCCTAGATCGCAAATGATCTTCTGGGCCGACAGTTATGATAAGACAATTAAGAGATCGTTTATGGTAAACGCTAATAATGGAGAAGTTAAAACCGGTTACGCTCAGGATTTGGAAATGAAGGGCAATTCCAAACCTACAGCTTTGGCTGTGGATTGGGTGGCAAATAATTTGTATTGGACGGAATCTGACAGAGCTGGATCCAAACCAAAAGGCAGAGTAATGGTGGCCAAGACTGATGGTAGATACAGGAGAGCTGTAGTAAACGTTGGACTAGAAAATCCAACGTCTCTTGTAGTTGATCCGCAGCTAGGTAGAATGTTCTGGACAGACGCTGGTTCCGCACCCAAAATAGAAGTATCTTGGATGGACGGTTCCAAACGTAGACCATTAATTACCGATGAAATTAGACATCCAACTGGATTGGCCATTGATTACGATATGGACCATACTTTATATTGGGTTGATACCAAGTTAAATAACATTGAAACCATGAAATACGACGGTACCAACAGAAAAACGGTGCTAAGAGGTGAACAATTGAGACATCCCATTTCGTTGGACGTTTTTGAATCTAGTTTGTACTGGATTACGAAAGATACAGGGGAACTAGTGAGACAAGATAAGTTTGGACGTGGAGTTCACTTCACTGTTCAAAGAGATTTGTTGAATCCATCAGCCATTAAAGGTAAGAATAGGTTGTATAAAATATCTAAAAACTCTTTCAAGTTCAAAATTTCAAGTTTTTGTTTTGTGAGACCACAGTGGTCGGATATCCCAAAAAGCTGGCCAAAACTCGAAAATGTTGTAATTTTGCCTAAAATTTTCTTATACTTACCAGGGTTTTTGGGGTGGCTGATTACGAATTTTATGTTATTTTTTAAAAAACAAAATGAAGGATACAAAATGGCGGAGTTGTTTCATGACTTATGATTTTTTTTAAACGAAAATAATAGCTCAGGGGTTTTTTCGGTCGCTGATTACAAATCTGATGTTAGTTTAAAAAAAACAAAATGGCGGAATGATTTTATTTCAGCAAAAATACTAATTTGGGGGTTCTCGTAATTGCTGATTACGAATTTAATATTAGTTTTTTAAACAACAAAATGGCGGATACAAAATGGCGGAGTTGTTTCATGATTTTTATTGAAAAAAAAATAGGTCAGGGGTTTTTTGGGGGTTTAAAGGGTTTCTTAGAAAAAAAAATAATGAAAGAAAAGCGGCTTTCATACGGTATCCATGAAACAAATTTTATTAACATGTTAATAATTAATAAAATAAAATAAAAACCCATCTTCATGTTTAAATTTAAATCATGAATACATTTTGAAAAATCGTTAATACATTCGTTCAAGATTTTAATAAAGGACTTAAAAATGACCCGAACATGCATTGAAAATCGTCACCATTGATGAAGATCAAATGAACACCCAGTATATACTATTTCGATTAAGAAACTACCGGTTCTCTATTGTTACGTCCAGCGAGCTCGGTTTTTCGACGCTCGCAAGCTTTACTTCCTCCTGCGCTATTGCAATAAATAATTTTTTTCACTAAAAGGTGGACAAAGGTGGAAGTTCCGTCTGCGTCATTTAATTGTTTATACTTTTTTACACATGAAACAGTTTGCAACTGTTCAGGTTCTCGCCGGATCACTACTATTTCGTTACATTTATTCATGCTCCGTATGGAAATACAGAAATTTAAACATGTCAAATTTAAAGGTTTCGCCGCAAATTAAAAAAATTAAAAAACTCATGATGAAACATTTCTAAATAATGTACATACCTTCAGGAACATCTCCCATTTTTTTCCGATCTCTTCACAACACTTTTACACGTTAAAATTCCGTTTCTTGCCGCGACGCATAAAAGTGAATAAACGCCAGAGTGTTAAAAGGGCGAACTTTGAAAGAACACCTACAGTCTAAAAGGCGATCTTATGCTCTGTCCCTTTGGATTTTACTACACTAACACCATCTATTCGAGATTTACCCTGAAAGGTACATTTTGATTTTTGGGTTTTGGCCAGCTTTTTTGGGATTTCTAACCACAGTGCGCCCTGTCCATAAACTTGGCCAGATACTAAATATTTTGTTTATTTTTAAGTTTACCATCATCTTCGCTACAACACCTCAATCTCCAACCCATGCGGTTCATCTAGCTGCTCTCACTTATGTCTGTTAGTTCCTAACGGTCACCGATGTTCCTGCCCAGACACCTCGTCGCCATCCTCGTTGGCCACCGCCTACAAAACAAAAGCGGAGATCACGTGCGACGCGCCGGCCGAACGCGAACGACCAGAGCCGAAACGTTGTCCGTGTCAAAACGGCGGTTTGTGTCGCGAAGGTGACACTGGCGACTTGATGTGCGAGTGCCTGGAAGAGTTCAAGGGTGTACATTGCGAGATTCAAACCGCACATAATCGACAAGGAGGCGGCGGAAACGTAACCGCCATCGTGGTCCCTATTGTCGTTATTCTACTTATTATTGGAGCTGCCGCTGGAGTGTGGGTATTCTTGAGAAAAAGACCATTGTAAGTAAAACAAAACGTTTTGCCGAAAAACAGGTAAATAAAACTGCTTTTCTTTCTTAGTGGTAAATCTGGTTTGGGCAGCTTGGCAAGTAGCCAGAGCGTTTCCTTCAGACAGGGAACGAACGTCGAGTTCGGGCCAAATTCGTTCAATGCGAACGGCAGCGGTGCTGGTGGCGAACCGCTAGATGTCGCATACAGTCTAGACCCACTGGACAACAAGAGTCGCGACTTTACTAACCGATTGTACGACGCTGTGCAAAACAATCCCGAAGCGGTCGGCAACGGAAGTTCAGGTAAGATTAGTATTAAATAATTTATTGTTTCGACCTTTACTTGTTAAGACTCCATGTCAAAAAAACAAAACATTGTTTTTGAGTTTGACGTCTTTATATAAATTTTGACAATTGCTATAGCTTTTTCAAAAATGATTTCAAACTTAATCTAATAACATATTTTATGGATAACAAAATAATTCCAGGTAATGTTTTTTTAAATATTTTATTGTAAACTAAATAGGATAATTTACCTGTCTACTAATGTCATAAGACGTCATTTTGTCGCATGCGGACGAAGGAGCGACAAAAGGTCTTATGACATGAGTTCTTTATGCTATTTTATCTATTTTGCAAAAAATCTATAAAAAAAGGAAATTTTATAACTTAAATTTAATAAGATAGTTGGTCGTCACCATAATATAATAAGGTTGTATGTTAAAAAAAAACGAAAAATTTAAGTCTATGTTTCTACAGGATTATACGTGGCCTACGCTTCACATACTACTTAAAAATAATTCTATAGAATGTATATTCTATGTATACATATATTTTAGCTATTTTCAAGTTGTAGGTATGTCAAGGGTGGATTACATAAAACCTTGTAGAAGCATAAACTCAAATTTTTCGGTTTTTTAACATACAACCTTGTTATATTAGGGTGACGTGGTATCACAGTCATTGGTTTGACAGTTAATGTCAAAATCGATAAGTACTAGAAAAATCATAAAAATATTATAACCAATATGCAAAATATTATGCTGTTTAAAGTATAGCCAACATATAAAATCAAAATTTTGGGTGGGATAAAGTATCTCATTACAGCACCAAAAGCGGTGTTATAATGAACGCAAAATAGATAATAGTTATTTATATATTAAGGGCATAATAAGGTTTTTATGGTCCGAGGCGCTATTTCGCGTCCTAGGACCATAAAAACCAGTTATGCCAGCAATGCATACAAAACTTTATGCACGATTAATATATTATTATTTTTAATATATTATTGTTTTTAAAGACGTTTATTTCATACTGTACTTTAATGTGCCATTTCCTGGACTCATTTGAGTCCGGAAAATGATACATTACATCACTAGGCCGGTAAAGTAACTTTACCGGACTGGTATATTTTAACAACACATTATAAGTTTTGCGCCATTCACAGAATATCTCGTATTCCTTTTGATATCGTCCGGAAGACTTGACCGGGATAAGTTTCGCCGTCGCTTCAGAGCTTTTTTTCAAAATCTCTGCATTCATTTTATTTGAAATTATTCAAAACGATGCTGAATTGACAAACAAGACAATCAATAAAAAAACTCTTTGTTACTGTTAGCAACCGATTCAAAGCATACTACATTATCACCCTATGTTACTGGTGCTACATTTTATAGTTTGTTTAGACAATACTGATACCATCATGTACTGACACATTACTGACACCTTCACCTGAATATACAATTCAATTACCAAAAATTTGATAAAAATATTGAACAGTATGAAATAAAACATTGTACGATACACGGCCGTGAAATGTCATTAAAGTACTTGTCTAGAAATTCCAAACATCTAGACTCGTACTTTAATAAGCCATTTCCCGGCCTTGTAACGTAAATTACTATTACGTCAAAGAATTTTTGTTATAATTGTCATATTATAATGTCAACTGACACCAGTCAGTTTTAAAGTTTAAAGATGAATGAAATTGAGGAAACAGCTGAAAAGGCGAAAAATTGCGGCCTGCTGCCGGAAAAATCAAAATCTTTATACGAAAAAACTTACTTCGAATATATCAAATGATATCCTTTTTTATGGGTGTTAACATTGTTGTTTTTAATTTAGCCATTATAGCCCGCTGGGTCATAATAACGCCCGCGGGCTATAAAAAGACGTTTACGTCAAAGAATTTTTGTTATAATTGTCATATTATAATGTTATCGTGCATAATAGTTATTTATGTATTAAGGGCATAATAAGGTTTTTATGGTCCGAGGCGCTATTTCGAGCCCGAGCGCGTTAGCGCGAGGGCTAGAAAAGCGTCGTAGGACCATAAAAACCAGTTATGCCAGCAATGCATACAAAACTTTATGCACGATTAATATATTATTATTTTTAATATATTATTGTTTTTAAAGACGTTTACGTCAAAGAATTTTTGTTATAATTGTCATATTATATAATGTCAACTGACATCAGTCAGTTTTAAAGTTTAAAGATAAATGAAATTGAGGAAGCAGCTGAAAAGGCGAAAAATTGCGGCCTGCTGCCGGTAAAATCAAAATCTTTATACGAAAAAACTTACTTCGAATATATCAAATGGTGTAACATTGTTGTTTTTAATTTTTGACGTTTCATTATAGCCCGCTGGGCCATAATAACGCCCGCGGGCTATAAAAAGACGTTTACGTCAAAGAATTTTTGTTATAATTGTCATATTATAATGTCATCGTGCATAAAGGTATTTTAAAAGTAACAAATGTTCTACTTAATCAATTATGTGTAATTTATATTGTATATAATATTAGAATAAATTTAAAAGAGGGGAGTATTTGTTTCAATTTGATCATTTAGGATAATATCAGTTTTTGTACTGGAATCTTTAGAAATAATAAAATTTATTCTAATATTGTATACGATATAAATTCCCGATTATTGATTTAGTACATTTGGTACTTTTAAAATACTTTTCCAGGTAAATTCTCCTACTTAGTTTAATTTTAAAAAAATCATTACATAAATTATGTTTTTATATTAAGTTTGGAATCATTTTTTAAAAAGATACTGTGTTAGCGAAACAATTAAAATAAAGACGTGAAACTTAAAAAACAGTGTTTTGTTTTAATACATTTATCATAGATAAATCGATTTAGGTCAATATTGCTATTTTCTTTAAAAGTAAATAATTAATTTTACCTACTCCCATTGCATAATATTGTTTTTTTTGTGAATAATGATAAACATTATAAATTCCCTGCCTAATAACGGGAATTCCGGAATGAACTCATTATTCACGTTGTAATCATTTAATTATCTACTTATTGGAGTATTACACTCGAGATTATAGCCATTATTCAGGTGATTTAAGTCTCTCGTCTGGCGACTCGAGACGCAAAAATCATCCTCGTGAATAATCTCTCGTATAATAATATACTATTAAATTGAATAAAAATAAATTGAAAAAACGTTAAAAGTTAAATTGACTAAAATTACACATATCTTGATAATAATTATGTAATTTTGAAACCTGTTATAATTTTTTTTGGGATAATAATTCAAAATTTAAAATTTTACCGTCCAAAAAATCATTTTTTTAGGAAGTATTGACCATTATACAAATAAGTAAATTAAATTTTTACTTTTTATACAACTTTTCCCAAACATGTATTGAAAGTTTTATAGTCCAAAACAATGTAGTTTTTTATTATTATTTAAAGTGGTGAATCTTGATGATCATTGTTTGTTTTTAAGTTTTATATTTATTTAATATTATTATTTATTTATTATTTATACTAGGTGTAGTCAAAAATATTCAGAACATTTTTATGTTTGATATGGTTTTTGGGAAGAGTAAGAGTAAGATCCTCCTCATTGCAATTTTCCATTTTCACATTAGTTTGATGAAAAACATTTTGTATCTCACTAATAAATGAATATAAGTACCTACTTTAAAATGAATAGGTAGCAAAAAAGTTTTTTTTTTGTGTTTTCGATAAATGTAAAAGTTTCAAAGGTAGGTAATTGCGCGCGCGTAATAATATTAAGTTTTGTTTAATATAAAGTATATTCCGTAGGGTCTAGTGGTTGGGATACCTATAGTCTTTTTATTTAACACACGGACAAACACAATTAAACTGCGTGATCTACGCGTAGCGAGGTCCTCATTGGTCAATTTGGAGGTTGTGGGTCGTGCTCCTGTATACCGACAAAGGGACAATCAAGCGCATAGTGCGTAATTTTGTTAAGTTTAGTCCGTCAATTATATAAAAAGACTGTAGCTAGTTTCTGAATAATTTATTGGTATAAATGTTGTAATGTAGTTATTTGTACGACAAAATAAATGTTTTCAATGTCTCTCATCCAAGGGGCTCGGATACCGGAAATAAATGTAAAATAGTTAAAATCTTAATTAATTAGAACACATTTTTATAGATATTTCAAAAATAAACAGGTAACATTAATATTTTTTACGGTAATCCTTAAGTTGCAACTATATTTAAAACACTTTATCAAAAAACTTTTTTGTAGATAAATTTTTAACAAAAATATGTACTACTCATTTTTAAATCCTAATTATTCTGAAAGTTTAAAAATTAAAAAAAAATAATATTTTTCTTTCAAAACTTTGTGAATTTTGACCCAAGATATCTTTTTTGTAGATCCCTTATTGGGCTTAGCTTTATCAGGGTGTGCCTGAAAGAGTTTTAAGTCACATAAAAATGCCGCCAAAAACTGATTACAGTTGCTTGTTTGGGACCCTTTGGTGACTTAAAAATGATATTTACCAAAATCCTAGCTGCTCCTCTTTTCAATTTTTTTTTAAATTCATGATTTTTTTTTTAAATTTTTTGGAGATAAATATCCTTTGGGCATTATGCTTTTTACTATATAAAAAAGTGATTTTTAGCTAACCCTTTATAAATCTAATAATATGCTCAGTATGAAAACAGTATTCTCTAAGTCTTGTAAACAACATACTCCAATAAAGATAGGTGTACAAATATGCCCTCTGGCAAATAATAAATAAATAATTAAAAAAATAAATTGAATTTTTTACAAATTAAAAAAAAGCAGTTAGAATTTTGGTAAATATCGGTTTTAAATCACCAAAGAGTGCCGATCAAAAAAACAGTTTTTCGTTCAAAATTGAAAACTACTAAAAAACCTAAATTACACATTTTAAATATTCTCTAAGTGATATTTTATTAAAAAACTACTTTTCTTATTAAAGGTTAATGCCATTTTGTAACCTGATAAACGTAGAAATATCTAAAAAAATGGGAATAAATCTTTGTGTGCCAAAACCATGAATTTACGCTTTTGCTTTATTAAAAATAAGCGATTTTTGGCTAACCCTGTATATTTCAATTAAAGTGAACAGCATTAAAAAGTATTCTCTAAGTCTTCTCAATAATATACTCCAATTTTATAAAAATCGGTGTACAAATGTATACTCTGTCAAATTTATTTAAAATTGTACAATTTGTATAAGAGTTTTCACATATCAGAGTGCGTAACTTGATAATCTTTTTGTTGACGCAGTCCACAGCAATAACATGATGAGAATTTCCGGTTAAAAAATAATTATTTTTATAAACATGGCTACTTTAACCTTGGAGCATATGTTTTTGGGGTTGACAGATTCGCACATTTGCTGCCCACCGTTATTAAATAAAATGTGGATAACAACAAGAAAAACTAATAATTTTGCAGTGTAGTCTAAAAAGTTAACTCTGGTTTACTTGTTACAGCGCTTTACGAAGTGCCAGCAGAAGTGGGAAAGTCGAAGGGCGAGACGTTCACTGAGCCTCCAAGCGCGGTGATAGCGCCATCTAGCGTGACGCATCGCTCATCGCCGCAGGTGCAAGTGAAACACCGCGAGTTGGATCCAGCCGCGTCCGACACAGGCAAAGACACCCAGAAACTCGTTGAAGAAGACTGCTGATATCAAATCAATAAATCCTTTGTTTCGATTTTGTTTGATGGTATTTTTACAACAGTGAATAATGAACTTTTTTAATGATTCACGGAAAACTTAGTCAATGATAATTTATTCAACAGCGAACAAAAAATTTACGTATTTAAGTTAAGCACAAAATTATATTCTGCTAAGTGAATTTATGGACTTTTTTTGGATTTTATTTAAGTTTAAAGTGTAGATATAAAAATATTTTTATATTGTGGGATAGGTGAATGTCACGCTCGTTTAAATAAACTGGCTCAATTTTCTCAATATGTATAATGTATAGAAGTGCCATCAACATCCAATAAAATGAAGTTGAAATAATTGTGCTAGTTTTGTTGAAGGAATTTGTATGCCAAAACAAACGTTAATCATGTGCAACTAAAGAATCTTCCATTTTTTTAAAACCAATTACAACTGTAAATATAGGGTGTAATGTAATATAAATTTGTTAGTATTATTAAGTTTCAGTTAGATAATTTTTATAACTACCCTCCATTTCTATATCATTCCATTACGTTTTGAACAAGAAAGAAATACACTATTTAAACAGTGCACTTTCTAAATACATAAACACTTTACTAATTTTCACAAAATAATGGCCAATTAACAATAAAACATTGCAAACTAAAATTAAAGGTGCTGAAGTTAGCAAATCAATTCTTATGTTTCTTTCCTTTGTTCAAAGTAAAAAGTTTACACCGTCCAATTGTTATTATAACAATGATATGCATATTTTTAAATCTATATCAAACTTCAGTATACATTAAAGTATTGTTTTAATTAGTTTAAAATTTTATTAAATTGTTATTTAGTTCATATGAGTTTATGTTAAACAACTGTTAAATAATGGGTTTGTTGCAATTATGGAAGAATGTCAATGTTCATATTGACTAGATTAGAAGATCTTTTTAAGGACTGTACTTAGAACCATTTGGCACCAACCATAGTTTAAACAAACTTAAATTTTATTCTATTATTCATAACCTTGTACATATTCTGGGAACAAAAAATGTCTGTTTTAAAATAAATAATATAGAGGTTGTTTATATAAAAACTGTAGTTTATTTTACGCCACATTTCCTTAACTAATTAAATAAAACAGTTATTATGACTAGGAAACTAACAAACAAATGTTTAAATAATGTTTTAAATATAATCTTTATGTTAAAACTTAGAGTAAAGAGTCAAGAGATGGAGCATACGTTTGAATGTAACCCACCACAAGTATGCATGGATTTCTGTCAATTTTTTTAAATGATATCTTCAAAAAAATTATTTTTAAAACATATTGACTTTAAAATAAATTGCAATGACTGGTAAATGCTCAGATATAAATACTTATAAATAGTTTATTTATTTTGACTTTTACAAATTTGATTATGTTGTAGACTACAACTTGTAGTCATTAAAATGTTTTATAAGATTGGTATTCTTATTTCAAATAATTTTAAATAATTATCTTGAAATTGTATAAACAATATAACAATTTGCGATTTTATGTAGGGGGCTGTCCATAAATGATGTCACACTTTTTAAATATTTTTGACCCCCCCCTCGCCCTTGGCGTCACGTCACACTGATTTTGTATCAATATTTATTGGTTACAATAATTATTTTTCTGAAAATACAAAATATGTAAATTTGATGGTAACTAAAAAGTATCAATTTTTGACCAAAAAGCTGTCCCCAGAAAAAAATCTGGCTACATTTAGTACATTTTTTAGTAAGTTGTTAGCACATTTGTAAAATTAGGGGGTCTTCATAAGTTACAAAGAATAAAATATACTTTAATACAATGCCGCACAAGAGGACGTGATTTATTTATAAACATTACATTTTAGGACTAAATTAACAATATTATCACCTGGTGATTATTGTTGCCAATTTAGCCCTAAAATATAATGTTTATAAATGAGGAGGTGCATTCCAAAACCCGGCTTATCCATATTAGTTGTTTTTGAGCAAAATGTCAAAAACCTTAAACGTGAGTACTAACGCATATCTGGCCAACACAATACTTTAAACGAAATATTTAGGCATAAGTAAAACATGTATATACCTTGATTAAAAAGGTATAGCTCCAAATTAAAATAATTTAAAATTACATACGTATATGCTAACTTCTGCAGGATATAACCAATAGATAAGGCAAGTTTTAAAACGATAGTCAATTTGTAAATGAATTTTAAATGGAATAAGGTGAGTTTTAGAATATTATGAACTTTTCAGGGTATAGGGGGATACATGTTAAATGTACAGATAGGATAAGCCGAGTTTTGGAATGGACCTCCTCAAATATTCGTATCTTCTGCAAATAATTTTGTCATACAAGTAGCTAAAAATTTGACAGTATTTTTTTAACTAACCCATACGTTTATGCAAATATGGTTTTGAAGTCTTTCACAGGTGGCTATGACGGATTTTAATAACAAAATGAAAATTAAATATAAATTGAAAAAATAGTTTAGATATAATATAAAATAGCGGTGAAGAGAATGTTTCCATCGCGGAGATTATACGAGCAGAGGCAGAAATCTTCAGAAGTTTTACAGCCTCAATTAAAAATCACCAAGGCCCGATTTATAAAAATAATAAATAGAATTCTTGAAAACCATTTAATCAACAGGTATGAAGCCCGTAATATGTTGTTTGATCATTTATTTTAAATTATATTTTGTAAAATGTTAATTTTATATTTTCGTTTGTTTCTTAGTTATATATATAAAGTGCTCTTTTTTAGTTCCACCCTTACATCCAAACTAAGATGTCCCATAAGCCAACTGAATGGCTTGTGCGGGTTAAGGGTAGGAACGGACCGACGGCTTAAAGTCCCCTCCGAAGGACTATATATATATATATTTTTTCGGGACTGATTCCTGCATTAGTTACCTTGATCCCGAAAGTTCCGGGATTGGAAAAATGGCTCGGAATTGACACCAGTAGTACCCAGGGCTGGATGCTCCGGCGGACGAGTTTTGGTTCGTGCCGCGCATGACGTCACTTGATGAGTAGTTGCCGTGCGAATACATAAATAATAGTAATATTATCAAAGAAAATAGAGAAATATCTGGACATAGTGCGTTTTTATTAAACTTAATATTAAAGAAAGTATTATAATATGGATAATAGATGCTTTCAGTTCTTGATGACATTTAGGGCTGTGGTTTAAGCGTTGGTGTTTTAAATTAAACTTATACCTAGTCACTGTCCAGAAAATGTTCATAGGAAAAAGAAGCGGTCTTAACGTTAATATTGTCTTTTTTTTTGTGGCATTTAACCACTGTTTGCACAATTCAAAGTTTTTAGGGAATCGATGAAATTTAATGTGTTTATTTAAAGGGTGGACTGGTTGTCCGAATTGTATCCAAATATGCCTCACCGCATTTTAATAAATGCAAATGGCACGACACAAACTAAAACATAAACAAAACAAGTTAACGCAACACAAAAAAATAATAAACAAACGGAACAGGTTAACTCAACGCAATAAGAATAATTTGAACACTAAAAAGTAATTCGAACCTTACCGAACGCAAAAACAACAAGTTAAACAAAAAAATAGAGCAAGTTAACATCCAACAGCATCGCAAAAACAAGAATTTTAGCAGCATATAAATAAAACGCACGTTAAAGATTTAAAAACACTCATCAAGTGACGTATTATAGCCCCGCCCAACATGCGCACCATCCTATCTTAAGGTGTATGTATCTTGAGTAGTACCCAATGTATTTAAAAATTATATTCTAGAATATTTTTTTTAATTTTCGACGACCCCCTCCACCCGAAAGTGTGTCATTTATGGACGGACCCCAATGTTAACTTTGTTGTATTTTGAAGTTTACGTTGGCATGCGCAAGTCATCGTGGGAGGGACTAACCAGTCCATTGTTGCTACATTGCAATACAATTCAATCTTTATTCACATCACAAAAACTACATAAATAAGATTTGTGAGTAAAGAAATATGTGTTTATTTATAATAAAAGAACATTTTTAGTACAACAATGCAATATTTTAAAATTGAAATTAAAAAAAAAAGTTGTGGAGGCGCCGAGGGTATCGATTCCGGAACGTCTCGCATGCTAAGCGCTCGGGCACTAAAAAGCCCGCCTGAGCTACTTATAAAACCTTACTATTATGTTTTGCTTAATATAAAAACGTTCGGGCATTCAACTTCATTAAACTACAACCCAACCCAAGCCCGCCTGAGCTACTTTAAACCTTACTAATATGTATAGTTTATTATAAAAATGCTTGGGCATTATTATTATTATTATTATTATTATTAATATGGCAACAAGGGACTAATTAGTCCCTCCCACAAAGCTTAAACGACATTTAAGCGGAATACATACTTTCAGTTGGCGTTGGCGCTCACAGTTTAATAAAATCGAAGGCTTGTCAATGCTGGGAACAACAGCATGGGCGATCACATACTTCCTTTTATGGAAGTATGTGGCTACGAATGCCAACCGAAAGTTTATGAATACGATTAATTGAATCTACCAAACCTCCAAATTGTTGACATTTTAAAAGTCTAAATAAATAACGAACTGATACCATAGAAAAAGTAAATGTTTTATTATAATCAATAAATGTGACACAGAATAAAGAAAGGAAGCCTTTTTAGAGCAACGCTAAATAGTGGTACATGGCAAACAAATGACACACAATATATAATATTCCTTTTTTCATTCTGGGTCACAAATATACAAGGTGTTGCAAAAATGGCGCACTAACGCCATACCACTTTTTAAGAACAAACAAATTATAGTCGTTTTTTGGTTTTTAATCATTTAAGTTTAAAAATTCGGTAACGCTGGAGGCGCGCTGTGTATTAAGCCGAAATATCACACATCTAAAACGGTTGTAATGGAAAAACATGGTTAACAGATGAGTTTTTTAAGTTTGTGACAAAAAATTAATAAATCGTCACCTGAGAATTATAGTGTTCTATCTACATTTTCTTTTTTTTATTCAGGTTAGTCTTGTTTTAAGTCTTAAAGATGATATTGATCTATCTATATATAATTGGGGTGGAAATTGTAAAGTTTAAGGCTTAAACTGTACAATTTCTACCCCAATTATATATAGATAGAACAATATGCATCTTTAATACTTAAAACAAGACTAACCTGAATAAAAAAAAGAAAATGCAGATAGAACACTATAATTCTTAGGTGACGAAATGTTTAGATCATTTTTTTAGTAATCTTTCTAAGAAGTCTACTAGAACTCAACTGAATGGCTTATGCATTCAGGATAGGGGGTAGGAACGGACCGCGGTGTAAAGTCCCCTACAAAGGTCTTATACACAATAGGACAAATACAAATAAACAACCATACCAATTTATATAAATAATCTCAAAAATAAAATAACAAATAATTTTTTTATAATTTTAATAATGCGTCCTACAGAGTGGCATGGTGTGTGCGCCATTTTCGGGACACCCCGTATAAAATGTAGTGGCAGTGCTGTTTGCCAAATTATTAATTTTTAAAGGACCCTAAATTACAACAAACTTTTCCGAAAATAATAATAATTTAATATAAAAATTAAAACATACCTAAAATCTAATTTGATTGTGAACCTTATTTACAAGTACTGCTAGACCAAAATATTTATTGAGGTTTTATCTGGTTGGCAGGGTAATATTCTACGCTACCAAGCATAGTTTCCTTAGCACTTTAAATTAAGGGAATGTTTAAATTAGAACTTGATGGTAGTATAATAATTGTGATAAATTATTATTATTGACTTGGTATATGGCTTTCTACAAAAGCTTTCATATCATTTAACTCTTCATCAGAAGAGGTATGCATTAATCCTCTGTATGATTTAAAATCGGGTGACTTAAGCAGAGTTTTAAAACTGAAGCTGTCATTTGGCCCCACTTATACGGTACTACTGGATCACAGTCGCCATGGCATTGAAGAACCTAATAAAAAACCAATTTAATAAAAATAACGGAAATTTGTATTAAAAACTTACAGATAATTCATTGCTGGTTTTCATTGCACCTGGAAAAGACTTTCTCAATGGCAACCAACATGATAAAGCTACAACTCCCGCTAATTTTTGTGGGAAACATAATGCAGAATACAAAGCAAGGGCGCCACCTTGTGAGAAACCACCCAACACAATTCTGTTGGCAGCAATTCCCGCTTTAATTTCGTTTTCAATCAAGCCATGGATTTGTTTTGTGGCTGATCTGATGCCATCATCATCTTCTGGGCCAGATTCATCCAAAGTTTTTAGATCAAACCAACTTGGCATTCTGAAACCTGCATTTAGAGTTACAGGCATTGTTGGAGCTGTGGGGCAGATAACTTTTACATGGGGTTGTCTTATGGCACCCATTGCACTTGCCCATCCTTGACTAAAAATAAATATAAAAAATTATTTTCAAAATTACAAGCATACAATAATTAAAATTAATTAGATATGTACATACAAAAGGAAAGAAAGTAAATAAAAAATAAATTTTAAAAGTGGTTGAAAAAAAATATTCAAGTTTTCAAGAATTTAAGTTTATTGTCATCAACACTTGACACTGAAGTGATTGATTATGGCATAGGCATAAAAAAATCACCATTAAACAGATAAAAACTTTTATTATGCTAGTAATTCGTTGTTGGGCGTCAGTAATTGTCCAATTTCGTTATCCACTGTGATTTGGACCAATCGGGTGTTAAGTTGTCAAAAACTGTCCCGTCCCTCGTATCTAATCATAAAATTCGATATCTGTTTGACTGTTCTAACTTCACTTTTTACTTAGAAAAATGTAAATAAAATTAGCTTTAAATTCTGAATAACTCAAGATAAACTGTTGTAGGCATTTGGCTCAAGTCTTTTTATGCTTTGCTCAATTGAGCTCAGGACAAAAAGACTCACTTCATCATGACATAAATAATATTTTACACAATTTTTTTCTTTAAGTAAAGTTTTTTTTTGGAAGTCAATTTTTTTTTTAATGTTTATGTATACATGTTTCAACTTACTAATATTTATTTTCCTTTAGACTTGAAAACCATTAAATATTTTTTTTTTTTTTTTATATAAATATAATTATGTCAAATAATTTTTTACCAAATTTATTGTTAATATACAAGGTGTCCCTAAACTTAGTGGCATAAATTTAGGAGCAGATTAAGCAAGTCAAAATAAGACGAAAATCTAAATAAATATTTTTCCTAATTCGGTATGTTTAAAAGATACAGGGTGATAAAGTGTTACTTATCATATCAGTTTTTTGAATATAACCTCTACTATGGTAGACTTAAAAAGGTGATATTTTGCGAGCAGTCACTTACTACCAAAACACATATTCACACATAATTACAATTCTTTGAGTAAACGCAGTGTCGTAGAAACAGGGTTTGCTTAAGCTTATTGTCCCATATAAACTTTGAGGTTAGGTTTTTCTACCATTTGATGCAATTTTTCGATTACTCAGTTCGGCTACTATTAAAAAGGTATACCGCATAAACTTCGATAAAATAAACCCTTTCCGAGATATTCGAGATTACAATAATTGTTATATCGCATTAAAAGACTAAAAGGTATATGATAACAAATTTTTTAATTGAAAAAACTACAATTTTTTTTTAATGTGACGGTCAGGGGAAATGCCCTTTTTAGATTTTTCAATTAAAAAATAAAATTTGTTATCATATACCCTTTAATCCTTTTAAATAATGGGACAATAAGCTTAAAGCAACCCCTGTTTCTATGACACTGTGTTCACTCGAACAATTGTAATTATGTGTGAATATGTGTTTTGGTAGTAAGTGACTGTTCGCAAAATATCACCTTTTCAAGACTACCATAGTAGAGGTTATATTAAAAAAACTGATATGATAAGTAACACTTTATCACCCTGTATCTTGGAAACATAAGTAATTAGGAAAAATATTTATTTAGATTTTCGTCTTATTTTGACTTGCTTAATCTTTTCCTAAATTTATGCCAATAAGTTTAGGGACACCTTGTATAAATGTATTTATATGGGCAGAAAGACTTCAGTCATTAGCCTTTTGGTTTATTCCAATAAAGATATTTACTACTACTATTTATTTTCCTGTTTAATGTTTATTATTAAAATCAATTTATTGTACAGAATTTAATGTTAAATACCTAAATATTAATATTATCATTAAATAATAAATTTTGTTTTTTTTGTAAAAACATAAATCAAAATATTTTATTATGTAATTGTAATTGTAATTAGGCAGGAAGATGTAAGTTGCTAGCCATTTGGATTTTCCAATAAAGTTTATTATTAATATTATTAATTATTATTATTTAATTGTTTTACATTACATTTGTAAATTTAAACATGGCTTTAATTTTGCAAAAACAGTTTATCAAAATCATAAAAACTTCTTATGGAAATAGTTTTCATGATAACGGATGGGACATTATTTTCTCAATATATCTATGGAAACCTTTTTAAAGTCTCTATGTATTACTGCAATTTCATGATTGCAATGATGGCAATTTAAATATATCCCTCTAATTTGTCTAGAAAATATTAGGGTTGGGATGTGAAATGGGCCAATTAAAGTTTACTTGTAAAATAATCTGTGAATGTGTTCAAATAATCCAAGATATTTTGGATGCTTTCCACCAATCTAAAGATCCTAAAAGTTTCGATTGTTTTTTAACGAAAATAGCTAATCCAACAAAAAAAATACAAATAAAATAAAATATTGTACTACGAGCCCTAACCACATAATGTTCGGACACTTCATAATTTATACAGAAATTTTTTTCGTGAATACTATCTCAAAATTATTAGAAGTTATGAAAAATTCAGCTTATTTTGGCATATACCCCTCGAAGCGATTTTTATTTTTAAAAAGTTTACCTTTTATTTTTAGCTTTTAAAAAAAGGCTAACTTTTTAACTTTTTTTTGTATGAGTAAAAAAAGTTATAAATGGACCCATTAAAAAGAGCATAAAATATTATACAAACCCTGAAAATTTGGTAAAAAATAAATAAGTTATAAAAAAGTATAAGTAATTTAAAAATGCTATTTTTAAAGAGTTTTTGCAATTTTCTTAGGAAACGGGAGATTTTGCAGATATATATATATCGCTATAACTTTCTTATTATTTATACAATTTTTACCAAATTTTCAGGGTTTGTATAATATTTTATGTTCTTTTTAATGGGCCCATTTATAACTTTTTTTACTCATGCAAAAAAAAGTTAAAAAGTTAGCCTTTTTTTAAAAGCTAAAAATAAAAGGTAAACTTTTTAAAAATAAAAATCGCTTCGAGGGGTATATGCCAAAATAAGCTGAATTTTTTATAACTTCTAATAATTTTGAGATAGTATTCACGAAAAAAATTTCTGTATAAATTATGAAGTGTCCGAACATTATGTGGTTAGGGCTCGTATAATGGATGGGACACAAAAAATGGATTTAAACATAATACTTTTATTTATAAGAATATTTGAGCTAAGCTCAAAAATAGCAAACAAATTAATTAAAAAATCAAAATACGGAACATCCGTTCTTCTGAATTTCAAAAGTCAAAACACGTTTAATAATTAAGGTATTGGAATTAAAGCTTACAATTACCATGGAATGGCTGAGCAGCATTTATAGCATATGTACCAGTTTTTGATCTTGATAAAATCAAGTTGATATGGTTTGTTGTCAACAGACCCATTTTCTTCAAATCTCTTTAATTTAAATTTGGTTATTCAGTAGACAATTAAAAGTATTAATATTAGGACATAATAAAAAAAGTACAGTTTTATTTTGAACATTTGAACACTTGAAAAAGGATAACTTTGGTGATATGTTAAACAAATATTAGAAATATTTCCAAAACAAAACAAAGCATTGTTGGTAAAAAGTACTTTAAGCACTTTGGGTTTTGTGTTGATGTTTGGGAATATTTGTAATATTTGTTTATAAATAGTAAAAGTTTAAATGTAAACCCACCAATAACAGTTGAAATTCTGTTTATTTTCTACATAAATATTTCTACAACTTTTATTTTGATTATTAACAGTTCTAATATTACTACTTTGAGCATAAAAAATGATACAATATCTTAAATAGGATTGAATATTTGCCAAATACATAGATTTGATTTGAAAATCTATTTATGATTAAATAATTTTTTATATTTTATGATTTTTTATATTTTATGATTTTTACATATTTAAGAACATATGTCATGTATATTCTAATTTAAATATTTGCCAATATAAACCTTTAAAACCTTTGTTTTCTGTTAAATGGTAGCATTGAGTACTAAATAATATTAATATTTAAACCCTCACACCTTATTTGATTTTATCCCTTTAAGTTACAAGTCCATTTTTATAAAATCTTAGAAAATAAATAGATTTATTTTAAATATTAGATAGTACTTCTAATCAACCAAAAATATTATACTAAATTGGATATTTCTTACACAACACTGTAATCATAAGAAACTTACCCAGTATCCCCAAGTCCGTGCAAAAAGATAAGCTAAAATTACAATTATTTATTATTAGCCTATTATTTGAGTACTTGTAGAAACAAGAGCAGACATCATTTCCCGCATAGAAATACAATATTTGCCCTGCTAAGCAAAAAGGTGGTAACTACTGTATTACTAAATATTGTAGTTATAGCACATTAAATATAGCACAAATTTTGTGCTTAGCACGACAGAGGACATGTCCGATTTTGATTCCACATGACACATTTATACTTTTTCAAATGTGAAGTAACTTACCGTAGCAGTGTGTTTGGCCGAAGCCGCAATAACCACCGGAGAAGCCATTTGTATAGTTTTAATAAACTAAATTTATTCAAGTATTGGACAAATTTGACAGCAATTTGAGGTGACCTTCAATCGCTTACATCGAATCACAGATTATATTACATCGAATTCGACGGTCTCATCGAACGTTTAAGTCTGTTCGCAAATCTCAAATAAAAGGAAAGTGCGCACTTAAATGTTTCTGTAAATGTATCTTGATTCGTATAGTATTTATTAAACATTTTGTTTTTGAATATTTTCAAAACACTTTAGAAACCCAAAGAAGTGATTGCTGGTAACCAAAATTTACAACGAACAGGATGTCGTAATAGTTTATTTTGTAAAGCCAGGTCCACAATCCACATGTTGTGTGGATTGTGGCCAGGTCTACAATTGTCGCAGGGGTATGATCCCAGAACATAAGCTTGCGCAAAGCACCCTGCGACGTGGCGATGGAGCAAGGTTCTTTTGTCAGCTGGGTGCTTTGCGCAAGCTTATGTTCTGCGACTTGCGACAATTGTAGACCCGGCTTAAAGTCGGGTCTACAATTGTCGCAGGGGTCCGATCGCAGAACATAAGCTTGCGCACAGCACTCCGCGACGTGGCGATGGAGAAAGGTTCTTTTGTCAGCTGGGTGCTTTGCGCAAGCTTAAGTTCTGCGATCTGCGACAATTGTAGACCCGGCTTAACAAGTTTGGAATACGGCATATTCGCAAAGGCGAGTTCGAAGCCTGATTTATAGATTGTTATCCTTCCTTCCTCTCTTCCTCCCGTAAAAGATGAACAATACGAAAACCGTAGTGCCGTTTATAGATTCCCGTACGGGATTATATTGTTCATCTTTTACGGGAGGAAGGAATGAAGGAAGGAATAGTGTATATTTGTTATATGATAGTGTATCCCTTTTCCATGAGTACTCTCGCGTACTTGTGTAGGTATTGCGAACAGACCTTTCAAAAACCAAAAATATTTGCTTTGACCATAGGAATAATACTATTATAATAAATAGCATAGAAAAAGAATATTATAGTATATAACAAATTGTATTATTTATACTTTTAGACTAAAAGTTTTAGTATTATTATTTATGGTATTATAATAAATAGTATTATTACTATGGCCATGGAGCTTACACAAGGAGTCCGAACTACATGTAAACAAGAATCTTCCTAAAGAAAGTAGGCGCTGGTGTCCTGTTTATTCTGAAACAATTGACTAATTTGTACCGAAACGCTACCAAAAGAGCAGACGTCAGGACGCATCAACAATCAGCGCCGCAGGTGGTGAAAAAAAAGACTTAATTTGTGCAATTTAGAGGGCAGGTTTTGTCAATTTTCCCTATTAAGTTCGGGCTCCTTGTGTAGGCTCCATGACTATGGCTTTGACAGAAGCAAGACTCTTGATCTTTTGAGATCATTTGACACATTTGACGTTGTCAAATGGACAATTCAATAAATCGTATGTCAATTTGAGGAGGGTTATGAAATAGTTTAATTTTCAAAATTTGACTTAATCTCAATACTTTTTAAATTAATTACTGCTTATGACCTCGACATCTAAAAAAATCCGCAAAAAATTAAAACCAGTTAGTCGTGTGTTTGGCAGTAACTCCAAATTTTTAAAGTACATGTTAATCTCTAGATAAATACAATAAATTATTATGTAATGTAATTTTCAAAAGATTGGCAATTTCCCAGGTCAGTCATTAATATGATTATGGATTTTTGGCTATGAAGTAGGTAAACAAACTGGAATATTGATATAAGCAAAAAAGTGTGTTGAATATTGATAAACTCTTGACACAATGGACTGTTAACCCATAGGTTTTTATTTTCGGAATCGGTTAAATTTAATTCTGTGATTACAGTAGTTTGTTTGGTAACTGCAAGCAATGCAGTAGTGGTGCATTACGATTCGAACCGAGTGCCGTATATAATTGTGATATAATAGTTTTTAAATTCTTAGTGTACAGCGATAAAATACTCATTAGCTTAAACAAATATGCCGCGATTATTATCTTCGTTGAGTCTCCATCGCCATGGGATTAATATGCGCCGATCGGGTCTTACGTCATTATTCAGAACCAGCAGCTCAGCTGTTCAGTTGCCGTCGTCGCAAATTAATCACAACACCAACGTTCGTACCATGGCCACCCAAGCAAAACCCACCCTCACCATGGAAAACCTTAACCCCAACATCAAGGTGATGGAGTACGCAGTGAGGGGCCCCCTTGTCATCCGTGCCGGCGAAATCGAAAAGGAACTCGAAAAGGTAAAATATGATGAGAATTTCCTTTTATGCTTTATTTTCATCTCAATCAAAAATTATTATTTTGACAGTTATTTTTGCAAATATTGATTTTTAACGCAAAATGCCAAGAGCAGCTTCTATAGCCTATTTGGGTTGTATTTTTTATGAAAACAGTTATTTTTGTTAGTAAAATGCTAAAATGCAACTTAAAAATTATTATTGTTTTTACAATTTAACCTATTTAGAAAAAAAACGGATAAATCCAGATTCCACAGCTATTTCCATTTAATATGTAGGTATGACCTTGTCAGTGTTACCAGATTCTGTCAAAAAAAGACCGTACGTTTCGTTCGAATTTACCTTAATTACAAAAATGACTCAATGAACAATATTAAATAACGTCAACTTGACATAATTGCATTTATTTGCATTGTTTCATTGTGTCATTTTGTAATTAAGGTAAATTCGAACGAAACGTACGGTCCTTTTTTGACATAATCTGGTAACACTGGACCTTGTTGACATTGAATTTAAAATTTTGCATAATAGTAAAATTACTACAATTACTACAATGCTTAAGCACTGTGAAAAAAATAATTTGAATTAAAAGATTTTTAAATATATTTTATTATTATTGAAAATACCATATTTGTGCCATTTTTATTTTTGTATCTTTTCGTTTTCCGCTTAGACAATAATAATTGGATTATTAAAAATGAGTTATTTTACAAATAATTTTACTGAGCCCAAAAAAAGTGCTTGGTTCCTTTTCGATAAGCACTATCCAAATATTGACAATAATTAAATTAGCAATGACCAAGGTAATGACAATTTGTCATTTGTGATGAAAAACTTCTGTCCCTGTAGGGGAAAGTTTTAATTTAAATATAAATTATTTTGGACACATCTCACTATATAGTGGCATATATGCACCACCAGGTCCTATATGCAGAGATTTCTTCAAGCTTCTATTAGTTTGACCATCCCTTTTAAAAATCTTTTGTAACTTCACCAATCTAATGTAGATTCTGTAATTTAGGAATCGTGTGTATGCCTCAAAGAACAAAACCCAAATGGATAAACCATTGAGTGAAAAGGGGGGTTCCTCAGGGAGTTCTTAATCAATGTATAAACTAATTAAATTTTACTCTTGTTGTTGGCAAATCAGCATTGCCAATGTGAAATATTAAAATTATCTCCCAGTCATCTGAAATTATCCGCATAGATCCGCTTTTTGTGAAAGATGACAAACCTAATTTATTTAAAAAATTGCAAAAAATGCGATATGTAATGCTTGAAATTCAAGTCTTGAATGCTTCCTAATAATCTATAATTATGTAGGTCTAATACAATATTATATATATATATATATATATGTATACTATATAATTATCTTAAAAAAACCTACCTAATTTATCACAATCTATATAGGTACAGTTTATCGGTTTATTATGGTGTTAAATTACTTTGCAATAAATAATTATAGCACACTCTGAATTTCCAAAAAAAAAATTTACCATTTGAAAAAGGGCGTTTTAAATGGTAAATTTCATAAATAAAAATTGCGGGTTTTTCACTAGTTTTTGAGAAAATTAAGTTTGAAAATGCTTTTTTTGACAGATTTTTTGACAAGAACTGTCAAGAAATGTCACATTCAAAGAAATTTATCGCAATGTTGCCAGATGTAAAATTTTTACGCTGTTTGGGGAAATTTATTATGCAACCCAGATTACATGAAATTATTCCTAATTACATACAAACATACATTTTATACCTTTTTTTCGAGTATTTTCAGAATTCGGTAAAAACTCTATACTGTTTAAGGGAGCATCTGTTTATCGCAAATTACCAAACAATATAAAAGAACTTAAAGGATTTAAATTTAAAAAGCATATGTCGCCTTGTGTGGCGAATTTTATTGAATAAACAATGATATATCGTGATATTTTTTCTTTTTTCTGTGATATTATATTTAAATATGTTCCTATTTAGAATTAAAATGTATTAATAAAGTAAAATTAATTTAGATTTAAGAAATGTATTAAGAATTAAAAAATATTTATTAAATTGTATGATTAGAGGTGTCCCTCTATAAACTGTATGTTTCTTGGGATGAAAATAAAGTATTTTATTATTATTATTATTATTATTATTATTATTATTTAGAGAACTTTAATACATGAAATATTTTTTTGTTCCATCCACGACTGTACATTATTAAAAAAATTATCTCGTTTTATAAAATATTTCTTGCATTTCTTTTATTTAATTTATAGCCTTATATAAAACATTTTTTTTGACAATTTTGATGCCAAAATAATATATAATAAATACCTTCAATTTTTTTATAAAAGTTTTGTGATTTGTTCCGTCTGCGTGATTGAAATGGCCTTTTTAATTCTATATTTGATATATATATTTATATACAGTGTGTCCACGGATGCACTTAACTATACTTGTAAAAATATTTATTTTCAATTTTTCGAGGAAAAGTCACTCTTCATAATTTCTTTTGCTTGTTATATAAATACCATTCAAGATGAGAAACTCCTATTTTGTCAAACATGGTGCGCAAAAAAATACAATTGTAGATTTTGCAAAATTAAAAAATGTTAATTTTTTAAGGTCTAATATGAAGAGCTGTAAGGATAAACCAAAAAGCCAAATAAAGTTTTTTCATGTGAGTTGTTGTTACTAAGATATTTGTTATTAAAAATAAAATAAATTCAATATCAAAAACTTATATGAAATGTGCTTAGGCACAGATCAAGCCCGCCTAGGCAACTTGTGTCTATCAGTTTTTACAAAGTATTGGCACACGTAATCATATTAAATAAATGCCGAGCGAAGCGGGGCGGACTTGTTTAGTGCCTGAGCCCGATTTGGCGCGCGTTTAATTGGGCTAAGGTACTGACCAAGCCCGCCTAGGCTCTTTGTAAACGTAATTAAATTTAATAAATCATTTATTATAAATGCCGAGCGAAGCGAGGCGGGCTTGGTCAGTCCCTGAGTCCAAATTCGCGCTCGCAAAATTGTGCTCAGGCACTGACCAAGCCCGCCTAGGCTCTTTGTAAACGTAATTAAATTAAATAAATGCCGAGCCCAATTTTGCGCGCGCGAAATTGGGCTCAGGCACTGACCAAGCCCGCCTAGGCTCTTTATAAACGTAATCAATTTAAATAAATGCCGATCGAAGCGAGCCGGGCTTGGTCAAACAAAAACTCCCAGACGTAATCCACATTATGTGGTATTGGGCTTGCGAGGTCAGGAATGGCCCCGTCGCCCAAATTATGGGTACTCGTAGTGGGCGGATTGTTCAAACCTATCGGTATATTAGGGATATTTCGCCCACGACGCGTACCCATAATTTAGGCGACGAGGCCAGTCCTGACCTCGCAAGCCCAATACCACATAATGTGGATTACGTCGCGGACACATACTTTTATTGTGTCGAAAAAACTACCTGCGAGGACATTATTATTATTATTATTATTTTTATTATTATTAAAAAGGCGTGGTCCAGGTTATATATATATATACTCCAGCTCTGGGTCTTAAAATGCAAATTCTAGTACAGTTCCTCACCTTGCAGCGTAACTGGGCTTTTACAAGTCATTATTATAACATTATTAATGTTTTGAATATTCATTTTGAAATAAGTAGCAAATAGCACAAATAAATTTACACTACTTAAAAGGTACCTATATCAATTAAATGACAACTGCAATAATAACAAATTTTGTTTAAAAACAAAATTTTCAAATTATGAAATTAAATTAAGTGCAAAAATTAATACAATACCTAATATAAATAATTTATTTTAATAATTACATGTATAAGTATTTAAATTAAAATTATTTAAAGTATTTAGTTAAATGATAAACAAACCTATAATAGGTTAAATAAATAAATAAATTTAAATATGTTGTTATCCGGGTTGCCTACATAGGTACCGTTAATTAAGATAATATTATATTATTATTCCTATACTTATTTTGCTCATACTTCCGTTATTTCAATATTTCCTTTAATGTTTAGCATATTTCGGAATTTATTTTGATACAATATACATTTTCAATTACAAAATAATGTAATACTTTTGCCAATTTTAAACCTGACAACATTGAAATACATGATAACCAACCTTAAAACACTAATTCTGTCATTTTAAATTGTGACAGTTTAAAATTCAGTGCTGTACATAGAAAAGGTGACAGTTTTAAGCAAGGTTTGCTGAATTTAACACTATAAACATATATTTTAGTGAAAGTTTGGTTTTTCCGCACCTAAATATGCTTAAAATGTGGTTTTATATCCATTTGTGTCGAAAATTTCCAATAAAAATTGGATTTTGAGAGTGTGCTATTGTGTACTGGAACCACAGACCTACCTACCTAGGTCTGTGACTGGAACCAATAATTTGTTATCAATAAACAACTAATGAATATTTAATTAAATTATATTTTTGTATTTCTAGGTAGGTTATAAGAAGTTTTATAATAATATTAATTTTAATGTAAACATTGTTTCATGTTTTAAATAATAGTATATTGTAGACCTAGGCGGAAAGTAAATTTTTTCAGGCTAAAAGAAGCTATATACACTTTTTAAAGCCGGAAAAAATCACTTTACTTCTGTGGTTTACACGACTGCAATATGTTGTTTTTAAATTTAATTTAACATATTGCATCGCTTTCTATTGGAAAAAGTAAAAAAAAATGCCTAGCCATTTGAGGGTGTTTTGCAAGGCTTGCAAAACACCTACTTTCCTCCAATGGAGACGGTAAAATTTAACTTTATCATATTTGACTATAGTGTAAATATATACATATTGCAGGGTTCTCTATTAGAAGTAAAAACATCCTGCCTAGAAATTTCTAGGTGTTTTGCAAGGCTAGCCGTAGAAACCAATTTTTTTGTTTGGCACTACATCATGTAGTCTACATGTACTTTAAAAATATTGTAATATTTATAAAGTATTATCGAAAATAATCTTATCCTAATAAATTGTATGTAAACATTCATTATTTTTATCAGGTTTATTTTGTAAATAATTAATCATTTCTACATGTTTGAATGCATTCAAACCCTATTATATCAAATACCATGAAGCTTTGTGTTATATATTATTTAATACATACAAACCATTTAAAATGTAAATTTTTGAAGGCATTATTTTAAAGGGTATCTACTAAAGATTATTAAATACTGTGTAAAGGAACATGTATTAAAAAGTATTACACAGGGTGTCCCGAGATTACGCACGTTGACTGCCGATGCCAGATTACGGAAAAACCGAATGGTTTTTTTGTTTAAAACTTTCAAAAAAGTGTTTTTTAGTGTTGTAATAATTATAAAATTATAAAAAAACCGATATGCAAAAAATACCAATTTATAACCTAACGTAAAATGAGCTGCCTCGCACAAAACCCGGAGCAAAACTGCTTCATATCATGATGTATCATGATGTATCATGATGTATGATACATCATGTATCATGGCTTCATATTCATATTATAGTACCATTAATGGTACTTGACTCGACAGGTGCGTCATCGGTCATTGGTAGGGGGCCACCGTGACGCAACATTTGCGTCATCGGCAGTCAACGTGTTAACGCCAAACCAACAACTTATAACAAAGTTATAAGGTTTTACTTTTTATTTTAATTTTAACGATTCAGAGAACAATTTTAAAAAAAAGTGCTTTTTTTAATCTTTCTGAGACTGTATAAATTAACTATATAAATACAACAAAACTTTTAATAGTAACATTAAAATGCATTTTTTCAAGAAAAGGTTTTATATGAAAATTACCTACATTCTGAGACTTTTATATATTATATAATATACAATAGCAGCTTATCCTTTTAAACAATAGACAGCAACTACTTATACTTCTACTATTCTACCAATTTGATACTTCCATTCTTCACTGACGTTATTTGCAACTTGTTCAAACTGCAAAGAAACGGAACAGAAGGGACATAAAATGTTGGGGAAACTTTTAATTTTAATATAAATTATTTTGGATTTTCTTTTTTTATTTGCAAAATAATAAATTTTACAAAAATATGTGAATAAGTGAATAAGTCATTTTTTTAAATAAAAATGCACAAAAAACAAAATCCATATAAAACATCCTTTTGTTAAATAAAGTATAAAGCAAAAAATTTGAAGATTTGCCAGTGAAGGTAAGGTTATATAAATATTATTGTAATGGTTGTACAAAATATTAATTAAATATGATTAATATTTTTTATGTCAGGTTAAGAAAAATGGACAATCTTTTAGGAAATTCCCTTAATTTTAGATGTTAATTTTGCGCATTGTGAATGATCGTTTTGTGTTAATTATAAGTATAATTGAAACCACTAATTTTTTCCACTAATTACGAGGTTCTGAATGAGGCTTAAAGCATTTTAAATTATAATCAGGTATTAAAAAGTATTTACCTACCAATTATTTTTGGCTATTCAGGTGTTGCGACACTAAAAAGTTTGATAATTGAAATTGGGAAAAAAAAATCTATTAAAAACTTACAAAAATGACAAGTTTGGTTCATATCTTTGAAACAATACCTTCTAAAAATATGTTGGACCACTGCACCTACCTAATACATAGGTACACCAAACGCAACTCTTACATGCCTTTTTTTTTCTAGGGAGTTAAGAAACCATTTACCGAAGTTATCAAAGCAAATATCGGCGATTGCCATGCCATGGGTCAGGTGCCCATCACCTTCATCAGGGAAGTGTTGGCTTTGGTTACGTACCCAAAACTTCTAGAAGACCCATCTTTTCCGGATGACGCCAAGATGCGCGCCAAACTGATTTTGGCCGGATGCAGAGGGTCGTCTGTGGGATCGTACACCGACTCCCCCGGCATCGAAATCATCAGAAAACACGCTGCTGAGTATATCGAAAGAAGAGACGGAATCCCGGCCGATTGGCAGAATATCGTCATTAGTGCTGGTATGATTTTATTTAATATTGCAGAATTTACCTTTTTAAAAGTTACAAAAAACAAATTTAGAAACACCTTATTAGCAAGCATTTGAACCGGGAAGGTGTTTCTTGAAATTTGCGACTTTACTTTCTATTGAAAATGTTCTCTAGAAAGCAATAAACCAATAAAATTACTTTCAGGCACATTTATATTGTATAAAAAATGTACATTAAAAAAAAAATACTCTATGCCAAATATTACGTATTTAAAAATCCCACTGCCAAATGAATAAACAGATTGGATTCTTTTCCAATTTTATGTCTGGATAATATGAAATATAAAATTTTATAATATATACCTAATTAGTATGGTATTCATTTTCAATAATATTACATTGACCTTTTCTGATTAGGTTTAATCTTGGCTTATTATCTATAAATAGTTATAACCAGTTAAAATTAGTCAAAAAAGTGTTTTAAAAAAGATTTTTTTCAAGCGTATAATAATTTTTATATTATAAGACCCTGCGCAGGATTTTCTCATGGGAAGGGTTTATAATTAAATTGTTAAACATTTATTATAATAACACTTTCTTATAAAAAAAATCCAGAGCTTGGATATTTGTGTTCAGGGCACCCAAAAACACAAGATATGAAGAATTCTTACTTTTTCTTGAAGAATACACATCAATTTTTCTCTTTTTACGAGTGACATTTTTTCTTGAAAATGCGATAACTTGGCCAAAAATGTTTCGATCGATACAATTATAAAAATATTAAAAATTTACACTAAAATCTTTAATAATTTAATTTACTTACTTAAGAGCATTTCCGGTGAAACCAGAAGTGGAAAAAATATGTTAAATATGTAGTTCTAAGCTACACTTTATGAAGGTCACCCCAGTTTCATGACCCTAGATAAAATACCAAACCACGAATTTACTAGAAAATGGCATTTTCATTAAAAAATTATAATTCCAAAACGACGAATTAAGCCAACTAAAAAGTAAAAAAAAAATTGGCAATGACAAAATTTTGACCTCAATTTTTTTTGCATTAAAAAAAAACAATTTAAAAAAATTGTGCGAATTCACTTAAATTTTTTAAAACTGTAACGATCGAAACATTTTTGGCCAAGTTATCGCATTTTCAATAAAAAAATGTCACTCGTAAAAGGAGAAAAATCGATGTTTCTGTCCATTTTTCAAAAATTTCCTACGGGTGAACAAAACAAATTTAATCAAAAAGAAAAAATACGTGTCTCATCGATTTTGGTAGAGAAACTGTAAAAATAATAACGACTTACCCCTTTTTGCCTGGTCGATCTGAGATGGAAAGGCTCATAAGTAGAGATGTAAAAAAACGGGTTATTTTTCAGATGTGAAAAAAAACTAGAAAAAAACGGGTTTTTCCTTTTTTTTTCTTCAAATCCGCCACAATAAAGCATATTCTGTCAATAAATTCCATCAATCTTATAAAATGGAGTATTTTTTCAAAATGAAATTTTGAGCAAAATGTAGGTATATTAATAACAAAGTGAAATGCAGAATATATTACATTTTTCATTATTGAAAATTTTGACCGAGACTAAAAAATCTGATTTCTTATTATTTGGTAGTTTCCACATAAGAAACCATTAACAATGTAAAACTTCTACACTAATGGAAAAAAGGACCAAAAAAAATCCAAATTTTTAGCCATTTTCGGATACCTGTATCTCCGTTAAAAATAGTCGTATTGGAGCCGTAAAAAAAGCAATTTGAATCTTGGAATTTTAGTTTTGAGGTTTTTACGTAGATGAATCAATCCTAACGAATACCGAAATTTTTTTGGCTTTCTTTTTAAATATTTGAAAAGTTTAATGTGTATGTTTATTATAATAGGTATGTAAATTAGGATATTGTTTAAAAATTATTTTTTTAGGCGCCAGTGACGCCATTAAGAACGTATTAAAACTTCTTATCTGCGATGTTAATGGCAAGAAACCTGGTGTTATGGTACCAATCCCCCAGTACCCCCTTTACTCAGCTTCTTTGGCTGAATTCAATATGCACCAAATTGGATACTTTTTGGACGAAAGCAGAAACTGGGGACTCGATATTGCCGAACTTAACGTAACAATTTATCCTTGATTTAAATCCGTTTTTCCTAATTTTTTTTTCTGCAGAGGTCAATTCAAGAAGCCAGAAAAGTATCAAACCCAAGAGCCATTGTTGTCATCAACCCAGGAAACCCCACTGGTCAAGTATTATCGCGCGAAAACATCGAAGAAATCATCAAGTTTGCTCACAAAGAAGGTCTATTCATTTTTGCCGATGAAGTATACCAAGACAATGTCTACGCTGAAGGATCCAAATTCTTCTCTTTCAAAAAGGTAAGAGATTAAATATTTTAAATATATCAAAATTTTTATATTCTAATATTATTTTAAATAGTGCTTTTGTGAAATGTTACTTATTGTACTTATATTTAAAAGCACATCACAGCAAACGGAAAATTATAGAAGTGTATAGGATGACGCCACGTTTGAATATGGTTTTCTAAATCTCCTCACGGTATAGATTTGTATTCGTCAGTCGAGCGTTTCAATACTCTCCACAGTATAGAGGTCGTAATTTCACTTTTGAACTAGTATTAATATAAAAATTATTTTATGCTTAAAAAAAACAATATACGACATGATTGTAATTTTTTTCATTTTATTAATTAATTAGGCTGTGTTGAATATTTTTCCTAAAGGAATAATTGCCAATGGGCCATTAATTCATTTGTTCGTAGATGCTACAATAACCTGCACTGGTGTGTACTTTTTCATCAACCAGATTTAAATATTGCTGTACTAACATATACCAGTGGAAATAGTGCAGGGTCTACCAACAGACCTCATTACTAAATTATTAAAGTTTAATACTTAGCATATTGATCATTTTTTCAACATAACCTCTGAAATTTTTAATACAAATATAGGTACTTTATATAATACATAAATATACTTAACATCATATCCTCTGTGCTTTACATACCTGAGTTGTTACGGTAAATAAAAATCAGACAAAGGAACCAAAGAAAGGAACTATTTTCAACAAAATCATATGCAGAAATGAGAAAATTCAAACTACTTGCATCCATCAAAAGATCCAAACTTCTTGCAATATTACACCCTCTTTTTATACTCTCAGAAATATTGACTAGAACAGTATTAGAGAGACTCCTTCTATAACTTGGTAGAGTAAAGAGAAGTCGAAACCGTTGCGATATTGCATTGCGCTGTTTTAATAATTCTCGGGGACATTAACGAAAATCATTGCCAGTAAAATTCGAAAAGCTTGAGTTTCTATGTCTCTGAAGAGAATAGGAATCCGAAGTTGCTGCACCATTGGACTGAACCCTTTTTTAATAATTTCTCTGTTGAATATAGAAAATCAAAACAATATATCTTGTAAGACACCATTGAGTTTGACTTTAAATATAGTCGTGCATAGGTATAGAGCCGAAAAATATAAAAACAAAGCAGTTCTGATAAAACTTTAAGATTTAATATTCAAACGCGGAGTCATCCTATACAGTTCTATAATTTTCCGTTTGCTGTGATGGCAAACAATTTTTCTGAATATACCAAAAAACTCTTTTCAGAAGTTACATTACATTTTAGGCAATTTTTTTTATTGAAAGAATAATTTCTTTAATATACAATTGTTTCTTATTTAGTCAATTAATTTTGTTTAGGTATTGATGGAAATGGGTGCACCTTTCAGCAACATGGAGCTTGCCAGTTTTATGTCTTGCTCCAAAGGCTACATGGGTGAATGTGGACTTAGAGGAGGCTATGCCGAAGTCCTCAACATGGAACCAAAAGTTAAAGCAATGTACCTGAAGGCCATTAGTGCGATGTTGTGCCCAACAGTATTAGGACAAGCCTGTCTTGATACCATCATGTACCCACCTCAACCTGGTGAGCCCAGTTATGATAACTTCCTCAAGGAGAAGAATGGAGTATTGGACTCACTTAAGGTAAGCAATGATTTATTGCATGCAAAATTGTGGTTAAATTGGAATTTGGTGGTTATTTTTTGTATATGTGGATTAAATTAAATGATAAATTAATATTTTAAACTAAGCTATAGGGGGTTATTTAAAATATAATTATAACGTTTTAAAATTATATTTTAATACAAGGAGTCCCTGAAATTCTTCCAAAATAATGCGATATAACTAAAGTTATAATAACTAAGATAAAGGCTGATAAAATTAATGAAGGTTGTTAAAGGCGCTGTGTTTACATATATGTTTAAATGGTCACATCTTTTTACGCCCTAGTGTAATAAAAATATTACTTTTTTACTACGCAAAAAACTTACACCTCCCAAATGTTGCTCCAATTAACCGTTTCCGAGATATGTGTGTTTAAATTGTTAAGTGATTAATTTGTACTTAAAATAAATATTTAAAAACATAAAATTTTGAAAAACAATGACGAAATTTGTAGCGTCTCTTAATGTTTTTTTTTTTATCGTAACCTACTTTTAAAAAAGTTTTCATTTTTAAATCACAATTAAAGGGATGCACAACAACTTAAACCCAAATATCTAGAAAACGCTTACTCGCAGAGGGGTATTTCCATTGTATTGTAACGTTTTTAAACTGTTCATAGTGTGAATAAAAACACGCACTGGTTTATTAACGAACTAAACTATTTATTTTTATAACTTAACTACACTTAAAACACTATAAAACTAACTTAACACTTAACTACTAATTATTTATATATCACTATTGTACTAGAGTCTATTTATTTGCACGTATATTTATTTATTTCGACGCGAGTACCAAAACTGGACTGACTGCCCTGTGCTGCTCCGTTTCTTATATATTTAGCGCCAAGGTCTTCTGGAACATTCCAGCGAGCTCCACACTCTCGATTGTTCGAGCGCTGAGTCACCGGCGATGACTCACCGGCGATGACTCATCGGCGATGAGTCCTCACTCCGATATCCAGAGCGGTACTCGCTACATTGCCCCCGTCTTAAAACATTTTCGTCCCGAAAATGGTCCTCAGCTCCATGGCGATATTTGCATAGAGATCCAAACTTGCAGTGTGACGTCCTATAGAAGTAGCAGTCTACGGTCTTTCTTCCGGTTGTTCTTTTAGGGTTGTGGCAACAGACAAGAATGTGTATGCCACTAAATCTGAAGATAACTTCCACCATACTTCTAATTATTCTCCAGTCCAAACCGTCAAGTCCACAAGCAATCTTCGGTATCGCCAGGTTCATGATGTCCTTGGACAAAAGGGTATCCCTCAATTTATTTAAGGCATTCCATACGTCACGGTAGTTTGGCTTATGATAGATAGAACTTGTTTTTAAAGACAACCGCTATTCCCCTGGACATCCTTAGGTCTTCTGCAACACAGTGAGCCAAGGAGTAATCGGCCGAAACCGTGAACAGATCTTTTTGTTCTTCTCGAGTGACACCATACCGAGCTTTTTTACCGCTCGAATATAAATACATGAAGTCTTCAAAAGGCAACTCGTCTTCCGGCGGATTAACTCTCCTTACTCTAGCATCGTCATTGTTTCCAGCGTAAGGGGCCAATCGGTTGAAATGGATCACTTTCGGCTTTCCTCTTGGCTGTTTCCTGATCCTGTAGATGATGTCATTTATTCGATCCATGACTTCGTAAGGTCCCTTCCAAGAAGTCTGCAGCTTCGGTGAATAACCACGACGGCGCTGAGGGTTGTATAACCAAACTAGGTCTCCAGGTTGAAATCCTCCATTTTCCGCCTTGATGTCATATGCCTCTTTCATTCTATCACTGGCACTCTGGATGTTTAAACGAACTCGGCTGTGAATGTCGCTCATTTTCCTACGTAAATTGCTGACATAATCTTCTCCAGCAATATCTTCCCCTGGTAGGCAACCAAACCTCAGGTCACAAGGTAGACGAAGTTCACGTCCCATAACAATGCTAGCGGGTGTCTGGCCGGTTGTATCGTGGATAGAAGAACGGTACGCCAACAGGAACAGATGAAGAAAGCGGTCCCAGTCTCTTTGGTGATCAGAGACTACCTTGGACAGGTACCGGTTTATCGTTCGATTCATTCGTTCTACCATTCCATCGGACTGCGGATGTAATGCAGTCGTCCTCGTCTTCCGAATGTTAAGAATCTTACAGACATTCTGGAACAATATAGATTCAAAGTTCCTGCCTTGGTCTGAATGCATCTCCATTGGCACACCAAAACGACAAATCCACTCCTTAATAAGGGCATCGGCCACTGTGGCAGCTTCCTGGTTTGGCAAGGCGTACGCTTCCGCCCACTTGCTAAAGTAGTCCATTACAACGATGATGTATTTATTTCCAGATTCTGTTTCCGGAAATGGACCCGCCACGTCGATTGCAATTCTCTCAAATGGGCTGCCCACATTGTACTGTCGCATTGGGGCTTTTGGGCGCTTCTGGGGTCCATTGCTTGCCGCGCAAACGGCGCACTTCTTGCACCATTCCTTTACATCTCGTTGGCTGTTGACCCAATAAAACCGTTCCCTAAGTCTTCCGAGCGTCCTGGTCACCCCAAGATGTCCTCCAGTAGTTCCATCATGGATTTCCTGCAGCACTTCTGGTATCCTGTTTCTGGGGATTATTATCTGCTTCCGGTCTTCCCCCCCTTCTGGCATCTCCAAAACGCGCTTTAGAAGCCCGTCACTTAGGATGATGGAATTCCATTGGGCCCAGTACGATTTCACATTCGGCGAATATTGGGCGACTTCCTGCCACGTTGGTTTACGGTCGTTCTTCTTCCAATCGAAAATCCGGATCCCTTTCCTGGTCTTGTTGGACCTCAGCAGATTGCCAATGATCATCCACGATTGTAGTTCTGCGAACAAACACATCCTTTTCTTCGGCCCTGAGACAATGTTTACAGTCTTTCGGGCACGGTCTTCTTGACAAGGCGTCAGCATTTCTATGGATGGTCCCAGCCCGATGTTCTGTGTCAAAGTCGAACTCCTGTAGTCTCTCAATCCATCTTGCTACCTGTCCTTCAGGATTCTTGAATTGCAAAAGCCATTTTAGGGCAGCATGATCCGTTCTTAGCAAGAATTTTCTTCCATACAGGTACTTGTAAAAGTGTTCTACTGCCTTTACCACTGCCAACAGCTCGCGTCGAGTAACACAGTAATTTCGCTCTGGTTTCGATAGAGTTTTACTGAAGTATCCAATAACTTTCTCTTTTCCTTCTTGAATCTGCGACAAAACAGCTCCCAGTCCAACATTGCTGGCGTCCGTGTCCAAAATAAATTCACCATTCGGAAGAGGATAACTCAGGACTGGTGAGCTGGTCAACGCGTTTTTCAGGTTCTTAAAGGCTTCTTGGCATTCTTCGTCCCATTGAAATCGTCTTTCTCCCTCTGTTAAACGTGTCAAAGGCTTAGCAACCTTTGCGAATCCAGGTACGTACCGCCGGTAGTAGGTGCATAAGCCAAGAAAGCTTCTTAAGTCATGTTTGTTTTTCGGTACTGGCCATTCCCGCACCGTCTTCACCTTCTGTTTATCCACTGCAACTCCTTGACTTGAAACGACATGGCCCAGATACTGCACTTCCTTCTGGAACAAGTGACATTTCTTTGGGCTAAGCTTCAGCCCAGAACTTCTTAAGCGATGAAAGACTTCCTCCAGGTTCCTCATATGGTCCTCAAATGATTTCCCAACCACAATGATGTCATCAAGGTACACCAAGCATGTCTTCCAGGATAGTCCCTTCAAAACCATTTCCATGAGCCTTTCAAAAGTTGCAGGGGCATTACATAGTCCAAACGGCATGACAGTAAACTGCCACAGTCCAGCACCCACGGTAAACGCCGTCTTTTCTCTATCTTCTGGTGCCATTTCAACCTGCCAGTAACCGCTTTTCAAATCCAGAGTCGAAAATATTTGGGATCCAGCCAATGTATCCAGGGTGTCATCTATCCTAGGCAGAGGGTAGCTGTCCTTCTTCGTCACGTTGTTCAGTTGACGAAAATCGACGCAAAATCGAGTTGATCCATCCTTTTTCTTAACTAACACCACTGGGGAAGACCATGGGCTGTTGGATGGTTCGATCACCCCTTCCTTCTCCATTTCTTGCACAATTTTATCAGCTTCCTCTCGCTTGGCAAGTGGTAGCCTTCTTGCCGACTGTCGAATGGGCTGTGCATCACCGGTGTTAATTTTATGCTGGACAATTCTTGTCCTACCCTTCTTTCCTTGTCCGTCGTCAAAGACATCCTGGTAATTGTGAATCAGCTCTTTCAGCTTTATCCTTTCATTGGGTTTCAAATCCTTTAAAGAAGTCGACAGAAGATTCATCAATTCATTGCTAACTTTCTTGGCCGGAACTGCTGACTCACGAATGCCTCTAATAATCGAGGAAACTGAAGAACAGTTTCCCAAAACGATTCCTTTCTTCAAGTTCACAGAGTAACCATTAACATTCAATACTCTTACAGGCACTTCTTTTCCGACGCGTATTAAAGTCTTCCCTATTACAATTCCTCGGCCGACCTCTTTGTCATCAATTCTCGGCTCCAGAAGCATTATACTTCCATCTTCTGATTTACAATCCAAGGAAGCCTTCAATATCATCTCGCTGTTTTCCGGTATCAAAGCATCTTCTGTTAGCATTACACGAATATTCTTTTCTTTAGATCGATGCAACACCACTTCCTCTCCATTTACCCTCAATATTCCTTGCTTAAAGTTAAGTTCAAATCCTATTGAGTTCATAATGTCCATGCCTACAATAACTTCATGCTCGATGTTTAAATTTCGTGTTTCCTATGTCCATCGTGATGTCCACTTCTCCACGAACAGTAGCGGTTTCTCCTGTTGCAGTACGTAGTCGCCGATTGGTAGGTTTGATCTTGGACATTTCGACAATATCTGGCCTAATAATTGTCTTCGTCGCACCTGTATCCAGCAGCAGCACATGTAATTTTCCATTAATTAAACCATCCACAAAAACACTGCTGGACTGGTGTAGAAGAGATGCAACACGTTCGATATTCTCTGGGGCATGCTGGTTACAGGTCGACGGTAGCCCCTTTTCCTCGACCATATCTAGTTTTCCGACTGAGATGCAGTCGGCGCCTCCTGGCTTTTTCTGCAACGACTTCGTATATGTCCGAGCTTTCCACATCTCCAACACCGGATTTCCTTCTTTTCTGGTAGATTCTCTTTAAGAACTCGCCTGATTTCTTCGATAATACTGGGTTCCTCCTCTTTTTCTTCATCGACTCTCCTAATTCTATGCTGGCTCCTGCAGCTCTGCTTTGCCGCCTCGAATTCCAAAGCTCGGGCCAATGCATCAACCAGTTGGCTCGGACGAGCCAATGTCAAAGCCTGTCGTGTTTCATTGTCCCGAAGTCCATCCAAAAAGGCTTGAACCGCTAATCGTTCCATAACGGTCGTTGGAGTAGCTGGATATGCTAGCCGGACCAAGCGTGCAATATCAGCCTCGAATTCTTGCAAAGTCTCGTTTGATTTCTGGCAGCGGTTCTTAAGTTGGGAATGGTAGACATGTTCCAAATGTGTCTGGCCATATCGCAGTTCCAGATGTTTCACCAACGCTTCGTAATCTTCTTGTTCGTCGGGAGAAAGTGTCTGCAAGATGTCGGTTGCATCTCCGCGTAAAGCCAGAGTCAATGCTGTAGCCTTCTCTTCTGGTAGCCAGCCATTTGCTTTTGCTGCGGCCTCAAACTGACGGATGTAGTTGGTCCAAGAAGTTTTTCCATCGAACTGAGGTGGTTTCATCCGTACTCTGCTTCCCTCCTGCACTACTCCTGGTTCCTTCAGCATCATAGGTAAATTTACAGCTTTCAGTTTACTATTTATTTCTCTAATTTTGACCTCCAATTTCTCGTTCAATTTTTCTTCTCTCGTATCCAATTCCATCCTTACGTTATTTAATTCCATCCTTACATCATCTTTTAATTCCATCTTTACGTCGTCAAATTTCTGCCCCATTTTCTCTTCTAATTCATTGACATTATCTAGAATTCTCTGTTCCAAATATTCTTTTAAATTTTTAGAATTTTCCAGAATTTTCTGTTGCAAATCATCCTTTAAATCGTTGGAATTTTCCACCATTTTCTGTTGCAAATCGATTTTCAAATCGCTAGAATTTTCTTGCATTTTCTGTTTTAAATCGTTTAAATTTTGCAACATTAAATGCATATCACACGGGCCTTCAAATAAATACGTATCTGGATTTTCACCTTCCTGTTCCAATGCTTCTCGAAGCCGTTGCTGCAACACATTCTTTTTTCCAGTGGTCTCACATTCCCTTTCTTCCAGCTCCCGCTTAAGGTCCGCCACTTTTAAGTCCATTAACGAAACCATTTTCGCGAAGTTTCACACTAACCGCACTCCTGACACCAATTGTAACGTTTTTAAACTGTTCGTAGTGTGAATAAAAACACGCACTGGTTTATTAACGAACTAAACTATTTATTTTTATAACTTAACTACACTTAAAACACTATAAAACTAACTTAACACTTAACTACTAATTATTTATTTATCACTATTGTACTAGAGTCTATTTATTTGCACGTATATTTATTTATTTCGACGCGAGTACCAAAACTGGACTGACTGCCCTGTGCTGCTCCGTTTCTTATATATTTAGCGCCAAGGTCTTCTGGAACATTCCAGCGAGCTCCACACTCTCGATTGTTCGAGCGCTGAGTCACCGGCGATGACTCACCGGCGATGACTCATCGGCGATGAGTCATCACTCCGATATCCAGAGCGGTACTCGCTACAGTATTTTCATTGTAACTTCGTTTTTTCATGGCAATAAAGTGTTTGTTCATATAAATCAAGATACGTTAATATAAAAAATATTGTATAAAAAATTAGGTATTTAACTCAAACAAAATGTCAATAAAAACTTGTATAGAAAACCTTTTATAACGTCATGAATAGCGTAACGGGCGCGACCTTAGAAAATCGGCAAATGCGACCAAGTTGCCTTCTAAAATTGATATGTAAAATTTTGGATGAAAGCATGTAGTAATAATTTTTTATGTAAAACTTGAATAGTAACCTTAAACAAGCAGAAATTTAAAAGCACAAATATTGTATACTTTATTTTCTAATATTTTTTCAAAATGTAACGGTTGCGACATTTGAACATTTTATTGAGTATTGAAACTCTTCCGTGTTTATTCTTAATCTTAGCTTCTTAGCGTCACAATGTAAAAATATTTTAAGGTTATAAATTACTTCGCAATTAAACTATTTGACTTCAGATATAAGGTGCGTTCTTTTCACCTGAGATCTCAGTTAATCTCAGCTCACATCGGTTAAATTTGCAAATGTGCGCGTTCTTTTTGCTTCACTCACCATAAAGTGAGCTGAGATTTTTTTTTTTTTTTTAAATAAATAAATACTTTATTGCCCAACAGTTTCAAACCAGTTACAGGACAAATATACTAGTATAGGAATAAAAAACAATTGTATAAATTATTTTAAAGCACAATTTAAAAGTATGATGACAACTAACAATTAATAATATATAAATACAATACTTAAAAAAACTGTTATATACACAGGTCTGTGGTTATATACAATATTTAACAACAATAAACAAGGTATTACCAAAGAACCCCAATATACATAAAATAAACAAACAATCATTGTAACACATTTGAATTAAATAAGATATAGTTAAGTGATGAGTGATGTATATCGAAGATAGGGTTTTCCTCCCCCCTCACCGATACTGCACATGCTGTGCGGGGGAATCAGTTTGAATTAAGTCGGAAATAAAGTGGAGGGGATAAAGAAATTATTGATTTGTTAAGTTTTTAAGTAACATAACCTTATCTTATTTAGGTGATTTTTTGCAATACAACTTAAATTTTTTAAATTAGCTATACTGCCCTGTTAAGGATAGAGGTCGTATCTACAATATTTTGTAGTAAAGGACAGAAGAAAATTTTAATTTTTAAAAACAATAAAGAATAAAGTTTTTTCTTTACTACCACAAACTGCCATTCGAAGACAAAACTTCATATCTGCAATATTTAGTAGTTAAGCAAAAAAGCCATTTTTTATCGTTTTTTTAAATGAAAATTTTCTTCTGTCCTTTACTACAAAATATTGTAGATACGACCTCTATCCTTAACAGGGCAGAATAAACTTAATATAATAAATAGAATTCGAATAAAATTGTTTTTCAGAAGTAGAAAAACACTTTTTACAATAAAATTAAACAAAAAATGTCAAAGTGAAGTTTTTTTTTAAATTTTTATTTTGTCATAAAATTAATATTCTTATCAAAAAATTGTTGTTTTTGTTTGTCACCCAATTATGGAAAGAATAAGTATTATAGATCGGGAAATGTCTTTAATATATACTCTAATTTGTCCACTGAAGATGCACAGAGGGTGCAGGAAGGTATTATCCATAAAGCCTGATTTATAGATTGCCTTCCTTTCTCCCGTAAAAGATGAACAATACGAAAATCGTAGTGCCATTTATAGATTTCCGTACGGGAATCTATAAATGGCACTACGATTTTCGTATTGTTAATCTTTTACGGGAGAAAGGAAGGAAGGAAGGCAATCTATATATTAGGCTTAATTTAACGCAAATTTAAACATAGAAAAACACGAAATTTAAACCATAAGGATATGACACAGAACATAATTATATCAGAGATAGGTCACAATCCAGGTTGTGTGGATTGTGAGATAGGTTATGTTGCCTCTTATTCACGTATTCGCCGTCAGATTGCGCGTTTCAATTGAGTGTGTCGTTCTTTTTAATGCTTACTCAGATCACTACATCTCATATCACATTAACTGAAGTGAGCTGAGATCTCAGGCGAAAATAACGCACCCATAGTTGTTATTTTGTTAAATAACACTTCTGATTTTTTGTCAAGGTGGGGTAAGGTTTCGTGGAAATACCCAGAGACATTTAGAAAGTTTACCTTCTTTACGTAATAAAGATAAAAAAGTAATATTTTTAAAAACGTGAATACTGCCGTCATATCTACAGTTATTACATTTTCAGAAAATCGTTCTGTTTTGCATTGTACCTATATACGGCAAAACAAAAAACGTTATCTTCTACTAGAACAATTTGGCATGCATGTATTCTTACCTTTAAAGGTAGATACGGCTTTTTGAGAAGTGAGAATACATGTAGGCCAAATTGTTCTAGTAGAAAATGCCGTAAACCTAAATTCGCAAATTTTTGGTTACGGTGTTTTCATTAAGGACGGCAGAATACACGTAGGCGCAAAAAGATATGACCATTCAAACGTATGTAAAGTGTCGCAGATTAAAGTAGGACGCCTAGACAACCTACTTTAATTTTTTAAGACATTTATTTTTTCCGGCCTGAAAAACCACCAAAAATCAAAATTTGTTCTAACATTTAACTTGACTCCTTGTTTCATTTTGTACAGGCATTTCAGGGACTCCTTGTATAAAAGGATTAAAAACAATTATATGATTGATTGAGAATTTCCTTCTATAATAACCTCTATTATATGTAGATTACAGTGTTTCTGAGATCATTAAAACTTAAAACAACTTAAAATGTTCCCTTTGGGAAAAAATATATTTTTGGGTTTATTTATTACAGAATCTGTTGCATGTTTCAAAATGCGTATAACACATTTTCTTTTAGTTGAGAGCTAAAATGGTAGCAGATGCCTTCAACTCAATGGAAGGTTTTAGCTGTAACACTGTACAAGGCGCCATGTATGCCTTCCCTAACATGAAACTGCCCCCGAAAGCGATCGAAGAAGCCAAGAAACAAAACAAGGCTCCAGACGCCTTCTACGCCTTCGAACTTTTGGAAAACACCGGTATTTGCATCGTACCTGGTTCCGGTTTCGGACAGCAACCTGGCACATATCACTTCAGAACAACCATTCTGCCACAACCAGAAAAATTAAAAGAAATGTTAAACAAATTCGCCGAATTTCACAAAAAATTCTTGCAGAAGTGGTGCTAAATTAATTGATGAGTATTATTAAGTAAATATCTGTTGTTATTGTTAAATTTCGTATGTAAATATCAAAAATCGTAGCGATTGTTGTAAGTTTCAAATTAACAATAATTGTAAAAATCTGAAGTTCAGTAAATAAAACCTGTAAAGTCCAAGACGATAAATTATTAATAATAATAAATTTATTCAATCACATATTATTTTTAATTCACCCAGTCTATATTGCATACTATTGTTATTCCTTAACAATAATTTGTTTTTATGTTTTTGATTTAATATATTTTGTAAGGCACTTATCACAATGTATCCAACAGCAGAGCTTTTACCCAATGACAAACTAAAATCTCCATGTTTTACAAATCCTATTACTTCCCTTGAACAGGATTTTCTTATTGTTCTTGGCTCTGGTAACCAGAGTGATCTCATTTCTTTGGTGTAATTTAATAACATATCTTTATCTATATGAATTACCTACAAAATATTTAAAAGATGTGTATTAATATTTAAAAGATGTGTATTAATAATAATAATAATTAATAATTAGAATAGTCCAACTGGATTTTATGTTATGCACTATGAACCTACCTTTCCATTTTCTTTAGCTCTAATCCTTCTCTTCCTGAGCCTTTTCAGTAACTGTTTGTGTTCCTTTCTGAGGTCTTTTCTTTTTTGTTGCAAAACATCAATAGTCTTGGACTCTTTTGGTTCTTTTTTGAAGTCATTGTCTAATGGCAAACAAATGATGGCAAACTTTTTAAGTTGCCCCTTTGTAACGGTTATTTTAACAGGTATCAAACAATTTTGAGAGCATTGACCAAGCATATTTGTTGAAGTTTTCGAGGTAAGTAAATCCTAGAATAAAAAAGTACCAAATACATACACAATAATTGTTATAAATGGGTTGTTTTCAAAAAACACCCGCCTTCCGCTGCCGTAAGTTTGAATTCCAATAACTTTGTTAAAAATTATCGGATCTTATTGATTTAAAAACCAAGTGAAAGCCTAACAAGCCCTTAGTAAACTCTTTCAGAAAATGTTTGTTTAGATATTTAAGAATAATTTTTTTTAATTTTGAAACTTGTGAAACACATTTTTGCATGTCCCATTAGCGTTTTATAAAACTTACATGTTTTTTTTTAAATATTGAATAACCAGAACTTTGTGTTGCTTTTTAGCAATCCATAACATCCTTAGTTAATACAGTAAACAATTTATATATAAATTAATTAATTTTAATATACTTTTTTTAAATTTGACTTATGTCCCAGACATTTTTTCCGTTGCGTTACGTCCCTCGCGTTACCGATAGAATATTAAAAAAAAAACATATATATGGCAACTTTTTTGGCACTCACTTGATCAACAAATGATGTTCGGACGTACACATTAAACAACTGAATTTATTTATTTAATCAGGAAAAAGATATCGGTTGAAACAGGTGCAGGTAACGCGAATGTAATAATTGTTTGTCCGCTAAGTTACTCAAAAAAAATAATAATAAGGTAAGAAAAAATACTATTTTTCATGTTTATGTTTATTTTAGGGCACTAAAGCTCACTGAGAGTAATTATTGACTGTAATTTTTTAAATATGGTTTCACAAAACTTTTTCCACTGCTTTACCGAGTCCATTATGTTACCTTATGGTAACGCAATAGAATTTAGGGTAACGCAATAGAATTTTTCGACAACAAAGTGAATATTTATCGTCGCTTTTATTAAAAGTAGTTTATGATAGACCAATTTAAAATTATTTGTGATTACAACTCATGATATAGATAACATCCAAGGGAAAATTCCACGCAATACAATACAATACAAGTACCTACTAAAAGGGACGCTAGACCTTCACCAGCTTATAGCCAAAGAAAAAGGGTGTCTACAATTTAGAAATCTAAGTTGTTATTGTGCAAGTGAGCAATACTACAAGGGATTTTGTTTATGCATTACTCTAAAATCGTACCACACTATATAGTTTTTTTTTTACTTTATCTGATTAAGTCCTTTGTGTACCCCAGTCCGTTGTGATATCAATGTCTATTTTGTTACTTTTTTTAGTTTTTGTTAAAAAAAAAATACTTAAAATGATTTGTATACACTATCACTTGGTAATACGTGTTTTTAAATTAGAGTTTAACTCACTAATACAGTGACTAAAAGAAAATGTTAATGGTATATTTTTTAACAAAGAATCGGAATGGTTTCTATTAAAAAGTAACTTAACGAACATAAATATTTAAAAAAAGCATACAATTTTTAATAAAAAATAAAATAAAAAATTGTTGTCAAAAGTTTGTGAACTAATATAAGTACATTTTATTTTAAATTATTTTAATAACAACTTTTTTTTATTGAATTAAATTTTGGATTTCAAATTGGTAACACAGTGGAGATATACATATTAAGCTAGTTAAACACATTTTTCTAAAAAAAAACGTAAAAAAAAATTAAAAAATGCACTAACTGTCTTAAATGGAAGTAAACAAAATTCTAAACATTTATAAAAATCCAACCAAAAGTCAATTTAAGCAAAAAAAAAATTTGATCTTCATTTTCCTGAAAGCGGGTGTTTCTTGAAAATGACCCAAATATAATTATCTTACCTGTATATTTTTTAAAATACTTTTATCCCTTAATACAAAAAAATGTTCAACATTTTTACTCTGCCACTCACTTAACAAAAGCTTCCAATTGCAACACAAAGGACTAGAAATATTAAACTTATTAAAGTTAATTCTTTTATTTGGTGGTTTCCTGAAATAAACCTCTCTGCATTTTTCTGATACATCTGCTTCTTCTCGGGCACCTGCTTCAGTGTCAGGTTCCAAACTATCATTTTGACCCATTTCAAATGTTATGGTATTGGTTTCTTGTAGCCCACCTGACCTTGCTCCAAACATTATCAGACTTATCCAGGTTGGCTGTGCCCAGCCCCCTGGAAGAATAACATCCCAACCACTTCCATAACCAGGTGTGTCTATGTTTTTACAACCAGGTCTCTGAATTAATAAAATGGGTATTGGCAGTCCTTTACTCTCTAAATCTGTACCAGGCACTAGAATGTCTTGTCTCAACTCTATTACTTTGTGATTTGTAATTTTAGCATGTTTAACTGCAGCTCTAACAGTGTTACTCCAAAGGGGTGATTTGTTAATATCTTTGGAGTTATCATAATGGAATTCAGGGAAATTTTCATACCCTGGTAATGCCTTGGTTCGAGTTTTAGGTAAATTAAATCTGGGATCTCTTATTATTAAAGATAAAACTATATGAGGTGGTATTTGTGAAAATGTTGACACATGACTAAGATCATTCCAAACTTCCAAATTATTACTAAAATCAAATTCATGTTTCTCCTTATAATCACCAATCCAATCTATACATTCATCTATGGTTTCTTCAAAGGGGACAAAGCATTTTTGTAAGACAGCTGTAGCTAAAGGACCTGTAAGCCTAAACCTAGATAACTCACTAGTGATATCAGTTAACTCAAACTCATCATTAAAGTACATTTCAGTTAAATTCTCAGCATCTATATCCAAGCAAGTTTTTAAGTCAAAACAAAGAACAATTGTTTCTAATGCTTTGGAGTAGAGTGCAGGGTGTAACCACAACCACAATGTTCTTTTATGTTTAACCTCTATTGGTTTCCATAAGAAATTCACTTTACCAATACATTCATTGTTGGAGCCAAATTTGTATAAATATATTGTACCTTCTCTCTTACCACTCTCATATGTTTTAGCACCTATAGTTAATCCATTTTTGGAATTTATAAGCCTCTTAAATTTTTCAACTATACCACTGTAATCACCCTTTAACTCAATACATTTATAATATGAGATATCCTGAAGCAAACAATGATTTCTTGTGGCTCTATAGCAAGCTTTAAAAGATCTATCACATGGCTTAAATGGTATTTTACACCCCCATTTTTCAGTCATGAAAAATCTCTTAGCATGCCAAATATGAGTATCCAACCAATACACCCTCCTCCTTCTTCTCATATAATCACTGTTCAAGTTATAAGGTCTTCGAACATACTTCCGAGAAGGTCTTTTAGTTTTTTGCGGCAATCCTGATTTGGTTATTTGATTCTTATGTATTTCCCTCAGTCTTCTAGGTAGTCTTTTTACGTTATGAGACATAGCTCTTCGTCTCATATACCTTGGAAGCTTTTGAAAAGCCAATTTGTTAGTGTAAATCATGCTGGAACCCAGTGTTTTTTTCATAATTTGAACTTCTTTACCTCTGGCTGCCGTGAATTGCGGTAAAGTAACCGTCTGAGGAAGTGTATCATCCTTCCCGAGCATATCAGGCTCAAACATCGCTGTATCGTCCATTTTCTTTTCCAATAATTATGAAATAAATAGAAAAACTGAAATGCTTATGTTCTGTGCTGAAATGTATGAAAAAGTAAGGTTAAATTTTAGGTTATGCTCTTCTTCTTCTTCTTCTCAGATTTTAAAGGACTTTTTATATCATTGCATTGTTGTCAATTTTAATTTTCTTAGCAGAATTTATAATTTTTGATTGTAATAAAATATTAGTGATAAGGTTTAAAATTTGTAAATAAACTGATAAATATTAAATATATGTATTGATTTCGTGAACTTTGAGCTGGTTGTTTGTACTTTAAAATGGCTGCTGCTATAAGAAGAATTATTAGCACCTCAAAAGCTCCCCAACCAGGTGCTTCACCTTATAAGTAAGTCACATTTTGGGTTAAATATTTTAATTTTACTACCAACGTTAATTAGGGACCTTCACTCACTGTACCATATATTATTTAGTAATAGTAATTTTGGCGAATGCGCCGGGGTAAATAATTATTAAACCTGGCGCATTCGCCAAAATAGAAATTATTTAATATAGGTAGGTACCTACTGAGTGATTCCTTGATTTTCCCAGTCTCGCGTTAATTATTATTATTTTTTTTTAAATGAGTAGCCCTAGGGCGTAAGGCGTTACGCGTCTTTAGGGGTACACGAAGTTTTTGCAGCTTAAACAATTAGACAAATAATTTAATAAAATTCATCACGGGGAAATTGCTGAATTAAATCATTTGAAATTTACACCGTTTACGTGGATGCCCATAAACTTTAGAATAATTAATTATTCGGTTAAAAAAATAAATGCTTGTTTTTAAATACCCTCAATCGATAAAAAAACTTTGTTTTCGACTTTTTATAATGGCGATTGGTTATTCCACTTCACTTATTTAAATAAGCACATACCGAAAATTTAACAGGGGGCAAAAAAAGATTATACTTTTTGGTCTTGCTTCAATTTAAACATCTTGTAATATTTATATCTTGGTATATATGTAAAAAAAATTAGAAGAAAATAATACTCTTATTGTATATTTAATTTAGTCAGGCTGTAGTATGGAATAACACTGTTTTTGCATCTGGAGTTTTGGGAATGAATAAAGAAACTATGAAACTTGTACCTGGTGGTGCAGCTGAAGAAGCCAGACAAGCACTCAAGTCTATAGGTCATATTTTGGAAGCTGCGGGATCTTCGTATACTAAAGTAGTCAAGAGTACCATTATGCTTAATGATATTAATGATTTTGCAGCCGTTAACGAAGTATACAAAGAATGTAAGTATAGTATACAGGGTTAACATTAATGCCGAAAAAAACAATATAGGGTTTTCGTTTTTAAGTTACAGAAAGACTCTATGAGAAAGATAAAACAAATTAATAAACCGTTTTTGTTTTATAACTTGTAAACACTAAAATATAAGGAAACAAAATCTTATCAATTGCTTTATTTGGTAATGTTTGCCCACATACTGATGTTGCCATAAAGTTTAATAAAGAAAAATATGGTTCCTACGCCACTGAAAAAAATAATCTGTTTGAAACTTTTTTTTTTTAAACAAAATATCACTTTAGCATTTTTTTCGCATCCATTTTCGTTTTTCCGTAATTAAACCATTTGTAATGTTTAATAGCATTCATGGCTAAAATGTTGGTTCCTTAAAAAAAAATATATATGGATTTACAAATTAACCGCCTACACTGAAAATTTTGGTAAACCAATAGGATATTAAATAGATTCCAAATTTAATTATTTAAAATTCAACGAATTTGAATCAAAAAAGTTTATTTCAAATTATAAAATGCAGTTTTATTAAAAAAAAATTTGATTTAAATTTGATGTTGTTTAATTAATTAAATTTGAAATCAATTATTATTATTTAAAATTACCTCGATTATTTTTCGACGTTTTTTAAAACAAATAGAAAATTTCAATTTTAGTTATGTGTGCATGTATTAATTAATCAAAACATTATTATAGTGGGAATAACTTACTGTACATTATTTTCACAAAAACAATATGGCATCTGTCAAAACCCAACAAAATTCTATAATAAATATCAATAAATAATCCTTAGAATACCACTCGAGAGTTCAATAAATTAGAAAATAATCCTCCAGAATATTTCTTAAACTTGTGATATTTATGTAGAAAATTATTAATTTTTTCTCTCAGTGTATGTTATTTATTTAAATAGGTACCTAATAAAATATGCAATACGAAAGTTTTATAAACGTTTATTTTTATTTTAAAATGTAATAATTATTCGCAGAATTTTCTCTCCTATTTTTCCGCAAATTTTTTGTAAATTTTGTATGAGTAATTTTTCTACTTTTATTATAATAATTTTCCTACTTTTATTATAATAATATAAAAAATACTCATACTAAATTTACAAAAAAAATGAGCAAAAATAGGAAATTCGGCGATAAAAGTTTAAACTTTGTTGTTAGTGTCCACGGAAAAAAGTTCCGCCTTTTAAAATTAGCCGCCTACCAAAATTTGCCGGTCCTGAATAATAATAATAATAATAATGATAATTAATTTCTTTGAAGATTCTTCTAGTAATTTATAATTTTTTTAACATCATACATAATACATACATACATATATCATACATCATTTTTTTAACATCATACTATACTCGTACATACAGTGTGACCCATTTGTTTGCGTCTCCTGTAAAATCTTTATTTATCGTGCGATTTTAACAGGATTTGTTTTTAAGTGTAGATCTTGATAAACTGTATATTTGGGGCAGCCCTATTTGTACAAAATACAAGGCCTACTATGTCAGTTTAAATTTTTAAGATTTTTTTAAACAAAACCTAAGCACGGCACTGGATTCATCACCCCTCAAAACGACCTTTTACTAAATTTGATTGAAAAATTTTAAGTAGAAAAATGCACAATAATAACTACAAAAATTTATTCTGAAAAAAAAACATTGAAATAAATTTAAACTTAAAGTAATAGTACTATGATACTATTAGTTTTTATTATTTTATTTCAATGTTTTTTTCATGGATACCTTGACAGAATAAATTTTTGTACTTATTATTGTGCATTTTTCTACTAAAAATTTAGTATAGGGTCGTTCTGTGGGGTGGGGAATCCAGTGCCGTGCTAAGATTTTGTTTAAAAAATTGCTAATATGAATTCTTAAAAATGTAGTAGTACTCCTAAAAACTGACATAGTATGTCTTTTTGTAATAATATGGCGTTTTTTTGCTCCATAAATACAGTTTATCAAGATCTGCACTTAAAAACAAATCGGGTTAAAATCGAACAATAAATAAAAATTTTACAATGGTGAGTCGCCAACAAATGGGTCACACTGTAGGTTGCAACCTAAAAACAAAAACCCGTAGATCATAATATTATTATATCTTCATATTATAAAAAAGATGTTATTTTTACTGTAAGGAATCCACAATTTTTTTTTCAACCGGTATGTTTTAGTATTATATTATAAAAAAATAAAAAATAATAACTACCTATAATTATATAGGTAGTTATTATTTTTTATTTTTTTTACTCAATCCAAAAAAATTTATGAATTTCTCAAAAAACATCTTAATTCATTGATCAAATTAATTAAATAAGATGTTTTTAATAAACTTTAAAAAAATTGAAATGTTTTGGTTTCAACAATTATTGGCCACATTCAAATTCTTAAAAGAAAAAATATAAAATTAAAATCTTGATTTGATTTAAAAAGCTATTTGAATTTTTTATATATTCCTATCAAATAGTCTAACTTATAGATTTTATTTTTTGTTATTTTTAGTTTTCAAAAAGGATTTTCCTGCCAGATCCACTTATCAAGTTGGTAAATTACCTTTGGGAGCAAGTGTTGAAATTGAAGTTATTGCAGCTACTGGAGAAGTTACAAATGTTACTTCCAAAATTTAATAAAACCATATATTAATTATAGTCAGTTTATATTTTTATATAAAATAAATAAATATTTTTGTAAATTTTTAAAATTTTTGTAATTATAATGTTTCTGGTATGCAAGATTTTTTTCCTAGAGAAACATGATTTATTCAAATATTGTGCAAAATCAATATTGACGAGTTCTTTGGCAGATTTACTTACAAACGTTTCGACTTAAATTATAATTAGATACGTTTACCCAACCTGTTCCAAAAGTTTGTTTTCTTCTGCAAAGGCCGTGGTTAGTGATTGGTGGTTAATTTGTTTTTCACGATTGTGAATTAAAAATATTTAATTTAATCTGGCGCCCATTGAACATTATCAAAATTTGCCTTACCTTGGTTATCTAAGTATATATACTAAAATTGGTTCCTAAAATATAAATTTGTTTATTTTTAATTTTCTCTTTACTAAGTTTTTATTACGACTAACCACCTAAATTTTACAAATTAAGATTACCTACTACTACCTACTAAAAATGCAAAATGATCTTTATTAAATGTGCAGTGGCGGATTTAAGAAACAAGTTTTAAAGATTACTGAATTTCATGGTTAAACAAATTTACAACATTTTAGATGGGGGGCCTAAGCAACAGCGCATTTGCCGCCCGTTAAATCCGCCACTTTAAATGTGTACGAGGTGTGTTCAGGAAATAACGGGAATTGTTAAATTTCGCGGCTTCGGAGGGTCCGGTTGTCATAAAATTTTCTTTATTTTGTTGGTATACATGCCCCCGAAGTATAATAAAAACTTTAGCTGTTTTCATTGTTTACTTTGTCTGTGGCAGCAGGGGCGTACCGAGGCACACTTTTTTGGGGGGGTGGAGACGATAAAAAAAACCAACTTATTTTTTTATCGATACTTTAGTAGTAATAGTAAAAATTTTTAGTAGTTTTATCATGAATGTAAAGTGTTGTAAAGTGTAGATAAAGAATGTCTTTACCTACCATTAGCATGCTCTTTTGAAGTCTCTATTTTTTTATTTGCTACCAATGTTATTGGATTATCCGGAACAGTAACAATTTTAATTTTAACCAAATTTCCACCGTGAATATTTTCCTCGTGCATTTTTTTTCTAGTCCTTGTTAAACACAGATCCACATAATGAGCATTTTACTAGAACTCGGCCGGTCTAGCTTTCTTTTCCATATTAAAAAAAATTAATTCCTATTTATTGACACTAGTTTTACTTAGCTTAGATAAGCTTCAACTAATTAATAATTTAGAAAGACAAAGCCGCGAGGCGGTGCCGACTTTGTACATGCCGCTTGTGTGAAATATAATGTCCTTTAATAAAAATAAGGTTGACCAATACAATTTTCTTGACGATACATAACGATTATAGGAGGTTACAATAGATTAAAAATTATAATTTTGTAAAGTTTAAAAATTATATTTCATTTTATTTATTGTGATGGGTTGGTTGGTAGGGTAGGTATACCCAACCAACCAACCGACCCAAATACTATAGATTTTGCCAACCGTGTTTGGATTTGGAACCAACTGCCAAGACTTTGGGGGGGGTGACTCCCCCCCTACACCCCCCTTAGGCCCGGCCCTGTGTGGCAGCCGCTAAGGTTAGACGAGTTTTATGAGCTCGGCGATTTTCGTTCGTTAAATGAAATGGATCAAAGAATTTGTATCCAATTTTGCTTAAAAAATGAAATACATTCTGTGGAATGTTAACAAAGGCCTATAGTGAGTCTGCTATAAGTAAAACAAGAGTTTACAAACTTGTGGTATAAGAGTTTCCAAGATGGCCGTGAAGACGTTGAAGATGACGAACGCCCCGAACGCACAAGCACATTAACAACCGATAAAAACATGAAAATGATGAACATGATGATGTTGGTATATAATTGGCTCATCCCATGAAATTTTTTCGAATGTTTTGGGTATGAAACGCGTGGCAGCAACATTTGTTCCAAAATTGTTAAATTTTGAACAAAATTTTTGGCCAAAAACAATACTGTAATGATGCCCCAGCCTCTATATTCGCAAGACATGCCTCTGTCTGAGTTTTTCCTATTCCCAAAAATAAAGAAAACCTTAAAGGGCCGTCGATTTGCAAGCATAGATGACATTAAAAGCGCATCGTTGAAAAAACTAAAGGCTATCCCAAAGATCGAGTTTTAGAAGTGTTTTGAGTATTGGAAAAAGAGCTGGCACATGTGCATAATATCCAATGGGGACTATTTTGAAGGCGACAACATTAATGTAGACGAATAAATAAATATTTGTTTCAAAAAACGAAAATTCCCGATATTCTCTGAACACACCTCGTACACTGCATACGATATATCGATATTTCAGGTATCGATTTTTGTTTTATTTTGTTTATGTGTTTATGTGTTTGGCAGTAACTCGAAATGTAAATTTCAATAATAAATTCAATAAATTATAACTATAAGATGCATAATTAAAATAATTATAAATTTTTAGTTTCTAACCGGATATAGTAAAGATACTTAAATATTGATATTAGCAAAAAAAAATTATTGCAAATTGATAAACTCCTGACACAATGGAATTGTTTGTTTGTGATTTCAGTATTTATGTAACCTGCAACCAAAGCATTTAAAGTTGTGATATAATACTTTTTAAATTTCTTAGTGTAGTTACATCGATAAAAGACCCATTAGCTTAAACAAATATGCCGGGATTATTATCTTCGTTGAATCTCCATCACCATGGACTTAATATGGGCCGATCGAGTCTTACATCATTATTCAGAACCAGCCGCTTAGCCGTTCAGTCTTCGTCGTCGCCGTCGCAAATTAATCACAACACCAACGTTAGTACCACTACTCAAGAAAAACCCACCCTCACCATTGACAATCTCAACCCCAACATCAAGGTGATGGAGTACGTCGTGAGGGGCCCCGTTGTCATCCGTGCCGGCGAAATCGAAAAGGAACTCGAAAAGGTTTTTACCATGACATAAAAACGTTTTCTAATTAGGATAGTACCTTCCATTACTCGATATTTTGTATAGGTAGATATTTTTCATTTGATACATTATGACTCATAGAGATGGGATTTTAGTGTAATTACCTATTTGTCTACGCTAATCATAACTTTAGGTGCAATGAAATAAAATCCGTTTAGAAGAAAATGATTTCATTTGAGCCTGATTTTATTTTACCTATTTTACCTAAATTTTCATTTTCAAGAAAAATATACCTAATTAATTTGAACTAAACTGCGCACCACTCAATGTGTCGCGACCAAAAAGTTCGTCCTTTTTCAAAACGACATAACTTTTTTGTTTCTTGAACGATTTTATTTTGGTCTGTGATTTCTGCTAGCCCCATCCTCTGGCTATTCATGCTATAGATATGAAGCTCATGGTTCTTCAAGTAAATTTCGTACAGGGTGATATGTAAAACGGTCAAAAATTTCAATACCTTCATCCAAGCCCCGTTTGTAAAAAAATATTTTTTCTTACTACCTCGACTCAAAATACGTTGTTTCGTCCCCGATTCCACGGCAGAAAGTTTACGTTTTATGCATTGGTCAAGCTATACGCGCACACTCTAATAGCGGGAGTAAAAATTTTTTAGTCGTGTGCTTAACATTTAAATTTCGTACTGCCAACATGAGAAACACAAAAATATGACAGTTTTAAACCATAATTTTGCAATTATAACAACAAATAAACAATTTATGTTTTTACTTTTTTACTTTTTATGTTGTTTTAAGTGTTTAATGGTACTTTTATTTGTTATAAAGTAGTAATTTGTTAATTAAAATACAACGTTTTATTTTTACTGTATTGGCACCGCTGAATTCACGGCCTACTGTTATTTATTTATCAAGCTCTTCAAATGGAGATAGGTACATAAATACACATTTAATTTTTTCCCGTATTTTCGACCGAGGTAGTAAGAAAAATAGTATACACTACACGGGCAGAAAGTGTGAGAGCCCTGAACTGCGCGCCATGATGCCAGTTGAAAAAAAATTTTTTAGTCGTGTGCTTAACATTTAAATTTCGTACTGCCAACATGAGAAACACAAAAATATGACAGTTTTAAACCATACTTTTGCAATTATAACAACAAATAAACAATTTATGTTTTTACTTTTTTACTTTTTATGTTGTTTTAAGTGTTTAATGGTACTTTTATTTGTTATAAAGTAGTAATTTGTTAATTAAAATACAACGTTTTATTTTTACTGTATTGGCACCGCTGAATTCACGGCCTACTGTTATTTATTTATCAAGCAGCTTGATTCAAGCTCTTCAAATGGAGATAGGTACATAAATACACATTTAATTTTTTCCCGTATTTTCGACCGAGGTAGTAAGAAAAATAGTATACACTACACGGGCAGAAAGTGTGAGAGACTTTCTGCCCTTGTAGTGTAATATACTATTTTTCTCGTTTTTACTTTGAAATAATGAAGTATTATGTCTTACCTTGAAATGGTTTTCAATTTCTTCGTATTGGAACTTAGCAAAGAAAATATGATTTTTTAAAAAAAAGAGTACATTTAAGGCTTTTTGGTAGGCAATCCACTCAGTCTTTTTAAGAACAAGGAGATAAGGTGGTGAAAGATTGTTCCTTGAATAATTCTGAACAAGCGACAATTGTTGCTTAAGCAACAAACTTCCATTATTTTCAGAGGGGCCTAAGCAAAGACAACTTTTTTAAAATGATATTTTGGTGAAAATTTGCGAAAACCAATCCTGAACCGATATTTACGTTCGTGACATGTTTTCTTTATAATTTTGACCTCCTGCTTGTGATTCAGTTGTCAAATTTAAGTTTCAGATAAAACCAAAATCACTAAGAATCAAAATTCGAAAACAATTCCCGGCTGTTAAATTGCCTACAAAAAAGCCTTAAATGTACTCTTTTAGAAAAAAAATCATATTTTCGTTGCTACGATTCCAATTCGAAAAATTTGAAAAACGTTTCAAGGTAAGACATAATACTTCATTATTTCAAAGTAAAAACGAGAAAAAAATTATTTTTTTACAAACGGGGCTTGGATGAAGTTATTGAAAATTTTCACCGTTTAACATATCACCCTGTAGGAAATTTACTTAAAGAACCTTGAGCTTCATATCTATATCATGACTTGCCAGAGGATGGGGCTAAAAGACATCATAGACCAAAATAAAATCGTCCAAGAAACAAAAAAGTTATGTCGTTTTGAAAAAGAACGAACTTTTTGGTCGCGACACATTGAGTGGTGCGCAGTTTATTTCACCTAAATTCTTATTTTTAACAGAAATGAACCAAATTTTCAAATTTTACCACCAAAAACTTGCTTTTTTGTAATACATATTGGGGTCGTATTCGAATGACATAATTCTTAGGCACCATGTAGTTATTTTTGTTGTACAGGATTGTAAATGTGGGTTGTAAGAAGATTATATTATATAATAATATAAATATAATCTTCTTAAATAAGTTATAGATTATTAAAGATACGAAATTTAATTTGGCCATTTTCAAGTTATTTTTGGTTATTTAAGTGGTAGCGACACTGACTAGTGATTTTTTTAGAAACGATGGTTTAATTTATCTTTGAAACGATACCTCCTAAAAATATTTTAGCCTACGGTATTGATTTTGTATCCTAATGTACCAAACGCTTTGTTATTACATGCCTGTTTTTTTCTAGGGAGTTAGGAAACCATTTACAGAAGTAATCAAAGCAAACATCGGCGATTGCCATGCCATGGGCCAGGTGCCCATCACCTTTACCAGGCAAGTGTTGGCTTTGGTGACGTGCTTAAAACTTTTGGAAGACCCATATTTCTCGGATGACGCCAAGATGCGCGCCAAACTGATTTTGGCCGGATGCAGAGGGTCGTCTGTGGGATCGTACACCGACTCCCCCGGCATCGAAATCATTAGAAAACACGTTGCTGAATACATCAAAAGAAGAGACGGAATCCCAGCCGATTGGCAGAATATCGTCATTAGTGCTGGTAAGTCTTTATTTGCTAATGCAGAATTTTTGAAAATTCGTTAAATTAAAAAAATATATGTAAATTACCGAAATTTTTAGGCGCTAGTGACGCTATTAAGAACCTATTAAAACTTTTTATCTGCGATGTAAATGGCAAGAAACCTGGTGTTATGGTACCAATCCCCCAGTACCCCCTTTACTCAGCTTCATTGGCTGAATTCAATATGCACCAAATTGGATACTTTTTGGATGAAAGCAGAAACTGGGGACTCGATATTGCCGAACTTAACGTAACAATTTATCCTTGATTTAAATCCGTTTTTCCTAATTTTTTTTCTGCAGAGGTCAATTCAAGAAGCCAGAAAAGTATCAAACCCAAGAGCCATCGTTGTCATCAACCCAGGAAACCCCACTGGTCAAGTATTTACGCGCGAAAACATAGAAGAAATCATCAAGTTTGCTCACAAAGAAGGACTATTCATATTTGCCGATGAAGTATACCAAGACAATGTCTATCCTGAAGGATCCAAATTCTTCTCAATCAAAAAGGTAAAAAATTGAACATTTTAAATATTCCTTTGACATCATTTCTGGCACTTACAACCATATTTCAGCATAGCGTTCATTTATCAATTAACAACGTAAAATGTATGATATATTTTAGGAAGACATTTTTTAGAACTTCTTTGTTAATTAATACCAAAATAAATATACTTAGTATTGCATTTTCAGATTTAGACCGTGTTGATAAATGCGGCCAGAAAAGCCTTAAATCTAAAATATCAAACATTCATTTTTTTGTCATTTACTTACTTAATTTTGTTTAGGTATTAATGGAAATGGGTGCACCCTACAGCAACATGGAGCTTGCCAGTTTTATGTCTTGCTCCAAAGGCTACATGGGTGAATGTGGACTTAGGGGAGGCTACGTCGAAGTCCTCAACATGGAACCAAAAGTTAAAGAAATGTACCTTAAGGCCATTAGTGCCATGTTGTGCCCAACAGTATTAGGACAAGCCTGTCTTGATACCATCATGTACCCTCCTCAACCTGGTGAGCCTAGTTATAATAACTTCCTCAAGGAGAAGAATGAAGTTTTGGAGTCACTTAAGGTAACCAATAGCTACCAGTAAATAGAAATAATAGTATTCAATGATGATTAAGAAACATTCTTGGTGATCATCTTCGTAATATGTTAAACCTTCATTAAGATCTAATGAAAACTTAGTTTGGTCAAATATGTTACGACGTACCTGTGAAGATTGTGCAAAAAGGTTTAATGTCGCCAATAAAACACCAAGTAAAGATTGTCTGTATGGTTTTTTAAAGCGACATCCCGATCTTAGTATCAGAAAACTACTACCCCAGATCTCTACAAGAAAGAGAACAAGGCATAGGCAATATTCTAAAATAATGACGATTACACTGTGCCAACCAGTCGAAATTAAAAGCCGTGCGCATGGTCGAAAATTGCCGTGTTTTTACGAACTATGGCCGTGTCAAATTTAAAATTTCTTCATTGGAATGAAAAAAAAATAACTGCATAAAACATATATTTTTATTTACTGTTCTGATTAATTAAATTTTTATAGAACCATGTCATCTTTTCACTTCACTATGCACACATGGCTTAATGCACAAAATCTAAGTACACTGAAAAAAAAAGCGGTCAGCGGTACCCATGGTAATGGTAAAATAGGCGCCAACCAATAGAACCTTAGTTGCTACCATTACAGAATGGTAATGAGTTATTGTTACGAATTGACATTACAGCAAAGTGATCGTTACCACTACTGCTTTAATTAAATTTTACCACTACATGTTGTTATACAATAACCGTTTTATTAAAACCTTTTACCACTACACACTATTGAAACTTACGAATACATATTGGTATATGGTACGCTTAGTATATTATTTTAGCTACTTAAAATAGTTTTTAAAACAGGATATAACAGTAAGGCGAACCTTAGCCAAAATCATTGTTTAATTTGTATTATTGATTGTTCTTACCCCTATAATTTGGTTTTCTCAACAGCACGGTAAGGTAGTAAATAAATGACAATTATATTAAAAACATTCTTTATTAAAATAAAATTATTTATATGAATTTCCACAAAAATATAAGTTAAATAGGACCTACAAAAATTATGCAATAACTAAATATAATAAAAAACATGGCGGATCCTTAAATTATCGTACAAATATCCTTAAATTATCGTACGAATATTTTTAGAGAAATTGAATTATGCAGTAAAAACCCAACCCAACCAATATATAAATAACATGTGTTTGTTAATTTAATTTTTGTTTGTAGTTTTATTTCTTCTAAATTAGTGTTGCGCACACTTCCTAGTGAATGTGAGAAGTAAAAACCTTGCCGGTAACATAGGCATTAGGTAGGTATTATTTTAAAACATCGAGAGAAAACGAGTTATAGTTAACCCCCAAAAATCAATATTATAATACCTATAGGTAAAATGCGTTTTACGATCCGTACCGGTTAAAATGGGGAGTAGTTCCACAATATCCCAGTCCTTTTATAACTGTTCCACACCTACTCACAACACGATAAAAACAGTATAGTATGATATCACAAAACTACGCACTATGCAAAGCCGTAAACAGACAACCACTAAATGGCCAAATTTTCCGTTGCTTCTTGATTCGTACCAAAATTCATTAATTATAACATTATTAGTATTAACCACTGTAGTGGTAAACGTCAAAAAATTACTATTTGTAGTGGTAAGCTATTTATTACGAACCAGTTGTAATGGTAAAATTATCCATGACGCAGAATTGTACAATTTTTAACTATTTTGTTATAATCCGTGCTACTTATAGTAGTGGTAAATTTAATTTACAGAGTATACCATTTCGTAGTGGTATGTATCTCTCATTTAATATTAATCCTAATAACATTGTCCCTGTTGTAGTTAGTCAAAGTCACTTTACTACTACAAAAGTAAAATAAAAGTAAGATAATTTTTTTCAGTGTATATTCAACCCTCAATCATCCAATCTATCTCTTGATTATTTTAAAATAAATTTATAAATTCTTTATCCATACCATTGTGTTTCCACCCTGGGAATCCAATTTTGCCTCTACTCGGTTAAGAAGTTTTCATAGAGCTACCGCACCCTTGAAACGCAAAATTGAACTCACGCACTTAATTTACAATTGTAATAAAATAAGCGGGAAACCCCCGTGGCTTCGTCCAGAGTTGTCAATTGTCTAAGCAGAAAAAATTTAGGCTCAGTCAGGTCTTGGTCGTACACTTCGAGAAGATTATCAACTTCACTAAAACTAAATAGTGTTTATATTTAAAAATAAATTATTTTATAACAGAAAGGGTGAAATATAAATTTGATATTTTTAAATAGCATTTTTATTTAAAATTTAAATATTTTTAGACAGAAATGGTGAAACATGAATTTAATATTTTAACGAAAAAGCCGTGTTTTAAATGCACGGCAGTACCATGAAGCCGTGGCCATACATTTAGTATAAATTGCCGTGTCATTGGCAGCACTGGATTACACCGATAAAGACTGGTGAAGGAAATTAATAATGGTATCGTTGCAGAAAGTCGTAGCATACCTACAGAATTTTCACCCTATAGCTATGTCAACTTACCTGTCTTATTTAATATTAATTGATTTGTTTTTATAATAACCGTGGTCCACGGTCCGTGAATTACAATGCTATAAATATGTTGCATAGTTTAAAATGCGTAAACCCCTTTTTAATTTTAGTTGAGAGCTAAAATGGTAGCAGATGCCTTCAACTCAATGAAAGGTTTTAGCTGTAACACTGTACAAGGGGCCATGTACGCCTTCCCCAGCATGAAACTGCCCCCAAAAGCGATCGAAGAAGCCAAGAAACAAAACAAGGCTCCAGACACATTCTACGCCTTTGAACTTTTGGAAAAAACCGGTATTTCCATTGTACCTGGTTCCGGTTTCGGACAGAAACCTGGCACGTATCACTTCAGAACAACAATTCTGCCTCAACCAGAAAAATTGAAAGAAATGTTAAAGAAATTTGCCGAATTCCACAAAAAATTCTTGCAGGAATGGAGCTGAATTTACAATATTTTATTAAATCCATGCAACCCTTAAATGTTTAATAAACCCAAATCCACTTGTTGAGCGGTGTGCTACTACTTATAGGTATAGTAATACAGGGTGCAACATAAAGGATTCCTAATATTTTTTTCATAGTCTTAAGTCTTAAAGTATGTTAATTTTTTTTATTTTTTTAATTTAACATTGCATCACTAAAAGACAAAATAATAGCTATTGATTTAATTGTTAATGGAAACACTGGTATTTATAAAAGGTTTAATTACGGAAAAACGAAATAAAAAAATACACCAAAAAAACGCAGGAGGAAAATATTATTTAAAATTAAAAGTAAATTTGAAAAAATTAAACAAAACAATATTTTTCCAGAGGCGTACCATACTTTTTATTTATAAAACTTTACCGCAATACCTATATGTACGCCACTGAGTAACCTACAAAGGCAATTGTTTTACTTATACTAGAGGATAACCAAATGAAGAAATTGCTAAGATTTTGTTTACTATTTTTTAGTGTTTAAAAGTTATTAAACAAAAACTATTTTTTTAACTCCCTGTAACAAAAACCCGTAGATTATATGAAAAAAAACTATTATTTTTTAATAAGGAATCGGCCATTTCATTTTTTCCAACCTTTTATTTATGTTGCACGCAGCATAGTTGACCATATGCAAGGAATGCGGTCGATGTTGCCAATGGTAAAAAAATAAAATTCCCTATTGGGAACATTCAATTATATTACGTTGGCTACACTGAAATTTTGAATTTCCCGCACAAATTGACATACATTCTAGTAGTTCCCAGAGATAAAGAAGGTAGTTCCAATGTTGTATAATAAATTAAGGTGCGAATTTCAAATGTGGGAAATATTATTATTTATTATTAAAAAAAAAGATAGAAATTAATTTAGTTTGTGCGGGAAATTCAAATTTTCAATGTAGCCAACGTGATATAATTGAATGTTCCCAATAGGGAATTTTATTTTTTTACCATTGGCAAAATCGACCGCATTCCTTGCATATGGTCAATTAAATCAAATAATGTAGTGATTATTATTACTATTATTATTATGCAGCTTCAATAAAATATCATTAATTTTTTTAAAATATTTTAATATCACAGATATTAGTAACATAAAATATTAATAAATATTCTATTTTTAATAACATGCAAATATATGAGATTATTAAAAAAATATTAATTACACTGTGCTAGTCGCAAAAATCAACAGAGGGGAGACATATGTGGTAAAGTCAATTCGAGTACGCTGAATCCAGTGGTGAAAGCCGTTTTTCGAAGTTAGCGAAAATAAGCGATTTTTTTCGATCGGCGTTTTTCAAAATGTACCATTTTATAGGTCACTTTTTAGATGTTTCGATTTCATTCAAAATGTGTTTTTAGGGGTTTTTGGGAACGAGAAAACCGAATATGACATTATTTTTGCGATGCGATCGCGATTTGACCAAAATTGGCATTTTTTAAAATTTCACTGAATTTATCTGACATATTTAATCCAATTCATAATCACAACACAAGAAATATCAATGATTTTTTTATTAACACTGCAGGGTCAGAGAAAAAAACAATAAAACATAAAGTTTTTATTGTAAATATTGACTGTTTTAATACATTTAGCTAAATAAACGTATTATTTATTTATTTATTATTACAATCGTAAATAAGCTGGTTATTAGAAGTGAATTAAAATTTCATTTAAAATGGATTCTTGTGTTACAAGTTTTAATTGCTTTTGTTATATTTGTGGAAAATACACTATTATGGCAAATCGTCGTAAAATTATTGCGGAAATTATTGAAATATACCAGCTATACTTCGATCAAAATATTATTTGTGATGTAAAATGGGCTCCGTCTACTATTTGTACTGGGTGCATGGGAAATTTGAGTCAATGGAGAAAGGGTAAGATCGACTCTATGCCATTTGGTATTCCTGTAATCTGGACAAATCCGCAAGTTCACAATCCGGATGAATGTTATGTGTGCGTTAATTTCAAACCCGGAACAAACAGAAAAAAGACACGTTCTATGAAATATATAGCAACAAAATTTGTTCAGTTGCCATTGCCGCACTCGGAAAATGTTCCTGTACCGAAAAGACCGAGTCCAACAGCTGTATCTATATCCACAATATCCGAAACAGTTGAAGGAGGAAGTAATTTCGACTATGTGCCAACAAATGTCACTCCTGATTGCGATCATACCGAAATCACGCAGGATCGTCTTGACATTATTGCACGGCGGCTGAAGTTATCGCAGCGACAGACAATTCTCTTGGCTAAAGAGTTAAAAACGTTAAATCTTTTAGCACCAGATGCTCGCGTTTATGGATCCATCGGCCGTCATCGCAATTTTACACGTTTTTTTAAAGCTATCGAAAATAATTCACTGGCTTATTGCGATGATATTCGTGGTTTGGTTTCCACCTTGCACAACGGATACAACCCGGAAGATTGGAGACTCTTCATTGATTCATCCAAAAGTAGCTTAAAAGCCGTTCTACTCCACATTACAAATTCAAAAAAATCCGTGCCACTAGCACAGATACAAAGGAAAACTATTTGTCATTGAACAAGATTCTCGATTTATTGAAGTATAATGAAAACAAATGGAAGATTTGCGCAGATTTAAAGGTTGTTTCTATTCTCTCTGGTCTGCAATTGGGCTACACGATGCATTCAACGAATTACATCGTATTTTTCCACGTTTGAGCGGAATGAAAATAAAAGAAGGTGTGTATATATAATACCAATTTAATTGTAATAAATTTCTATCATGATTTTTTATGTATTACAGGGATTCTAAACGGTCCAGATATCCGCCGATTAATGCGAGACGAACAATTTGAAGCTGCGCTAAGTGATGTCGAGCTTGTAGCGTGGGACACTATAAAAGCCGTGATTAAAAACGTTCTTGGTGTTCATCGGGCGGAAAATTGGCAAGTTCATGTCCAAAACATGCTCGACGCATTTCACAATATGAATGTGAATATGTCTTTGAAGATTCACTTCCTTCATTGTCATATTGACAAATTTTGCGGAACAGTCACCGGCTGAATCGGACGAGCACGGCGAGAGGTTTCATCAAATGACAGCCAGATTGGAACATTGGTACAGTGGGAAGAAACTCGATGCACTTTTGGGAGATATTTGCTGGAATTTGCAAGAAGAACAGGATGATTAAAAAACATCTCAATAAAGAAATTTTGTTCAACATTAAATTTGGTTTTTGTTTATGTTTTGTGTCAAAAAAAACCTTTTTGTGAGATAAATTCAGTAAAAGTTTAAAAAATGCCAATTTTGGTCAATTTTTACAATTTTTTTTACGGGAACTGCCTTAAATCATAATTTTATAGCAAAAATATTATCATATTCGGTTTTATCATACCCAAAAACCCCCAAAAACACATTTTGAATGAAATCAAAACATCTAAAAAGTGACCTTAAAAATAATCCATTTTGAAAACCGCCGATCGAAAAAAATCGCTTATTTTCGCTAACTTTGAAAAACGGCTATCACCACTGGATTTAGCGTGCCCAAATTGACTTTATCACATATGTCTCCCCTCTGTTGAAAAAAAAACTTGTCATTTTCGTGCACAGTGTTATTAATGGTTATAATTATAATAATTTAACTATACATTTTATAGGTAAAAATATATTAGTATTTAATAATTTATTTTATGTATATCATTTAATAAAATGTCATTTAAAATAATTTTAAAAAATTGTTTAAATAATAATTTATTTTTTGAAATATCTGAAATGGTATTAAAATTATTTATATAGGTACGTAACTAACATTGATTCTAAGAAATCAAGCAATTGGTCTATACATTATTAAATTATTAAAAGCTATTAAATATATCCATAATTTTAACCAAAGGTTAAATGTAATATAATTTATTTACAATTTTTCCGATGTATTTTAACCCATCCTAAATTACATTTTAATGATATAAGAATAAATTCATAATAAATAAATGGACATACAACAATATACAGGGTGTGCCGAAAATAGAATGAAATCGTTACATTAACCTATAGGTTGGAAAATTGCCCCTAAGGAACCTACAGCCTCTTAAAGGGGCGCCCCTGAAGATATTTTATTATTATTAATAATAATAATAATGTATTTTTAGAAATCATATGTATTTTATTAATATATTTTGTTAAATATGTTACATTGAAAAAAGACCATTTTTTTAAATTTGTTATTTTATTTTTATTTGAAAATGGTGTTGAATAGTATAAAGAGTACCTTTTTGACGTAGAAAATGCTACATTTTTATATTCTGCAGCCAACTTGCAAAAGAAATTGCACAAAAAAATTTTGAGCTAAAAATACTGCTTAAAACAATTTTAAATTTTGTTGTTACTTAAAAATTTAGCATAAAAAGTTAGGTATACCTATTATAAGCATACAAATCGTAGGTAAGGGAGTTATAAAGTTTTTATTAAAAAAAATGAACATGAAAATGAAAATTTAAAGTATCGTCGTTTAGACAGGTTAAACAACATCGGAATTTTTTTTAAATTGTTTTTATTTGTAAGTAAATAAATATTATATAATGGTATACAAGTATAAAAAGACAAATTGCAGCCAACTCGAGTTATGATCATAAAATTCAGAAAAAATAATGTATTATTTATTTTAAACATTGACCTCCGATATTATTGAAATTAATGGATGGTTTTACGAATAAATCGAACTTTCTCGTGAAGCACACAATTGTTTAGTCTTATATATTGTGGCTTGTATTAATTAACAATTTAGAATACCTTTATGTTATTAAAATATCAAAATTGTTTTTAGACTGTAAACAAACCATTTAGATGATACCGAAGATCAAAAAAACAGAAAAAAAATTAAACTCGGGTTTCCAAAATATTTACAAAAATAACATAACTCTGTATATTTTAACATATTGTGAAAGACAATTTAATTTGGGATCAAATATTATTGGATAACAACCATCAGAAAGTTCAAGTGCTTATTAATTGTTTAGTAGTATAATTAAAGTTGGGGATGGTCAATTGACCGCTACCTATTTGACCGGTCAATTGACCGGATATTTAATTTTTGCAGCATTTTATTTAGGTATCAACAATTACCCGTGAATCTCAAAATTTTTGCGATCGTGCAATATCGACATCATTTACAATTTGGTGGTTCCCCGAGTCGAGGGGTTGCTAGGCCGGACTCAGCGCTTTGCCCTTAAAGCGGGACATATCTTTTTTAATAGCGAAACATAACTTTTTAAAGCCGCACAAACGTTTCTAAAGATGGACATAAATTTTATAATAAAAAAAATTTGGTAACGAATTTTAATTACTTATATATTAAGCAAAAATAAATCACAGTAATATTTATTTTGATATTTTATTTAATTTTATTTTGGTCAATTGACCAAAAACAATTTTACCGGTCAATTCCACAACCCTAAGTATAATAAAGTAATAATTTGATTATTTCAACAACCATCAGAGTGTTCAAGTTCTTATTAATTGTTTATTTTTAATTTTATAAAACCTATAGGTTTTAGTTAGCCAATAAGAATTTTTTGTTCAAAATTAAATTGTCTTTTAAAATATGTAAAAATATACAGGGTGCCAATAATAACGAAGTATATTATGTATAATTATTATCTATTAAAGATATATTAAAAACCCTTAGTAGCAATAATAAGAAATCTAATCCAATCTAATAAAATATTACCACCATTCTTCAATTACAACTATATAAATATAATCATACTAAATAATAGTTTATAAAATATTTAAATCTGCATTGCTTTTAATAACCTAACTACTTACTTACATAAAAAAATATAAATATACTCGCACATATTTTAAACATGCATTTAACAACACCTATGAATTTAATATGTACTTGTGCAAATAGCTTTTCTAACGTGTTTAATGGGTTTATTAAATTTGCTAAATAATATCACATTGTTATAAATTTTGTTTATATAAAAAGTAATTAGTTTTAAACCTGAGATACCGTAAATTTTATCATCTTCGTTAGAAGTAAGAAACATTTTATTATTTTAATATAAAAATGATATATTCTATAATAAAAGCGTGGAAATTTAGTCGAGGAAAATAAGATATTTAACAAAGATACATTTAGATACAGGCTTAAAATCTTTATTGCCCAACAGATTTAATGTTAGGTCCTTGCAATGTAAGTCTTAAATTTCTATACAGGCTTTTCAATAATGAAATAGACAGTACCTTTTTGATATCACTCTTTAAACATGCATATTATGCCAAAACCAATTTTCTTTTAAAAGTATTTGTAATGAGTAGTAACTTCAATAAAATATGCAATGAATGTGATATTGCACACGGTGTGCCTGAACGAAGTTTAAGTCACATACAAATGCCGCCAAAAACTGATTGCAGTTTCTTGTTCGGGACCCTTTGGTGACTTAAAAATGATATTTACCAAAATCCTAGCTGCTCTTTTTGTTTATTTCAAAGTCTACCATTGACAGAGTACACATTTGTACACCGATTTTTATAAAATTAGAGTTTATTATTGGGGACACTTAGAGAATACTTTTTAATACTGTTTACATCATTTGATATATACAGGGTGAAAAAAGATTTATCCCCATTTTTTAGATATTTCTACGTTTATCAGGTTACAAATAGGTATTCTTATTAACCTTTTATAAAAAAAATAGATTTTTAATAAAATTAAATAAAATAACGCTTAGAGAATATTTAAAATGTTGTTTAATTTAGGCTTTTTAGTAGTTTTCAATTTTGAACGAAAAACTGGTTGAAGTTTTTTGATCGGCACTCTTTGAAGATTTAAAAACGATTTTTACCAAAATTCTAACTGTTTTTTTTTAAATTTGTTAAAAAATCATTTTTTTTTAAATTTTTGTTTATCGCAAAGTCTACCTTTGCCAGAGTACACATTTGTACACCGATTTTTATTGATTGCAGTTTCTTGTTCGGGATCCTTTGGTAACTTTAAAATGATATTTACCAAAATCCTGGCTGCTCCACTTTTCGAAAGTTTTTGAAAATTATTATTTTTTTTTAAATTTTTGTTTATCTTACCTTTGACATCTGGAGTACACCGATTTTTATAATATTGGAGTATATTGTTAACGAGACTTGGAAAATACTGTTTTCATACTGAGCACATCATTAGATTTATACAGGGTCAGCCAAAAATCACTTTTTTATATAGTAAAAAGCATAATACACAAAAAAGATTTATTTCCAAAAAATGTTATTTTATTTAATTTTATTCAAAATTAATTTTTCTTATAAAGTCCCATTTTGTAGCCTGATAAACATAAAAATATCTAAAAAAAACATGGGTGGGTATATATCTTTTTTGCGTGTTATGCCAAAATTATGAAGTTACGCTTTTGCTTTATTAAAAGAAGCGATTTTTGGCTAACCCTGTATATATTAAATGATGTGCACAGTATAAAATAGTATTCTCAAAATCTCCCTAACAATATACCTACTCCAATATTATAAAAATCGGTGTACAAATGTGTACTCTGTCAAAGGTAGACTTTAAGAAAAACAAGTTAAAAAAATTCATGAATTTTCAAAAAATTTCGAAAAGAGGAGCAGCTAGGATTTTGGTAAATATCATTTTTAAGTCACCGAAGCGTCCCAAGAAACGGCAATCAGTTTTTGGCGGCTACCACTATTAAAACGATTACAACGTTTGCCATAAATTATTTTGAAGTTAGCTAAACTTATTTTAAATGGTTTATATTTGCATAAGTATTTATTTATAAATTTTCATATTCATTGTAGTATTTATTTATATATTCTGTATTATTAGAATTGCCCTGTAAATGGAATATCATTTCTGTAAAATATTATTATTATTAAAATATAGATTTATCTTAGCATTTTCAACAATAAACGTTTAGTAATAAATCAAAAATAATATAATAAAGTATCTTTGTAGGATCGTTCACTTTACCTATAATTTTGAGCTTGTATCCTTTTAATATATTTATGTATAATTTTCCTGAACTAATTTTAAATTATTTTATTGTTGCTTGTTATCTAAATCACTTATAATGAAATCCTTGATTATGTGCAAGTCTTTTTGTTTTTCAATTTCCTCGATATCTGGAAGGTTTTCAGGAATTGGAAACTTTCTTTCGGCGTCGCTATCCTGAAAATCAAACGTGCTGTTTTTTCTGAGGATGATTGCGTCAGCGGCTGCTTCCCATTTTGTTGGGGGTTCACTGCATTTAAAAAAATAAATATTAATACAATTTACAATGTTAGTTATAACTTATTTGATAAATATTTACATATTTTACAAAAGCAATAGCACTAGTTGTATTTTAGTAAGTAGGTACCCAAGTAACACATTAGGTTTTATTATTGCTATTTTTGAATCGGTAATAAAACCTGAAGATTTTATTATAATTGCTTTAATAAGGTTGTCATAGCTTGTATAAATCCTCATCTGACACCTCCATAAAGCTAAATTGTAGTTAAGTTAGCTTTACCCGGTGTCCTTAGACGAAGAATTTGATAAAGCTAGTTAGCATGTTTGCATGTTTGCAGTAGAATAGATTGTTTATAATAATATTTTAAAGCAATATTTCTTCATCCTGCGGTGATATTTTAATGCCACCACCACATTTTTGATGAAAGTCAATGAAATACTTCTTAAAAACAAATGGGCCTATCATATTTGTTTTTATGGTATTAGGTACATATAAACTGCTCGTCATAAAAATCGACGCACCTAGTTTTTTGGAAAATATTTGAAAGCTCGTTATTGAAAAATTACTGAATCGATTTTGGAAATCTTTGGAAATTCTGAATAGCTGATTCTTTGACTCTTATGTCTAATTTTGGGAATACGATATTTTACACATAGCATTATACTACAGGGTGTTAAACGAAGAGATGTATTTTTTCCAAAATTTTAACTTATTCCCATTCATGAGGCAGTTGAGTTTGATAGTCGTAATACCCCTCCCTAATATAAGTAAGGTAATCCCTCGGAACGTTTTGTAGATTTTGTGAATATCGAGGCTTACTACGATTATATGCCAATTTTTAGAAAATTGTCGTTATTTTCCAGTTTAGTCCAAAAAATGAGCAATAGTGGATTCTTTGACTTACGTCTAATTTTGAGAATAAGATATTGTGCACATAGCATTATACTACAGGGTGTTAAAAAAAAGATGTTTTTTTCCAAAATTCCAAGTCCCCATTCACAGGGCAGTTGATCTTGATAGTCCTAATACTCCTCCCTAATAACAGTTAGGTAATCCCTCGCGACATATTAGAGATTTTGTGGATAACTACGATTATTCGGCAATTTTTCGAAAATTCACGTTATTCTTCATTTTAGTCCAAAAAATGAGCAATAGTTGATTTTTTAACTCTTATGTCTAATTTTGGGAATACGATATTATTCACATAGCATGATACTACAGGGTGTTAAAAAATAAATGTTTTTTTTACAAAATTCCAAATCCCCATTCACAGGGCAGTTGATCTTGATAGTCCTAATACTTCTTCCTAATAACAGTTAGGTAATCCCTCGGGACATTTTCGAGATTTTGTGGATATCTTGGCTAACTATGATTATATGTAAATTTTTCGAAAATTTACGTTATTCTTCATTTTAGTCCAAAGAATTAGCAATACTTGATTTTTTGACTCTTATGTCTAATTTAAGGAATACGATATTGCAATATGTGCACATGTGCACATAGCATGATACTACAGCGTGTTAAAAAAGGAGATGGTTTTTTCCAAAATTCCAAATCCCCATTCACAGGGCAGTTGAGCTTGATAGTCCTTATACCCCTTCCTAATAACATTTAGGTAATCTCTCGGGTCGTTTTCGAGATTTTGTGAATATCTTGGCTAACTACGATTATATAGCAATTTTTCGAAAATTCTGCTTTTTTAACACCCTGTAGTATCATGCTATGTGCACAATATCGTATTTCCAAAATTAGACATAAGAGTCAAAGAATCAACTATTGCTTATTTTTTGGACTAAAATGAAGAATAACGTGAATTTTCGAAAAATTGCCGTATTATCGTAGTTAGCCAAGATATCCACAAAATTTCGAAAACTTCCCGAGGGATGACCTAACTGTTATTAGGAAGGGTTATTACAGCTATCAAGCTCAACTGCCCTGTGAATGAGGATTTGAAATTTTGGAAAAAAACATCCCTTTTTTTAACACCCTGTAGTATAATATTAGCTTAAGCTATGTGCACAATATCGTATTCTCAAAATTAGACCCAAGTCAAAGAATCCACTATTGCTCATTTTTTGGACGAAACTGGAAATAACGACAATTTTCTAAAAATTGGCATATAATCGTAGTAAGCCGCGATATTCACAAAATCTCGAAAACGTTCCGAGGGATTACCTTACTTATATTAGGGAGGGGTATTTCGACTATCAAACTCAACTGCCTCCTGAATGGGAATAACTTGAAATTTCGGAAAAAATACATCTCTTCGTTTAACATCCTGTAGTATAATTCTATGTTCAAAACATCGTATTCCCAAAATTAGACATAAGAGTCAAAGAATCAGCTATTCAGAATTTCCAAAGATTTCCAAAATCGATTCAGTAATTTTCCAAAACGAGCTTTCAAATATTTTCCAAAAAAACCAGGTGCGTCGATTTTTATGACGAGCAGTTTAGTTCAGGAAACAAAGTTTGTAGAAGGAAAACTCGATGATAGTCTGGGTTTATTTTTTTTATGTAGAGTCAGGGGTGCTGATAATGAATCAAGAATATTCCCCAAAAATTTCTTTCCGCGTCCCCTAATTTCATCCCCTGAAAAGGGAGTTTTTTTGCTTTTTGGCTCATAACTCGCTAACCGTGCATTTTTTCAGAATTTGACCTCTAATACTTTTGATTATATACTAAAAAAGGCACACGTTAAACCCCATTGCGCACCTATATGATATGCCCTTTTGCTATGCGCAGTGTGCAAAGTTGAGCGTTGCTTTCAAAATCACTTTTTTGTTTTTTTTTTATTATAGCCCAATTTTAAAAGTAATCGATCCCAAACCTTACAGTAATCAAACATAACCGAATGGACGATTTTTTGAGGTAATAGACTTTTTTCAAAAGTTACTGCTTTTCAATGTACAGGGGGTTCTTTTTTCAAAAAAAAACATTTTTATTTCCCAAACGGCTTTAATGAGCCAGTTCGTTCTACCCTAGATTTTTAGGTACACTTATCCTCGTAACGAATCCGTAGTTTTTTTTAAATTATTTTCAATACAAGTGCCCCTCAAAAAAGAACCCCCTGTACAATGAAAAGCAGTAACTTTTGAAAAATTCTCAAAAAATCGTCTATTCGGTTATGTTTGATTACCGTAAGATTTGGGATCAAAAAAGTGATTTTGAAAGCAACGCTCAACTTTGCACACTGCGCTTAGCAAAAGGGCACATCATATAGGTGCGCAATAGGGTTTAACGTGTGCCTTATTTAGTACATAATCAAAAGTATTAGAGGTTAAATTCAGAAAAAATCTACGGTTAGCGAGATATGAGCCAAAAAGCAAAAAAACTTCCCTTTCAGGGGATAAAATTAGGGGACGCGGAAAGAAATTTTTGGGTAATATTCTTGATTCATTATCAGCACCCCTGACTCTACATAAAAAAAATAAAAACCGACTACCATCGAGTTTTCCTTCTACAATCTTTGCACCCTGAATCTTTGTTTCCTGGACTAATAGAAAATTGATATTCTTTCCTAAAAAAGGACATTTTAATCAAAGTTAGGTATAATAACCTTATGTTATGTTGTTAAAAATGCTTAGCTTAAATGATTTTAAAAAATATATCCATATAATACTTATTATAGTTTAATTAATTTATATTATTTTTTTAATTAATTTTAATTAACATGAGCTATTTCTTAAAACTATTTTAGCAAAGCAGTTTTAAGTACATACATATTGAAAAAATGGTGTTCAAAGTAGGTTTTGTTTTGCCTAAAAAAGCTTTCTATTAAAGTAATATGGTTCTACGATTCGTAGAACTACGAACAATCAACCTTTCTGATAACTCCCACAAACCCAAACATCTTTTCAAAGAGTTTGATAAAGCTTTGATATATTATTTACTAATGACTAATTTAATAGTTATTAGTGGCTGCTTTTTTACTTGTACCATGGTTAACCATGGGATACCATTGTATCCCTAAATTTAACAGCCAATTCTTATCTAAAATTGTACCCTGAATCCAACAATCTCAAAAGTTAAAAAAGTTAAAGAGTTTTTAAGATATAGTCAATTTTTCATTTAATATAGAATTGACTATATCTCAAAAACTGTTCCACTTTCATAATTTTTATTTTCGGATTCAGGGGACAATTTTACATAAGAATTGGCTGTTAAATTTTGGGATACCATGGTATTCCTTGGTTAACCATGGTACAAGTGAAAAAGCAGCCACTTATAACTATTAAATTAGTCATTTTTGAGTATTTCATTTTTAGAGAGTAGGTAAAAGCCTAGAGTCACATGTGTTACTTGGGTAAGTATTAGAAGGAAAAAGATTCTTTAAATTATTAAATAATGCAATACTCACAAGTGGTTTCTAAAGACAAAAATGGGAAGAACTCTTCTTCGGAAATTGGTCCCTAATCTGAAGCCTCTTAAAGATGGTTTTTTATTATTATTTCCGACACAGTTTGAGACAAAATAATGATTTTTTTTTATTTTAGCCCCAAATTTTTTACGTAAAAAGGTACTCTTGTTGAACATCTTCTTTAACTTAATATATTTAACAAGAAATTTTATTAGAAAAATAAGCGTTTTAAAAATAATAATTATATGACATCTTCAGAGGCGCTCCTTTAGGGGCTTTGTAGGTCCCTTGGGGTCCATTTGCCTACCTATGTTCATATCAAGTTTTTTCCCTATTTTTGGCCCTAAATACAGCTTGTAGATTATTGAACACTATTTTCAGGACCCCCTGTATACTTTATGTCCAAAGTTATCTGCTCCCATTGCTACCATTCTAACTCTGTAATTATTAGAGTTACAAAGTCGATTAAATTAGCAAGTTGGTGGCATTTTTTTTGAAAACCGGAAAACAATTGAACGTCGGGTTTTCGAAATATTAAAAAAGTAACATTTTTTTAAAGGGACACCTTTTATATTTTTACATATTTTAAAAGACAATTTAATTTGGAACATACAATTATTATTGCCCATTGGGCATTGCCCAACTACCCT